AAGATTAAAAAGTACTACACTGATAAAAACAACAACGCAGAAACAAGAGGGGAACCGCCCTCAAAATACTCAGGAAACTCAACACTGAACTTGTCTGTCCAGTGCTAGAGTATGAGGTATATCAGCAAAAATGAAAGGAAATAAAAGAGCAGACTAAGTACAAAAGAAATACAGAACAGCCAGATATAGAATGAACTTATGAGAAAAGTAAAATCCAGAGCAAGGCAGCCATTAGAACCTACTGGAACACTTCCGATCCAGAAAACAATCTGAAGATCAAGTCAACCTCTTCACACAAAGCAAGAGACCTAGAAATGGGCACATAAGACTCTGCAGCAATATGCACCAGAAATTCAATATGTGGCCCATGTGGACAGGCACCATACAATACTGAACATGTGCTTCAGACATGATCTCTACATGCAGTCAACTCCCAGGTCTTGTCAGTTGGCAATCCGTAATGACAACATCAGGTTAAAAAGTAAAAAGTCATGAGGACAAACTTCATTGCACTTGGTTTTAACCCATTTGGCTCAATCTCTCTCCGGAGAACAGTTAGCCACCTACGTAAAGTGTCAAACAAAGCAAGAAAATTGTAGCTTCAGCAATGATCCCCAGGGGTCTCCGTATAAACAGTACTCATGGACTGAATGACATAGCTGTGAAATGAACCCAGGACTTTTAGGCAAATGACTTGACCACTTTGCCACTGAGATTCCTAATATATGATCTATTCAGTGCCAGAATCTTTTCCTCACCTCCTGATTAACTGGCACTTGTTTAAGTTTTCTCCTAAACACATTAGATCCACATTAGTTATGTTTTTTAAGTCCTTCTAATCTGCACAGACGCCGGTTGACACTTGAGCATTCTCAAGTTCTCACTCTGCTGGAGCTACAAGGTTATGAAGACACTATTCCCAGCCTCCTAAATCAATGACCTAACAGTTAAAATTGCTATAATTTTAAACTAGCCAGAGATTATCTTGCCATCAGAATGCTGAACGTTAAATAAAGAATCGACATCACAGCACACTGGACATTTCCATAAGCGCATCATCCCAGTTTTCAAAAGCAAAAGTAAAGTTCCAATTACGATGGTACCAGTAACAATTCAACTGCATTTCCATCTCGCCTCTCCATTGAGTGCTGAGCGTCTGCAAGATCCCCTGCTCACTCCTCACAGCACTATTCTCCTCAGACCCTGATTATCTACTTGTACATCAACACTGTTCATTCACTTCAAAAGGATCCTTACAACATCTAGCTTGTCATGCATCAACCAGGAGAAAATATCCAAAGGACGCTAAATACCTGGGACCTCTAAAGCGATGCTTGCCACTTCATGGAACATGCCTGTCTCCACCTTTCTCAACATGCTCTGAGAGTCAGTGGCATTAGAAGACGAGGGAGAGGGTGAGTTGTAATGAAATTTTGAAATTACACACAACATGTACGTGAAAATGAACAAAGATGGTTGAGGATTAATATGGAAAATGTTTATTGTTAGTATACAGAAACAACAAATACTTATGCTGTTAGTTAATTAACAGCAAAGGAGTCAGAGACATGCTTTGAGAAGTGAGTAAATTGAAATGTATTTTTTTTTCACTTACCTTCATTTTCATAGATGTAATCTTCATAAAATATGTATAAAAATTAATAAAAATGAACATTAATGATTGATAATTATGGACATAACAATATAAAGCAATCTGAACATAGTATTTTTTTTTGTTCAAGAGAAAGTTTAACCATGTTCTGCTAATCAATTATGATTCAGATATTCTTCTCATTCTTCTATGTCATTTTGCCAGAATGTCTAAAATTCTCTCTCATCACATCCTCTTAGGTCTCTTCCCTCAAAATTTCCTGCTGTCCATTTTTCTTTTTTCTTATGACATCCCCAAAAAAAGTGGATTGATTTCTTTTCATGCTGCTAATTAGTTCTTTGTTAATTAATTTTTACAAAACATCATTAAAAATACTATTTATCTGTTCATTATATTATCATTCTTCTACTTAAAAAAAACCCCCATCTCAGCAGGTCATTTAATATTCACTAAACTGCTGACTGTCAATGATCCACTTCTGCATATGTTGAAGTTTGTCCCTTCCAGGAGATGAGAATCCAACACACACAAGCCCCAGTAAGTGCTGTTCAATGATAAGGTTATATTGGGGCCTCCGATAGTTAGGATGTAACCCAAAGTCTAGACGCTTATCGTTTGACTCCAGCACATCATGATTGTCTTTTTATAGCTCTTAAGAACTCTCTTTCTCACCTAAAGTTACAAAGAGGTTTGGCAGGAAATCTTTATTCGGTGGAATGCTTTGTTTCAGTTATTCTACATTTAACTTCTTCTGCTGATGTCAGAGTATGCACATATTTAAATTCATTAAACTGCTTCAGGCTTGTCCAATTTACTTTAATTGGGTCTATCTCCCACTCCTCAAATGTGACCCCAGAACCCACATGGGGACCCAAAGCATCTGACTCAGATGCTTTGTTACAATTATGTTCAATTTCTTTTATACATTAATTTAACTGTTAGCAATCAAAACTATCATCAGCAACTCACAGGCTGCCCACCAAATGATATTCCTAGTATATTATGTATGCGTGTAATTATATTTTTGCACACTTATCATCAGTGACTGGCATCTAACAGAAACAGAAAATCATTTAACTTTAGATGAAGTGTTAAAAGCACTGCTTACCATTAGCCTTCAGTTTGCATTTGACATGGATGTCACAAGCATTAACTCTCAACCTGTGACCAGACAGAGTTGTTATTGGAGTTCCTTTGTGAGACCATACCTTCAGATCTCCATCACTGCTGCCAGACACAATACAGCCATACTGGGGAAGCAGAGTTTATATTTACCACCAAGAACACTTTGATCAGTTCTTATGTGAAATAGAACAAGAATCACCATGACAAGTGGCTTTAGCTAGATGCAAAAAGATACCAGTAAGCAAACACAGTAAAAAACATTTACTTGCAAGAGAAGATGTGGTTTCTAAGAAGAATGTAAAGAATATAATGGAATGATACAAAAACAAATAGGGCTGTGCTGCTGGAGACAGATACAGGTTGTAAATAGATCACAGAAATTAGATGCAGATAGACAGTGTCTTTTGGACATGTTATAAGAAGGAATGGACTTCAGAACTTGATAACAAGATTGACAGAAAGGGAGCAAAGAGAAGGCAAATAAATAAATACCTGGATGAGGGCGGACAATGACCTGATCTGTAGTACTGGTGATCATGTCAGATTGCAAAAAATGACAGCCCAAGCTTTTTTGGTATGGCACATGATGATTAAAAGTTATACTGCATTTTTCTGTAAAGCCATGAGCGAGTACATTTGACTTCACAAGCATTTTTTAAGGTTTCCCTTCCTGGGTCTTTTAACTGTCCCTAATCTATTTACACTACACCATTATGTTTGTGCCTCATTTTGCTTGGTCCCTATCTATAAAACTGCCCAGCTTGTGACAGACAAATTGTTCTTCTACTTTAAGGTGGAAGCACAGAATATGGTAGTTTGTTTTCCTAAAATACAAATGTACACAGAAATGGAAATTATTAATTCATATTCTCTGCAATTATTAAAGAATTCACCAACAGTTTCTGTTGGTGACTCTAAAAAAAAGAACATTTTTTTTTAAAAACAAATATTAGCAGTAAATAAATTAGAAAACAAAAAAAATACTTTTGCTTGGTGTTCCAAATATTTGTGTGTATAACCAGAGGTACTGTAAGTAAGGGCTGCAATGTTTTTAGAATGCAGACAAATGTTAAAATAATAAAATATTCAAAGTACTGATGTTTCTGCAATCCTTATGTGTTACTTGAATTACATGGCAAATTACACATAGGTAAAAGATATCAGGACTGGCTAATGTTAATGATTTAAAGATGTGTGCAAGTGGGACATGAATGATACAGGTACTGAAGTGTACAGGAACAGGATGAAATGAATCACATTGAATGGGAAGGGACAATTTAAAAGGCAGTAGGGATAAAGAAGAAAAGAATAGCAGAAGAGTTAAGGCTGATCTACTGAAAAGAAACATGTTAAATATATCTCAAAAGACTACAAGAACTTCAGATCAAAAGAGGTGTTGCCAAACATGAACACTATTCAGGTAACCAAAGATTAATAGTGAACCAAAACAGAACTGGTGTTATCAGTTGGCAAACGCTGAGGAATATACTGAATATGAGATCTGAGCGTTTATGGACATGTCCAATGAGGATAATCTTTCGATTAATTAACTAACTAACTAACTAACTAACTAACTAACTATTCTAACTAAATAACTAACTATTCTAACTAACTATTCTAACTAACTATTCTAACTAACTATTCTAACTAACTATTCTAACTAACTATTCTAACTAACTATTCTAACTAAATCTGTAACAATGGTCCTGGAATCACATGCACTTTTTGCAGAATATTCTTCTTAACGTCACCTGATCATGCCAGTCACACCCTCTATTGGCATGGACAGTGATTCTCATGTCTCTCTATAATACAATGGAAAGAGGGACTGGGCCGGTTAATTAAAAAAAAAAAGCATAATAATAGACTGACTACTGATTTAAGAACTGACATTAAAACCACAGATACTGCTTCTTCAGCAGCAAATGCCTTAAAAGATAGATGCTGTTCAGTCTAATACTGCACTAGTTGTACACATCTCATAATATCCCTCTTACATATCCCTTTTTGGCCAGATCCATAGTAAACTCCAAATTCACACATGTTTTTTTATCTAGTGTTGCATTTGTTCATACTTTAAAATACAAATGACTGCTTTATGAAATAAGTGCCTAAAAATCTCCGTTTTATCTGAACAATCTGCATTCCAGCATCCTTACATCTGCTGATGGAGACAGAGAACATACTGTAAAGTCCTGAGAGTTACACCCATTAATTCTAATTAATCAAGCTATCAATCAATCCTTTTAACATAATGAGGTACCTTGTAAGCAACAGCATTGATTGCTGATGTATGACCAGTTATTCTGTTTTTCTCAGTGTACTTCTTTGTATCCCACAGTTTCAAATTAAAATCATTGGACGCGGTCACCTAGCAGACAAACAAAAATATATTTAAACTGACTATAACAAAATACTTTATTTACAGCACCTTTTAAAATTATTTATTATACATTTAGCAGTTTTACGATTAATTATATGCGACATCTGCAATAAGTTTAAAGACTAGAAATACAATTTTAACAAGCTAAAAACTTTCACAGACTGAGCAAAACTGCATGCATACTGACCTATCTTTTTTTAAAGTTAGCTGCATATATTTTTCAAGAGGATACTGTTACAAGGGTAGAACAGAATGGAAGAAAAAAACTGAGTTCCATGTGTAAAATGATACAAAAGGCCCTGGACAGTTAAAAAGAGTCAAGTAGATGCCTTGAAAGTGCCACGGAAAGAGAACTGAACGAGTGCTCACAGGTAAGCTACTAGAAAAATCATGTGCACTCATAAAAATAACTACAACTTACTGTTTTATTTCAGTTTTGCTTTGTTCCATTCAATGCACTGTTTTTAAAGTGAAGTTACATCCAGGGTATTAATCTTCTCTTACTTGCTTAGAACTTTCCATATTATGACTAGTATTTTAACATCTTACAATCCAATGTAAAGTAAAGGACCCTTTTCCATGCCTTCAGGTACATTGGGTATATAGGGCTAGACCTATAAGTTATAGACCAAACAGAACTAGGTGGGTGATGTGGTAACCATCACACCAGCCTTACAATCCTATGCAATTTTTTGTTTAAATTAGGTTACATGCAAATTTTATTCTGAATACACTGATGACTTACCAAGAAGTTTCCTGTGTTGGACCATACACAGGCATTAATCCAGTCTGCATGACAAGCATGTAAAATGTGTGTGGGTTCTGGATCAACTGAGATGAACACATCAAACAATGTATAGATTCTGATGCTCTGTGGGGGGAAAATCCAAGCATTACACAAAGAAACATTTTTTTTTGTCTTGTACCGGTTATTCACCTAATGAAGCATAGGTGCTTTGAAAGATGAAAATATATAATATTTGCGAGGTTTGCCGAGTTACTAAGTGTTTGTTTGAAAACAATATGGTGGCCGAGCCAACATGATATACTGCTTCAGAAGTCTCAAATTTAAATAAAGAATGTGTTCATTAGATTTATCCAAAGTTAGATAGATAACGTTGCGAAGTCATTTGTAGAGTCAAACTTTGATAAGGGTTATGTCTAATGGGTACCTTACGTGAAGAGTACAACGATAGCAAAGTCAATTGGCACAAACATTATTGAAAAGACAATTTTTTTCAGTGTCAGGTATTCTAGTGCTATTCTCCTTATTATTTAGGAATACAGCTACAAGTTTACAGGCAAACTGAGTGTCATATAAACTTCATTTTATGTGAAGATACTAATTGTTTTGGGAAGTATGTCAGCTTTCATTACCAAATAATAGTGCTCTTTTATGTGCTTCAAAAGATTCTCTGGAACAAAATCTTATGTACAGAATGAGTTTGTATTTTACTTATACATTACTAAGTGGTTACTAATTATTTGTGATTTAGGCTATCCTCCGACTAACGGTCGGCAAAGATGGTGGCCGCAAAAAATCCAGCCGAGCCGCAGTCACGTGTTAATTGCACGCTTCTGACTACTTAATTAGTGGTCTTCCGGCGGTTTTCTGCCAACAACCGCGGCCACCACGTGGCTCCCACGCCGCTCGTGCGGTGTGGATTGGGGCTAAACTAGATGGCTAGGACTCACGAGCAAGGCTGCAGGAGATGCGGATGCTGCTGCTCGTGAGTCTTAGCCATCTAGTTTAGCTCCAATCCACAGATTATTTGATTATTAAATGAGCAACATTATAACCAAAAAAATTGCAAAAGTTTTAAACTAGAACTAGCTCTCAGTACTGAAAATAATGATAACAATTCCAAAACATATTATCATACGTGTTATATGAAGATTCATACAGAATGTAATCAGTATTTTCACAGTAACACAAATTGCAAAAAGGATTCAATAATACCCATATTTTACATATCAAAAGCCGCTAGAGTGATGTGAAACGGTCAAAACCACACTGGCTACTTAACTTCCAAGAACATCTTATAAATTTTAGGCTGGATCAATTTGTCTTTAACCATTCACCTGGCCATTCCTCAATCAGCTTAGCTCTGGGTAATTTATTTTTTAACTTTCATGATGTGGATTTTAACCCAAACCTTCAGGCAGCAAGATAAGCATCTAGGAACAACACTACAGCAGCTGCCACTTAAATGACTGGCTGATTTTCTACCCCGCCAGGACATCACACAAGCGATAAACACCAGATGACACAATGTGCCACCATGTGGGTGAGGATCACTGTGGAGAGGTCCCAGAAAAGCCTTTAGGCCATATTTATGGCCAGGCTATATTGCGGCCCCTGGCAAAAGCCAGAGTAGGGCTTCAAATAACGAAAAATTTCATCCTAAAAAGGATGTGAAAATATGATAATAATGTGCCACTTAAATATACTACTAAAAAGAAATGTTTTTCTATCAGTGAATTCTTTTGATGGCCAAAATTTTCCTATAGAAAATGATTTCAAAAAATATAAAAGAAAAGAAACCAGCTTTTGCATAATTTCTAGTGTTATTAAAAGTTCAAAAGACATTGCATTATATAGATTATTCTAAGCCTAGGTTAGGCTAATATAATCTACATATATATATATATATATATATATATATATATAAATAATGCACTTACAGCATCTCGACTGGCAGTTGCCAACATTGTACCATCAGCATTAAAAGAGCAGGCACTAACAGGTGCTGTATGTCCTTTAAGTACAACTTTTGGGGAAGATCTAGGATTATAAATACAGACAAATAGATCAACTGTAAAAAATTAAAAATATGCACAAATTTCAGACTAACAGATATTTTATAAAATTAAATAACGAATAAAGCTCAATGCAAATTTCGTCACAAATTTGGGGGCGGCTTCAGATTCAGTAGTCACTACTAGGAAGGAAGAAAAGTAGAAACATATTGTGCTTGAAACAGTTTCACCAGTCAGGAGTCACTGAAAAGGAGGAAAAGTGGAAACATTGTATGCCCAAAAGAGGCCGATTTTTAGACTCAGAAGAGTCACTTTAAACAAAGAAAAGTAGACAAGTTGAAGGTTTTTGGACAATGGAGCAACATTATGGCACATGGGTAGTAACCCAGTAGTGCTCCTTTCTACTTCTAATTCTAACTTAAGTCTAAGTCCGAAGAAGCTCAGCACAGTGCACAGGCTCTGTAGTACCGGCGAGGATCCCGAAAATATTTTTTGATAGATTTTTAACTTTAAATTTTGCCCTGGCAGCGCCGTTAGGCTACTCTTTTTGATTTCCAACTGCCGAGGGATTTTTTACGTGCGCAATAATGCACAAGCGCCTCCAATCCAGAGACCAGGGGAATTAATAGAAGTCCAAGTCCACATGAAAAATCCCAGCCCTTACCGGCGATTGAACACGGAACCTCTAGGACTCGAGGCAGACTCCACACCATGTCAAATATATGAACACTACCTTATTTGAAAGGGCTACATTAAGCTTAAAAATAATACAGTAATTTAACTGTTACTTTTTTAGGTACTTTAAAAGGAGGCTCTGTCAAACATTTAGTGCTTTTAAGGAAAATGCTGTATACTTAACAATTAACTGCAGTATTGTGTAGCTCCAAAGTACCAACACATTCTAATGTCATTTTGTTTACAATAACAGAAATTTAAAAGCAGTAATCAACAAATAAAATAAAACCTTTGCCATTGCAAAGTGAAGATACTGTATTTCCTCCCAACCTAGTTTTATTAACTCATTTAGGTGTGAACAAGAGAAAGACACAAAACTTACATCTTAGAACTCTTCAGCTGACAGATGTCTTCGTACAGGCAACAAATACAGTCCTCTCCTGCAGTGGCTATGAACTTTTTAACAGTGTCCACACATAAAACTGGCTGGGTGTGGCCTAACAGTGAACAAACTCGAGATCCCTGAGTGCTTTCAAGAACCTAAGTTTATGGACACATTTTAAAAAATATATATTATACAAAGTGTTCCATACTTTTCCATACATAGGAAAAAACTTATCCTGATGTCATTACAAGCGCAACTCCAACTGTGTTTATATAAATTCTTTGGCAACATTCTTTAGAAACGGAGGGCAATGAGAAAAAATTTATAATAGTTTTTTACCAGGACATGGAAAAATCAGCACACAAATTACTTTATGCTGGACGAGGAGAATACTGACCACCATGACAGTCAGCAAGGCATTTAATTGTTGATGATAGTGATGACAGTGATGACAGTTTTCTATAAAAACATGTTAGGGTAACTCCGTGTAGACTGAACAATAAAAATGCCGTTTTTTATTTTTTTAAATGAATACATATAAAACTCTTGCATGATGATTAACTGCCTTAGAAATGCGAGATGTAGAAGTTGGAGATGATTAACTGAGTGGTGAAGTTTCAAGGTTCAAGTCAAGAGGCTCACGCAAGATAATTAACTAAGTTTTAAAGTTAAAAGGCTCAAATTGAGAGGATCAACTGGCTTTTATCCAAGATGGCTCCCTCACCTTGTGCAGAAATGTTGGCCACCTGCCCTGCCAAACTGCTAGCTACTTGCTGAGGGTGCACAAAACATGAAATCCACAGCTCCATTGATAGATTTAAATTAAAATTGCACATTTGTGAAACACACTTATGACTTTTAGAGTGTTAAACAAATGATTTGACCGTTTTATCCACCCCCCCCCCCCCCCCTTTAAGTTTATAAATGTTGGCTGCTCGTGTGTACAATAATTTACCTTCAACAGTATCCCATCATTGGTCAAGTTAGCTCAAGCATTTTGTGTAAAGAAATACTCAATTAAAAACTACAAGAAAATAAAGTTTTCAAGACAATACCTGGACATAACCATCATCACAACCAGCATAAATGTAAGATCCATCAGGAGAGAAAGTTAAGGCTCGAACTGGTTTGTCTGATAAATTCACTTTGGCTATCTTCACACCTGTTAAAATCAAAGATGGCAACAGATCCTATTAGGTTGACTGTTGAGCAATAAGAAAAAAAGTTAAAAGTTGCTACGACAACTTTATTGCACACGGTTTCATCCCACATGGTTTGATCTCTTTCCTCAGAATTGCTAGCCACCTGCCAAAAGCATCACACAAAGCACAAACATTGTAGCTACAGTGACAGTCCAAATGGGTCTCCATAAAATTGGACTCATTAACCAAAAGACATGGTCGTGAAATGAGCACACGACCTTCAGACTGCGAGGTGAATGGCTTGACCATTTTCCCAAGAGCACTTATGGGAATTCCCGGAGGTCTGTAATGTCAGTTCTTGAATCAACACAACATACACAAACAGGTGATTATTAAAGTGATCATACACTGTCAGGTAAATGTAGTCAACATGAATGAATGTATCATTCAGTGTCTTGGTATGCCGCTATATGTAGAAGTCACAGTCTATTCTTCCATTTCCTTATATCCCGTGCAATCCTTTCAATGTCAATTTCAATATGCGCGCGCGCGCACACACCCCCACAAACAACAAGCAGCAGTCAGAGTAGCTGGTGAAACAATGGTTTGAAGTGTAGAAAGGAGTGAGACAGCCCTGTATTCTTTCACCCTCCCTTTTTAACATATATGCTGAAAATGTTATGAGAAGCGCAATTAGCGATGAGGCATATGAGAGCTCTGATCCACTAAAAATTTGAGGTAATCCTATCCCAGAACTCAGATCTGCAGACAACACAGTTCTCCTTTCCAACAGTGTACAAGGTTTAGAAAAACTAATTCTGGCTGTCAAAAAACACAGTGAAGAAGTGAATCTTTTTTTCAAATTTAAAGAAAACAAAAATTATGTCCTCAGTAAATACAGCACACCAACCACATATCACAATCGAAAATGAAGAAATAGAAAATGTAACAGATTTCAAATACTTGGGCTCTTTAGTGAACAACAGTGGCGACTGCCCAAAAGAAGTCAGAAGACTTGCATTAGCAATGCAGAGATTAAATAACATGAAGAACCTATGGCAAAGCGCTAGTAAACTGATTAAAGTAAAAATTTTGAGAGCGTGCATTTTTTCCTCTGGCAACTTACGGTTGTGAGTCTTGGACTCTCACTCGGTCATTGAGGAAAAAGATTGCAGCTTTTGAATTGAAATGTTATAGAAAAATTCTTAGAATACTATGGATCAGGAAGAGGGAAAAACACCGACATTCTGAATGAGTTGAACATCAAGTAGAACTGGTTCATAAACAGCATCCTGTCCCGAAAGTTGAAGTATTTTGACCACGTCAAGTGTCATGGTGGCTTGGAAAAGACGGTGCTGGAAGGTGCAGTTTGTGGAAGGCAAGGCAGGGGTCAAACACTGCGATGATGGATACAAGACATTGAGAATGTATTGGTATTGAAGCACATGGGGCAAGAGAGCTGGCTAGGAAAGGGATATTTTCAGGCATGCCATGAAGAGAGCGACATTCTGTAAAGGACTTGCTGACTGATGATGATGATTATATATATATATATATATATATATATATATACTGACATCTTGAAAGATCTGAACATCAAGGAAGATTGGCTAATAAACAGCATCCTTCCTCGGAAGCTGAAATATTTTGGTCATATCAAGCGCCACGGCGGATTGGAAAAAATTATAGCAGAAGGCAAGGTACCAGGAAGAAGGGGCAGGGGCTGACCGAGACTAAGATAGGCACAGGATATAAGTGACTTGAGTATGAAAGTACATGAGGAGGGAGAACTGGCGAGAGAACGAGTTTCTTTCAGGCAGACTGTGATGAGAGCGACATTTTGCAAAGGACCTGCTACATGATGATCATGATTTTATATATATATATATATATATACTATTATCCTAATAATTTATTAGAAACGATCATGAAAATGACAGAGGTGGGTCATCTTAAAAGAAAAATATTACCTGTGTTGACATCGTAGATCTGGATTTGACCTAAATGATAACCAGCTGCTACAACAGACCCATTGGGGGAGATAGCTACAGAAGTGGCAGGACCAAACTTGTCTGTGTGCAGTCTGTGTAAAGGGATGCCCAAGTCTCCAGACCACACCTATTGGAGGCAAATACTGTACATTCAAATACTGTATATAAACTACAGGGGGCAAATACTGTACATTCAAATACTGTATATAAACTACAGGGGGCAAATACTGTACATTCAAATACTGTATATAAACTACAGGGGGCAAATACTGTACATTCAAATACTGTATATAAACTACAGGGGGCATATACTGTACATTCAAATACTGTATATAAACTACAGGGGGCAAATACTGTACATTCAAATACTGTATATAAACTACAGGGGGCAAATACTCTACATTCAAATACTGTATATAGACTACATGGGGCATATACTGTACACTCAAATACTGTATATAAACTACAGGGGGCATATACTGTACATTCAAATATTGTATTTATAAACTATGGGAGGCAAATAGTGTGAACAATGTACAATTATTCTACAAGGATGTGGAGTTTTGGTGAAGAATGTTTCTTGCTGACTTTAATAATTTTCTGCTTTAGAGTAAATGCTAAATATTTTTACTGTATTCAAAGACTGTTTCTTAAAAAATATGATAACCATAGTAAAATAAAAAAGTTAAGTAGAAGTTGTCAAATGTTCAATGCTGATAGAGTGAGTAAAATTTGCACTGTGTATTCATATTTTTCCAAGTTGGTATGGCCCTATTTACAACTTTGTCGTGTAGTGTCTAGACGCACACCTGTCGATCCGAAGGTTATAGGTTCTAATCTGAACACAGCCTGTCTGTTTTCAGCCTTAAATGTATACCAGGTAAAGTCCTGGGAAGTAAAGGTTGCTGGAGTAATACTGATCATACTGTGTACTGGGGACATTTTTCAAGCTCCCCATTTTATAGACCAATTAGAACTTGGACGTGTGACGTGGAAAATATGCTAGTTGATTTTTAATTTCTAAAACACTTCCTAGCACATTTTAGATTGGGTCAGCTGGTAGTACAAGTAAATGTTAGAATAAAAAACATTTCAGCTGGAACATGTTTGGACCATCAAATATGAAAACAGCTGAGAAAGGAGAAGGAATGATACACAAAAATTTTTCATCTGTTTAAATCACCAATAATTACTGGCATCATGAGGGCTTATAGGCAAATGGTTGGGGCATATTGAAAGATTGTCAGATGACAGAGAAGTAAAAACTGTATACACAAGGGAGATGAACGGTCATAGACTACGTGGCAGACCAAGAAGAAGATCGAGAGATTATGTCCAGACAGACCTGCAAACACTTGGTGTCACTAACTGCAAAGAGAAGGCCAACCAGAGAACGAACGAACGAACGAACAAACTTTATTTTCAAAGGGTTAAAAATTGGGCACGCAGGCCCGTCTAACATTTTGCCCTTCCACTCCGCTCCTTTCATACAATGCTTCATTTTTTCCTCATCTCATAGTTAATAATAAGAGAGATAAATGGAGGCGGGTGATACTGCAGCAATGAACCTCAGGGGTTCAGAATGCTGAAGACGACGACGAAGATGAGGGCTAATATGATTGCAAAAGTTGTGGCATACAGTGAGAACAGAAAATAGAGACACAAAAACTGCATTTAAAAAATAGAGTTGAATGGGAGTAGACTATAAGAAGATGGTGAATTATAATATGCAGGCAGACCTTCAAACACTTGGCGTCACCATCTGGAAAGAGAAGGCTCATCAGAGAGTTGAATGGAGGCAGGTGATATCTGCAGCAATGAACCTCAAGTGTTCAGAATGCCGAAGAAGAAGATATTTTCAATTTGGACTACATAAGCAAGTAAAATGCCAATAAGCATTTGTAAATTTTAAATAATTATATGTCACCTTTATCTGATGGTCGTCACTAGCCGTGATCAGCTCAGTACCAGCAGGAGAGAATGTCAGCTTGTTGATGGGTCCTGAATGGCCTCTAACGTTTCCCACCTTTTAAAAATAACATAGTTGAATACTTGTAGATACAAACCAGCAAAGAAAATAATTTTACTGTGATTAATATTTTTTATGTTGTTAAGATATCCAAACATACAAATGTCCACACAAACAATAGATTATATTTTTTTTCTCTTCCTTTACTTCCACAGGAAATGGCAGGAGGGGGTGTAAGGATTTCCCCTGTGGGCTCTTTCCAATGTCCTGCATAAATTATCAAATTTCTTTAAGGTTATCCTTCTTGTAAGTGGTTTTCCTCTGTTTTTTAAAGTCGTAATCTCTGGTGGTTTATACCAGGGTATTCTCATGACATGGCCAAGCCATCTCACTGGCTGCCCTTTAATGAAATGTATGACTGGGTTCAGACCTAGTATTAACAGATTATAAGTCACATATTCAGTATCAGTATCAAACTTAAACATTATCAAAAACTTGCATTTGGAAAATTAACACTTGAGATGAAATTAGATGCCCGAGGAAAACCACCAATTTAACCAGCTGAGATCGAGTGAGAAATGATACTACAAAACACTGTGGGAGTGACATCTTGTGTCAAATACACTGAGAAGTAGATGAAACAGCTTTTGTATTATCTTAGAATACAGCAATATTAGTTACCAACATAGACTCTCTATCTAAGAACAACCACTATGACAGCAAGAGGATTCCCAAGAAGAAGATCAATTCTTCTTCTTGTTTACATCCTCTGTTACTGTTTCGGGTGTCGAGGGAGACATAAGGTCCAGCTTCACGCTCTTCTTGCTGCTTTGACCATAAACACATTGTGGTGCTTTAGAGTTTCTCTGATGTTATCTTCCCATCATGTTCTTGGTCTACCTCTTGCTCTCATCCTTCTCATAGAAGATCAATTGATGCCTTTAAAGACACTGCATATTTACAAGGAATAACAATAGCTAGAGCTATCCATCAAGCACTGCTCCATCATTTTCTTCTTACCACAAAGCCCCAAAGGAAAATTGGGAGATGGTGACAAAAAGTAATAATTTATAATGCATGAACACAATGGAAAAATGTTACATTACTTTCCTTCAGTTGCTTGGATGTTGGGTTCAGTTAAACTTTGCATTCATGGTTTTCTTCTTAAATTGTGAAATCTTTTTTTTTTTTTTTTTTTTTTTTTTTTTTTGTAGCAGACTATGCAGCAGAATTAACTAAACATATTATTACACAATATATGAAATAGCCAAAATATACTCTAAAGAGTCAATGAACACTACATCTAAATTATAAACCTGAGGGTTGAACAGGATATTTTTTGTGAAAACTACTACTACTACAGTAACCTAATTCACTCAGACTGTCAATACTTTTTCAAAAAATTTTATTTTCCTTAAATATTAATGGCATCATAATTTCATTTGTGATAACCGGTTAAATTTTTTTTATTTTTTAATAATAAAATACTTTGACTTATTGAACTTTGTTGCACAATAATTTATTCCGTATAGTATTTTTTTAAAAGATAAATTATGTTATATAAAGCTATTTCTGATAACTTCCACATTTTCAGAAGGCCTGATCCATACATTTTTGCCTGGTTTAAATATTCACCAACAGTACCAGAATCTTAACAGAGGTCAAGAGAAACATTCTTACTTGGGATCCCTTTTCAGCTGCCCAGATTTTGATGTCTCCATCCAAAGATGCAGACGCCAGATGCTTTCCATTAAACGAGTAAGAAATGTCTCTGACAGAGGAGCTGTGTCCTCTCAGGATCTGTATAAACAAAAATGGTTGAAAATGTAGACTTGCTATATTTAAATACAAGAAAAGAAAAGGACCCACTGCCAACTCATCATGTGAATTGGGCTTAGAGTGCTAAAACTAAATTTAAACACTAATCAGCTGTGGGTGATGTAGTCAACATAGTGCCAGTCGTCTTTACTTTCCAGGACTTTACCTAGTACGCACTCAAGGCTGGATCAACCCGAATCAAGGTTACATTCGAACTTGAACCCATGACCTTCTAATCTGCAGGCAAGCGTCTAGCAGCTCATTATAGCAACTTTTAATATACAAGGTCTTTTCAATAATTTTTTGACCTTCATTACTACCTAGAGTTCTAAAATGTGTATGTTCTTCCTTGGGACTGCAAATACTTCTCCCCATTATTAGAAGCATTTCAGGAAGCATTTTGGGAATGGAGAAAAAAAAGCTCAGCTATCTTATTCTAGCAGATGTTTTAAACTGTCCCTTTCTGCTGTATTTTCAGCTTGTGAGACAGCTAAATATCACACAGAGCTGTGTCATGAAAGTATGAAACCTGAAAAACAAAAGACATTTTGTGTTGACTTTAACATCATCATGTACTCTTCCAGGTAGCATAGGCTCTTATGCCTCACCACAGATCTCAGTGCTTGGTATTCTGAATCTATTCCTCTGATTATATTCCTCTAAGTCATCTCTTCAGTCTGTCAAGCATCGTTTCTTTTGGTCTGCCTTTGCCTCTCATACTGTTAATCTTGTCATGAATCACAATGTTCTCCAATGTCTCCTTCTTAGCATATGACTGAAGAGCACTCACTGCCTCTTTCTTTTATTTGTATATAGTTTTTTTCTAGTTTCATCAATCATTTCTGGGCAGTCGTCGTTCTTTTTTTTTAACTCTTGGTCATGTTTTCACACTAAGAAGATTTTTCACATTTCTAGATGTTAAAGACCTTATGTGAAATTTAAAAACTCTTATTCAAATCAGTGCTGCAGCACAAATAAAATCACTGCAGAATTTATTGCCTGGTATATGTGGCCGAGCATTTCAGTGGAAAGGATTGCATTTTTGTGTTGACATAACTTAGCAATGCTCCTGATGAGACTGATAAAAGGCAGCGAAACATGCCAGACAATAAATTATGTGATACGCTGTTTGTGTCTGCATTATTTAAATTCTTTTCTTTCAAAACATGAATCTGATATCTTGAAATCACTCTGTAGCAAATCATGTTTTATATATATATATCTCTCAGGCATGCATGTGAAAGAGAGAGAGAGAGAGAGACAGAGACAGAGAGAGAGAGACAGAGAGAGAGAGAGAGACAGACAGACAGAGAGGAGAGAGAGATAGAAAGAGAGAGACAGAGACAGAGACAGAGACAGAGAGAGAGAGAGAGGAGAGAGAGATAGAGAGAAAGAGAGAGAGAAGAGAGAGAGGAGAGAGAGAGGAGTGAGAGAGAATTTACTAACTGCAATTCTGGTCTTGTTAAAGTAGTTATATATCCTGATGAGAGAATCCCAGCTGCCTGCTACTACCAGTTCATCAGTTGGGTGGAAGTCCACACAGTTCACTGGGCTGCAAATACACAATTGTTTAGAATGATGCAATGAATAATAATGAAATAATTTGTAGTAGACAAAAGAATTCAGCTTCACAATACAGATTAATTAGCAACTAATTCTGTAATCACCATTATCATCCTTCTTGTATTTCTGTGTGTTGTTAACTGTCTTTTATTTCTTCTTTTTGTGATAGGTCTAGTGCAGATATTGGTAGTAATGAGTTTTTGAATCCTGGCGTATGCCTCAATCAGAATTAAAAATATCAACCCTCTTGTCTCTGAATTTAAAAAAATGTAATTTCCTGAATCTAACATTTCCATAGAATGTCATGTAGTTCTAAAGAAGTTATAACAATTTTTAATTTCTTTTTAATCCTGAATTTCCCCAAAGCCTTGAATCCCAGAAAATTTGAGGTCATGATGATGCACTGCGGAGGTATACTCTGTCTTAAAATATTTATTCTCCAAAAGTACTCAGAGATCATAGAAAATGCCATTCTGGCCTTGCGTCCTGGTGAAGGGGGAAATTCCAACAGCACCTCCTTGGGGTAAAGGTTTGAAAAGCACCTCTGTGCGGCTATCACAGTCTTGGGGACCATGTCTCTGCTTGGGTAAGCGGACATCTCTTTGGTGCTATCTGCTGTTAGCAATAGCATCACAAAGTTGGGCACTCACTTACCTTAGCAATGTAAAAGATTACCGAAGAATGAGATGCTCAGTGAAAAGTAAGGGGAGATTACTACTTTATACACATCATGGACTCTCATTCAGTCTTTGAAAAAAAAAATAAGAGTTTTGGAATTGAAATACTGCAGAAAGGTTCTTGGAATAGTATGAATCAAGTAAAAGAAAACAATGGACCAAGAAGAAGAAAAACATTGATGTCATGCATGACTCAAACATCAAAAACTGGCTCGTAAACAGCACCTTCTCTCAAAAGCTGAAGTATTTTGGAAATGTCCAGCGCCACTGTGGGTTTGAGAGAACAGTCCAGTTTCTCTAAAATGAGACAGAGGTTGACCTCTATAAATGAGGATACAGGACACTAAAGATGCATTAGCTATGAAAGCAAACATGGGATTTGGCTGGAGAAAGAGAGACTTTTCAGCGTGCCATGAAGACAGCGACATTCTGTAAAGAACATGACTGATACTGATGTAAGAAAGAGGGTCCTGACCCTGAGGATTTAGGCTGCATGGCTTATTTAGTCATCACAAACTCTACAAGTTTGAATCTTTATTTTTGGCCTTCACAGAAACAATTTCCATCACTTTACAAAGCATTCAAACCTGAATTTTATAAACAAGAATCAAGCATTCTAACCAACTGGCTTCTTCTTCTTTTTCTTCTCTTTCACCTTGTACCCCATCGAAGTGTCAGGAGGGAGATGTAACAGTCATTGATGAGCTCCGTCAAAAGCACTATTAAGACTGATGATCATTTCTGTAAGGCTGTTCTTAATGCCATCACTTCATCTTTCCGGAGGTCTTCCACTTGCTCAATACCCATTGTAACGTTTTAGTGTGGCTCGCTGTGGCAGATAGTACCAGGGCATTCTTGTTATGTGTCCAAACCCCTTCATTTGTTGTTTTTTGATGACCTGTAAGACTGGCTTTATTCCTAGCATTGGTCTGATTTCGGATTCTGTCTTTCCTTGAAACTCCTACAGCTCTTCTAAGGCATTTCACCCCTTGGCCAAGAGTGAAGAAACTGAAGTCAATAAATGACAGCTTGGTGTATGTCTTGACAAATTTTACCATTTTAAAATGTAGACTTACTACTAGATTTATATAGAGGTCTCTTCAAATATTACTTGGCTTCATAACTGCCTGTAGATTGCAAAGATGGTTCTGATATGTTACAAACAAACCTAATCAAAGGGTATTAGCATGCACATCCTTTCCCTTCTGCTGGGAAATGGGAGGGGTGTTATCTAGTGCTATATGTAATGAAATAAATTTTTTCCATCAAAGTCAGTGTGTATCTGCCTGAGAGGTGTGGAACCGGCAGTCCACACACACAAAAACTAATCTGCAAAGCTTATGTGCATGCAAAATTCAAGTTCTGGAACAAGACAAGAAGTCGATAAACACATAGAACTTTCTGCCAGATTTTATCACAATCATCTAATGTTTGTTTTAGTATCCAGAAGCCATGAGTTGTTAACCCTTAGGTTCAGTATTATGGATATCACAATCCTTCTGCCTTGATTCCATTGTAAATACCGTAAATCTGGGAGAAATGTGGAGTGAACCCGGACCACAAGGAGTTCGTAACCTGGTCACCGTGCAATTTGGTTTAGCCAACTACGCAAGAGAGCCGGGCCAATAATCTAATAAAATTACTATCCTAAAAACTTCAAACAATAAGCAGGTACTAAGAGATAAGAAAACATATAGCTCACCTGCCAGTGTCAAATTCACACATCTTCTCTCCACTTGTATTCCAAACAAAAACATAACAGTCCCAGCCACCTGAAGCTATCAGTTTGCCCCGAGAGTCTGCAGCACATGAGTTTACACGACGGCCATGACCTTTCAGTGTATGGATTCTGGTGGTGAAACAATGCATGAAAAGCAAATTTAAAGTATGTTATCAAACATCCATGGTGAAGTGGTCAAGCCGTCTGCCACACGCTCTGAAAAGCAGCTATCTACGGAGAAAGATTAAGCTATATTGGATAAAATTCAGTGAAATAAAGTTAATCCTCTCGATTTTAACCTGTAATTTCTTTAATACAGTTCTGTTAAGGTAAAAGACAAAATAGCAGTACAATCTGACATGGTGAGTGCCCTTTGGGAGCAAGTCAAAAATGCAGAAGCTTGAAAAGATCAACACAGTTTGGATGGAATGGTGCAGCAGGTAGTGAGCAAAAGGAAGAGGCACTGTAATCTCAGAATTTAGATATGACTTACTCTCTCTTCTCTCTCTCTTGACTCTCTCATCTCTCTCTTGACTCTCTTCTCTCTCTTTCTTGACTCTCTTCTCTCTTTCTTGACTCTCTTCTCTCTCTCTTGACTCTCTTCTCTCTTGACTCCTATCTCTCTCTCTTGACTCTCTCTTTCTCTCGTGCGTGTGTGCTTGCTTGTGTGTGTGTGTGTGTGTGTGTGTGTGTGAGAGAGAGAGGGGGAGGAAGATGATGGACAATCTGACATAATGACACTGATGATCCTTTGTCAGAAATTACTGAAAGTCTACAAGACTGACCAACCATATGCATTTTTCATAGTGTTATTTTTTGCTCACTGTATGGGTCCCTTGGCATATGAATGATGGTTCTAGCCTATTAAATCAAAATTAAATCATTTAATGTATCTTAAAGTTTTGAAGAAATTCTTATTAACTCTTTCAGGCCCATGAATTTGGACAGACTTGGCCCACATTAATTTCTGTTTACAAAAATGGCAGATGGGATGGTTTACAAGGAAGGCAATACAGAATGTAATATACTTCTAATCCCTACAGAAGTATATTTTGTTTTAGAGAGAAATGAATTTACGTTTTGAATCTGATGATAAGTGTATGTTTAATATTATTAAAGTAGGTTGCTCTTAGGTCTTGTTTTATGATTTTAGTTTGGCATGCACATCCATTTTACAGATCTGGCTTATTCTTGTGTGCTACTGATCCTTCGCTGAGGCAGATCAACACCAACAAGAGAAATGTTTATCATATCTACACTGGCCAGTTCCCTATAGGGAACCTGTTTCTAGGATGATCAAGAAGAGGTTTTGATGGATCTTGACCAGCATTAGCCCTGGTCCAGATTCAAGAACTTTTTTCTTTAACCAAATATGTATGTCTGTGTTACCTGTGTTTATTTTCTACATCCCACATGGACAGGGTGGTATCTGCTGAAGCACTGCATAAGATGTTGTTACCCACAAAGCACACATCTGTAACTTCATCAGCATGGCCTCGGAGAAAACAAAGCTCCTGGAAAAGACAATTTAAAATCAGATCAAATATATTTCTGGTGCGGGTTCAGGAGACCCGCTGTAAGGAAAACAAGAAATGAGCTACAGCATGTTGTACGAGACAAATAACTGGGCGCTTCCTTCGAAGTCAGACTGCATCTGCCTGAGAGGCAAGGAACCAACAGTCTGCATTTAAATGTCAGATGTGTGAAATAGATGTGAGCACAACATTCAGGTTCTGGAACAAGATTATAGTCAAGAGGTGGACAAACAACCAGAACTTTCTGCCAAAATTTACAGCTGGTGAACATAAAGAAGAAGATGATCAGATATGATGCAGGAATCTTTTTTACTGCTATGTATTACAATCTAGATGTGTATTATGTCAGAGGCATTATATACACAGATGCCATTACAGAGATGCCACAGTTAGATTTTATATGTTGACTAGGCATGCTTCTCTCTGTCTTTGTCACAGTAAATCTCACAGACGTAGATTATGTCTAAGCTGATGCAATCGCAAGCTACTTACAAACCTAGCTGATTGTCTTAAATTCGAAATAGCTTCAATCTACAGCCCTATACTTCATAAAAATATGTTTAAAATGTAGGCTGCTTCAGTTTTTAGGGCCGATGTGGATCGGGTGGCACAGCTAATTGTCAGGTCTGTCATCAAGCTTGCCTTCTGGATAAACCGTTTCCTCTTGCCATGACTGTTTGGTGTGGGATTCTTCTGACAATGTAGCTTTGGATTTCGCCTGACTAGTGTACTGACAAAATAATCCTAATAAGGACAGTAAGGGTGCTAACCAATAAATCTCCGGAGTCCATCAATGTAGTGACGATCCGATAAATGTAAGCGAAGCGAGAGGTAATAGGCTGTCAAACAGCGTTTTGTGCAAGCTGACTCGCTGATGAATGGGTACTGTAGTAACAAGGTGGTAAATGTTGGCATTTTATATGTTCCGTCAACCATTAGTTTCATTTAGAAAATAAGTCGACCATAAGTTTCAGAAATATTTTTAGGCCTGATAAATGAACTTGAAAGCCAACATTTACAGTATATCTGAATACTATTTGACTTTAACCAGTCAGGATGACAGTCAGAAATTTTAATTATTAAATATATTTCTTTTAAAAATCTCTTCAGCAGAAGATAGAAATAATTTAAAAGAAAAAAACTATTTTAACATTAAAAGAGATTTAGTCTTCTACGACTGTTGACTGCTTTCCCCTCCTAAGCTGCTACCTGAAGATCTAACACCTCTGATTCATCAGTCACAATGTGGATGACAATCCAGCAGGACACATCCCAGATACCCTCCTAGGACTTTGCAATGAAGATTTCTGTGATGGCTATAAAAGTAATATTCAGCGTTCTCTGTACGAAAGGGATAAATATTCAACACACAGATATTTAATTTTAATAATTTATTTTTCATATTCCCCCCTTACCCCTTTTTATCAAATGTCTTTTTACTTATTTTGTTTCATAATATAGACCCTTATGTCCATATTTTTTTTCTTCATGATGTTTTTTCTTGGTTTCATGTTAACCTTAGTTGTTCAGAAGCTCTGTTCTCTCATCCTTTCAGTTTTGCAGTCAGTCTGTCATTCTTAGTACTCCACTGATAAAGACTTTGGTCGAAACAAACAGTTCTTTTTGTGCACATCTTTTCCATTCCCTACATTGAGCTGTCTAATCAAATTTAAACTGCATTTAGTACTTCTTGTCACAAACTTGACTACAGTCACCCCTATTTATGAGGGTACTCCCTGGGGCATCCTGTAGTCATGGTGGAGTAGTGGCTCCTATTCTATGAAACCAGTTGAGAGAAAAATACAATTAGCCTACTTTATAAAGATATTTTATGTATGCAGTTTAGATAATAATACACATAATATTTATATGTGAACATGTACAAATACTATGTGTTTTTTTTTTTCAACAAAGAGTGCTATAAAACTAAGTCTGAATTAAAAATAGACTGACCTTGCCTGTACCCATGTCAAAAAGTCTGACAAGGAGATCTTCTGAACCAGCAGCAAACTTGGTACTATCAGGGGAGATAGCTACACAAGTCACAGGCTTTAAAAAATACAGAAAAAAAAATCACAAATGTATAAATGAATGAATGAATCAAGAACTGACATGATTGCACTTGGGACATTCCTAGACATGCTACATCCCACTCTTCAGTAGCCAATGAAAGGTCAGCATAATAGTACCAGCTACAACCTGATTAAAAGTTCACCTACGTTTTCCCCTTAGTGTTGAATATCTTTCAGAATCACTAAACACCCCCTGTTTAATTATTCAACACTAAATTTACATGTCAGCAAAGGAAAAAAAATGTGAAATCTTAGGACTATTTTCATTAATTCAAAGCTAGACACCAAAAACTATAAAGAAATGTATTTTTATTCTACACAAAGATAGGAGAAAAGGTAGCAATATAGTAAATGTAAGTTAGTTCTCTTTGTTTTTTTTTTTTAAATATTTTTTTCAAAGTGTATTGCAGTATACTAAAAACATAATAAATGTGTACATATAGAAATTGATACTGTCTATAACACTCCCCAATCCCCCCCCATTATAATTATTGTTGTATATATATATATATGTATGTATATATATATGTATATATATATATGTATATATATATATATATATATGTATATATATATATAATATATATATATATATATATATATGTATATATATATATATATATATATATATATATATATATATTATATATATATATATATATATATATATATATATATATATATATATATATAATATATATATATATATAATATATATATATATATATATATATATATATATATATATATATATATATATATATATAAATCAATGTTTGTGTGTTTGTTTCACCCCTATGAACCGATTTAGCTGAAATTTTCAGGATATGTTTGTTGTGATACCGGATTTTGAACTGTCGCGGTTTGAAATTCAACCTGTCACTGTTAGAGATAGGTGACCACAATTTATGCCAAAATATACGCAACTAATATTTATAACTTTAGTGATTTTTAATTATAGCCACGTTAGTAATTGCGCATGCGCCGTATTTACCATTCGCCGGCGAGTTACGTGCAGCTAACGCACATACTAATACATAGAGTAGGTCGTGGTACAGCAAACAAGACTATCTCTATATTTGCCACAATAATCATATTAAACACGATTTCTATTTTCTGGTTTTTTTTCAAACAACCTTTGATGGGGGGGGGGGGGGGGGGGGGGGTCAATCAAGGACTATCTCGATGTCGACGCAGACAGTGGCTGCGACATTAACTTCATTAACCGTGTTAGACACGTGCGATTTCTATTTCATTAATATATCTGGAGTATCTGTCTACGAGAAAACAATTGCCTGCGGTTTTGAATTGTTTTCATTGCGACACAGTAGTAGGGACTCACATGTCTAATAGTTGAGTTCTCTTTTCGTAGTTCCGATTAAGTGGCTGCTTGGTCGAATGGTTAGAACACTGGGTTCATGTGCAATAGACCTGGGTTCGAATCCGCAGTCATTAAATTTTTTTTTTACCCCGGACTAAAATAATATCCTCATCTGCTCTGTCGTGGTGACAGCACTAGCCATGTTGCCTTAATATTAAAAAAATAAAAAAAAATAAAAAAAAAACCAGTAAATGGGTAAACCATTTGATAATTAAATTTGACCATTTCGCATACTTATGATTGCATTGTTAAACTTTCCGATTGCATGGTTACGCTGACATTTTATAGATTTTCATTTAGATTTAGTTATTTAATCTGTGTTGGAATTTTAAGCTGTGCTGTTTACAATGGCGTTCATTTCCTAATTATGGTGTTTTTTTCCTGTGTTCGTTTGCTTTTCAAGTGTTTTTTTTTTCTCCCAACTACTTCAATGAGGGAAAGAGTTGTCGGTGAATTTGGGGGAGGGGGGGCAAACTATTTACTGAGAGAGCTTTAAGTCACGTGAAGACCGCCGGTAAGGTTATGGCGTTCTTCTGTCGGCAAGTGAAATTATACATCCTAACCTGACCAATCTGTGGCGACAGCACTAGCCATGCGGAACCAAATCTTCTGGCTCACGACTCTCTGTCTACTCCGATGGTAACACAGATAGCAGTGACATTATTTTAGTAGTTGTACTGGTACTTGAAGGATGATGTGGTAAATATTACACTAGCCCTATTCACTACCTTTTACAATTCCTGCTCCCTATTTTAGTCCAGATGGACAGGGATGTCAATGTCAGTTACAGCAACAACAAAATATCGCCAGTTAGTGATTTTCAAATCCTTCGAAAAGGGAGAGAGCAGTAGTCGGTGGAAGAGGGCAGGGGGTAATGACTTAAATTTAAGAGAAATTAAAGAGCTTTACACTTGATTTTCAAGTTCTCATTACCTAATTTGTTTATATTTTACTAACGCTACCTCCGCTTTTCTATTTTTTACGACTTACTTTGTTATTCACAAGTACAGTTGTATCTTTACTTCCGTCTCCTATAAAAATACAAACAGCTTTAGCATGTGATAACCAAATAACCACTTTTGTTACCGTGCTAATAGCACCATTTAAACGACCACTAATATAAAGACACAATTATATGGTGCGTGTTCTAAAGTTGGAAAACCAGACTATTTATATATATATAAAAATATCATGTGTTTGTGTGTTTGTTTGCCCCTATAGACTCGGAAACTACTGAACCGATTTAGCTGAAATTTTCAGGATATGTTTGTTTTGATACCGGATTTTGAACCATCATGGTTTGAAATCCAACCTGTCACTGTTAGAGATAGGTGACCACAATTTATGCCATAATATTCGCAACTAATATTTATAACTTTAGTGATTTCTAATTATAGCCACGTTAGTAATTGCGCATGCGCCGCCGTAGTCAGAACGCAAGGTTTCTGCCATTCGCCGGCAAGTTACGTGCAGCCAACGCCTTAATACATAGAGTAGGTCGAGGTACCGCAAACAAGACTGTCTCTATATTTGCCACAATAACCATATTAAACACGATTTCTATTTTCTGTTTTTTTTTTTCAAACAACCTTCGATGGGTGGGGAAGGGGAGACAATCAAGGACTATCTCGACGTCGGCGCAGACATTGACTGCGTCATTAACTTCATTAGACAGGTGCGATTTCCATTGTCTTTCTTTTCTAAAAACCTTTGATGAGGGAGAGGGTAGTAGGTGGATTTAGTTGTGGGGGGGGGGATCAAAGACTATCTCAAATTTCGCCACGCATGGCTGGGTACAACTAGTATATATATATATATATATATATATGAAATATACAGCTGTGAAATCACAGACAGTAATAAAAAAAAAAATTTCAGGGCTATATATTTTTTTTAATGCTGAAAATTGAATCTCCACAAAATTAAATTTTTTTATTTTTATTTTTTTATTTTGCTAAAGACAAAGACAACAAGTCAAAAGTATAAAAAGCAACAGTTGTCACATTTGAGGAAGTGAGGGGCGGAGGGTGGGGGGTGGGGGGGGGGGTGGTTGTTTACAATGTGAGAAAAACTTAAACATGTTGCAAATGGAAAGATTTATGAAGATCTTTGGAAACAGACAGACAAAATTGATAAGTAAAAATTTTTGAAAGACTTGTCATAATACAAAAAGGTATAAGAATTGATACCTGCTGTTGGAGATGGTAGTATTAAAGAGAAGAATGGTCAGGCAACTGAAATCAACTATTGATGATAATTTTTTTTTTAAAGAAATGAGCAACAAAATAATTTCAGTACCATTTTTCTTTTTTATTTAAGGAAATTAACAACTGTAAATAAATAGGAAGAAAACCACTATAATCAATCAATCATGTTTGAAAAAATTATATCTAATGTAATCTATCATATACCCCATCCAGAATCCTAAATTATCCAGATAAAAAAAACATTCATCAAATGTTCAGGGATCACTAGAAGTGTGGGTGACACAGGGTGGGGGTCATCTTACTGTTTGCCGGTTTGATTTCACCTACCATTTTGAAGCTTGAGAGTTTCATGTAACACTGGCTTTCCGTCTCTGGCTTGTTGGACCACTCCATGTATGAAGGCAGTTTTGAATATTGTTCTTTTTTGGCAACAGCTTCTTTGTAAGGGATAGTGCTGCTTGGTTCATTTATGGCTTGCTGCCACTCCAAAGTAGGGTAACTGGATAAAGAATAGTCTTTCTGCATGACTTGATTTCTACGTGAAATTTAATTTTGCAGAAATTACAGGTTAGATATATTTACTTTTGTGTTTCATTAAATCTTGAAATGGCTCTTTATCTGCTGTGAGCTTTTGTTTTATTAAAAATGTCTATAAACCTAAAGAAAAATATTAAAGAATGTTTTGTTATTAAAACTATAATTTATTTAGGAACAAACTAAAAACAACAACAAAAGTAAAATACAAATCATCATCAAGTTCTTTCCTTGCCATATGTCAAAGGTGTTTATATTCAGGTGTTTATTAGATTTTACTTTCATTTGAACACATTCCATTCTTTGTTGTCAGAACTGAATTTCTTAACTTGCAGATACATATTTTAGAGATCACATCCATATTCGTTTTTTTTTTTTTTTTTGGTGGAGAGAGGGGTGGGGAGCTCCACATCATTAAACATGGTATAAATCAAGTCCAGGGCACAAAAGCATTATAATTACTGATCTTTAAAAAAAAATTACATCAAATGAATTAAAACAATGAAATTATGTATCATATTAATTCTTTCAGGACAGTATTTTTTTTTTCTGGGGTTTGGACAGAATTTCTGCTGAATTTTTTATTTTTACTGCAACATGACAAAGCTAAACTTTTCTGAAGAAAAGTACATTGACATATATTACATCAAATTAAAGGGAAATTAATACAGATGTCTAAACTAAGGATTAAAACTGCATCCCAAAAAATATAAACATGACACCACACTCAACAACAACAACAACAACAAACACATGTTACTGTTGCAGTTTCTCTGATATTTTTTCTTCCCACGTGTTCACTGTCTAACCTTGCTTTGTGTGGTTCTTCTCTTTTTGTCTCACAAGACACTCTAACTAGGTAAACCATTTCATTTACCATTTATGAACATAATGCAATACTGTTTGTATGTCAACTCTTTTCTCTCACAACTTCATTCCACATTGCACCTCTGCTGGTCACTCTGGCAGTTTTTCCTTGATATCTCATTTCCATAGTTACAATATTCTGTTCCCATATAATTTGAGTGAATATGTATCATATTAGTAGCTTATATCTGTGTTGGAACCTAAAGTCAGATCTAAAACAGGCTAAATTTTATTTTAATTGATAATTTATTAGACAAAGACAACCATGTTGCTAGAGGTCAGTGGGTCAATGTATTCATAACAGCTAGCTTTAACAAAAAACAAAAAAGGAATTAACATGAGCAATCAATAGTCAAAATTACACAAAAAAGAAAGAAAATAGTTAAAACAAAGGTATATGAACTTACTTGACAAAAATATCAATATTTCTGGAAACAAAAGACCTGAACTGCTGGACTCTCGGCAGAGATATGAAACGAGCCAAATCTTTCTCAAGAGATTTGTTGACTGTGAGTGCTATAATTTTAAAGTATATGAATAATAATATTAAAATATGCAAACTTCAACTGCTCCAACATGCTGAGAGAAGAAATACAATTTTGAATAACATTTGGAAATTAAGTATACTATGCCCTTCAACATCTGCTAAAGTCAAAGTCTCTATGTCGCAACAACAAAATAAAAATGTATAATCCGTTGATAAGACCAGACATTTAATATGGTTCTGAAACTTGGAGCACAGCTAAAAGAAATGAAGCCTTATGACAAATTTTTGACTCTTACAACTAATCTTTGGATCCATCAAAGATGCAAACACAGGGGAATGGAGAGAGAAGCAACAACAAAATTCATAATCTGTTTAAATCACCACTGATCACTGGCATTGTGAGGGTACTGAAATGGCTGGGGCATATAGAGAGAATGCCAGATGACAGAAAGGTAAAAACTCTGTACACAAGGGAGATGAATGGTCATAGACCATGAGACAGACCAAGATGATGATGAAGAGATAATGTCCAGACAGACCTACAAACACCTGGTATCACCAAGTAGAAAGAGAAGGCCAACCAGAGAGATGAATTGAGACGGGTGGTATCTGCAGCAATGAAACTCATGGGCTGCAAATGCCAGGGGTGCTGCTGCAATAATCAAGAATGTTTCCAAATCTGCCTGATCAGCGAGGATAGCAGTTTAAAACAGAAATACCATGAAGGAAGCCAAGAAGAGTTCTAATGCAGGTGTATTCAGAAAAACAATGCTTTTGGCAAGTGCATACTCAAAAAAGGAAATAATGAAAAATTTATTCAAACAGTTTCATTCATCGCATTACAGACAAATTAATATTAAATTTTCACTTTTTTTCCCCCTTATTTTCCTAAGTATTCAAACTGCTTTAAGGGTAGGTGTGCACACAATTTTTTTTTTTGGGGGGGGGGAGGGGGGGGCCCCCATAAGGGTGCTGCGGCGAAAAAAGTCTGAGAAACGCTGCTCTAGAGCATATGAGTTTTAACTGTTAAGAATAAAACATAACTGTTCAGATAAGCTGATCCCTGAAAACGGCTTAGCTTCTACTGAAGTGAGGTTGATATAGAATCTCTTAGATCTAATACCATCTCCACTGGACTTGTGCTGCAGAACTCTGCTTTCCAAGCCCAGAAATGAGCCGGTTGTGTAAGATTAATAATGGACATTCACATTTTCAGAGAGGCATAGCAATCCTAACAACAATAATGAGACTGGCTAGATGTCCATCCGCTAATTTAGGATCACAGAAAACCCCACCATCCTTGTTTCGTAAAAATGCAAACAGTCATCACCGAGAGGAATCAGGATTGTTTGAGTCAGCAGTGGACAACATAATCTCTATATACTCCAAATGCTATTTTCCTCCCATAACTCAGATAATGGTAAATCATCTCTTTGCCGCTTGTAAAAATATAGCAGTTCTAACGTTTTGCAGTGCATTCACACATCATCATGGTCACCCTGTCATGCTATTATTCGTATTTCTTAGCTTTTCTTAAATTCATCCATTTGATGCTCAATTTCCAGAAATACTGATATGCTTTACAGTTAGCTCCTAACCCGCCAACTGCTACCTGTTAGACTAATCTAGGAGTCACAAACAACACATGAAGTGTGAGTCTTGCTAAATCCTCTCCCTAGCTTAACATGTTTATTACTATTTGTTTAATCAAATCACACTCAAGAAATCTGACTTATCCAATGGTCACTACTATTGTGATAATACTGTTTCACAAATAATGTACTGTTTCGTAATGCACATTATGAATTTTAATCACGGACATGCCTTCACTGTTATCTCCTACAAAATCGTCTTCTGGTACTAAAATAATCAAGTTAGCTCACAGAAATCCAAAATGGAAACTGACCTTTGGGAGTGAAGTCATCAATGAGTGTGGCTGCTAGCCCAAGAGAGCATTTACTTCCAATAAAGTGATGGTTGCACAGTACTTCCTCCAGCTCATGAAATTCTCCAGCACATGCCTGCAAAATTGAGATGGTTACAACAGAGCGTGTAAGTAAATTAAAATTAACAGAGAAGATAGTGAGTACATAAACAAGCAAAGAATGAGAATGATATTACAAGGCAGTGGTTGCACAGTATTTTCCCCAACTTACAGATAGAAATTAGCACAAGCCTACAAAAATGAAAATGACAGTGAAAGAACAAACTTTTCAAAGGGTCACAAATTTGGCACGCACGCCCGTCTTACATCAGGTCCTTCCAAATACCTGTCAGAAAGCAATTGTAGTTTATCTGTAAAGCATGTTATGTTCACATACATTATATTTAACATGATCGAGCAAAATATACAAAAGCATGAAAGAGATATTGAAAAGCATGGATAGAACTACAACAAGGCTTGTCAGTAAACTGCCATCAGAACTGGTGAGAAGGCAAAGAATGAGATTATGAGAAGCAGTGATTGCATAAAACTTCCATCAGCTCACAGAATCTGTCATCATGATGCCATTGTCCTCACTTGCATCGGGATGTCAGGTTTTTAACACTCTTGACATCCTTAACAACAATAATGATAGGTTACAAGACAATGGCATGGTTATTGCAATCTTGATTACACTTTTAAAGTTTTCATTCCAAATCCTGGTGTGAACATGAAACATAAATCTTAGGTCATATGATGAAAGAGAAGTATTGGAGCAACTGTGATAAACCGAAAGATTAATGACAGAAGTAATAATTTTAAAAAATGACGCAGGACAGTCTAAGATCATAGCATGGGAGGAAATCATAAATACTGATCACTAACACTAAGAACTGTGAAGCGACACAAACACCTATGCTATGAAGTAAACACATAATAATGATTGTATCCATTCTGCAATTGCATATGGCTTTTATCCTGTACTAAATGTATTTGGAGATTTTACTGATGGGATAAACATGTCAGTTCTCTCTGAGATACTTCCGTTTAAGTCTTTTGTGTATTTTTCTTCTGATTTATTGTATTGTATATTTATGTAATGTGCTGATGAAGGCTCTCTAGCTGAAATATTCACTTGTCTTTTTTTTTTTGGTGATATTGTGCAGCTGACTGTTTCTAATTTTTGTTTGAAAATAATAATAATTTTTGTTCTTGAAGATGAATACATTTTTAAAAATAAAGACATAACCAATTGAATTGTAAATTACCAGGTGATATGGCAGCTCAGCAAATGCTCTAGCATTCTGGCCTTTCCATGTATTGTTTCTTAGTTGATCTGCCTGTTTCAGGAAAAATCCTAGAGATGAAATTCAAAGACATTATTAATGAAAGCAAACTTATAAATACTGGAGATATTGATTAAATCAGTTTTGCTAAGGTTAAAAATCATACCCAGTCAACATGAGTTTCCCAATAGTCAATGCACACACAGTATTTTGTTATGTCCAGCCACTAAAAATATCCCACTGTTTCATCTGCATCTCTCTCTCTTTCTCTTTCTCTTTCTCTCTCTCTCTCTCTCTCTCACTAACACACATAGCACACACAACCTCCCCCTCCCCCTCATCCCCCCACCATCAGTGTAAAAGCCTCCCACCAACTGTAACCACACATTCTAAACTTTTGCCATCTCCTGCAGTTCCATCCATGCCCTAATCATAGTACTCTTGTATATTTTTTGCTCTCTTTCTGCATGTTTCATGACTTCCTCTTTCTTTCTGCATTGCTGGCTCCACAGAAAAGACCTTCTTAGATTAATAATATATTTTACTTGTGTGTAATGCATCCAGCAACAGCTTCTTTTCCTCACCTCTTGATTCCCTTGATTTTTATGATTTTTAAGTTTTCAACAGACATATGTGAATAAATATTAATTAAAACATTTACAAATCTTGTTCATTCTCCCTGCCAGTGGTTCTTTCAGGCGAGAAGGCTACATGCTTCTGTGAAAGCTATAAGGTATCATATATCTCCCACTGATCCATACAAGTTGGTTTTCCTCCAAAATGCTAACAGGCTAGATCTGAAATCTCGCTAGCATTAAGAAATAAGTATTGTACATCTTCCCAATACCACCACAAGCAATTCTAAAGAAAATGAGAAAGTTACAAAAAACAGAAAAACTACAGTATATTTTTCTATGAAAACTAGCCCACCTGCTAGCAGCTTGTGCAGTCTGGTTTCCATAGTGGCACCTGCCCCCTTGAGGTATCGAAGTCTAACAGCTGTGCTGATTTCTTTATTGGCAAGAAACAGCAAGGAAGACCTGAAATAAATTAATGATTTTTTAAATTAATATTAAAGTAAATTTTATAAAAACTGTAAAACTGCCTACTTTGATTTCATCTATGACCATGCAGAAATGTTAAAATATATAAAGTGATCTACTCTGTACACAGTATGATAATAAAAAAAAAAATAATATGGATTGACTGACACATACAGATGTTGATGAAAGAGGCAGAAGTAGAAAAACAAAGTACTAGACAATATAAGAAATGGAAAGTTATAACTGCCGTAGCAGTAATAGACAACATAAGACATGGACAGCAACTTGTTGCCTGTAAATGACAACTGCGCCTCACATAGCCTATATGACACCCCTTAGATATCATTAGCCAGGTATGTCATTCACCTAAGTCATCGACTAGGGATTACTGATTAAATTTGTATCCGAACATTGAATTAGCACCTTTGGTTTCAGAAATTTCTATATTTCAGGCATCATCATCATCATCCCATAACACTGCGTATTGTTGGAACACCAGTTGCTGTTGACTGATCAGCTCCTTCCACCTTTGACACGATGGACTTCATAGTTGCATGTCTAAGGCCAGTTGAGTTGTGACCAGGTCTTTCTTGGTCTGCTTCTTCTCCTCTTCCCCTCTACTGAGCCCTATAGTATTGTTTTTGAGAGGCTGTTAGATCTTATTACATGTTTGTACCATTGCATTTTTGATCTGGGACACACTGCACTGTCCTTGGTAACCTGGGCAACAACAGAGCCAGTGTAGAATTATATAATCAATCACTCATCACTGTGTGTCTTGGGCAATCATTGTTTCAACCCTGGTGGGGCCCAATCCTTTCCAGGTTGCCACATCCCCTTTAGCCTGTATCCTCAGATAGTTTCCAGTCTGCACTATGGGGGTTGGCTTGTGCAATCATGGGATAGCAGCAGGCTATTAAATTGCACTTGTCATCCTCCTGGTAAACTAGCTGTCCCAAATACTGCTAAAGTGCCAGGCGTGACAGCTTGCAGACACAAATTTTAAAAATACACATTAACTTATTTTATACATACTACATACCATGAAGAGCTTGGATTCAGGAGACACATGATAGATCTAGCCAAAAAACTGAATTTAAGATGTGGAATTTCAGTCTTTAGGTCAAGATAGCACAAGTTCCTTGGTTCAAATTTACTCTCTTCCAGCTGTATGTGCCAGTTAATTAGCTCAAACAGTTCTTCTGGATAAAGTCCTGCAGAGCAGTAAATAACATGTTTAATAAAATTAGGTTCTAAATACATCATAAATGTGACTAAAACGCTCAACGGAGGGAATAGAAAAGACAAGCACAAATACAACTGACTGTTTTGATAAAAGTCTCTTTCAACGGAGTAGTTAACTCTCAGAGTCGCAAGGAATGCATCATGTGCTAACTGATTACAACCCAGTGGCCCAGTCGGCGTGTTACAAGTGAAGGTTTTTAATTTACCACTGACTAGTAATAAAACATGGACCTCTCATTTTCAACTTCCTCTCCATTTCTTTGTGTTTGATATTAGGCGTGCCGACCATCAGACTCATTTGGAAACATGGTTAAAAGGATAAAATATTGTATATTTGTGAGGTTTACCAAGCTACTAAGTGTGTGTTTGAAAACAATATGGCCACAGAGCCATATACCATCATGATTTACGGTTTTAGAAGCCTCAAATTTAAATAAAGCATGTGTTTCTTAGATTTATCTGAAGTTAGCTAGATAACGCTGCAAAGTAGACTTGCTTTAGTCATTTATAGTCAAACTTTGATAAAGCTAGCTCTAATGTGTACCTCACGCGAAGGGTACAGCGAAAGTAAAGTCAGCTGCCACTAATAGAATAAATTTAAGAGAAAAGGCCATTTTTTTTTCTTCACTGTCAGTTAGTTCTAGTGTTGTTCTCCTTATTATTTAGGAACACAGCTACACAATTACAGGCAAACTGAGTTTTATATAAACTTCCCTTTGTGTGAAGATACTGTTTTTAAAAGTCAGTTCTCTTTAGAAAATAATGGTGCTCTGTTATGAGGCTTCGAAAGATTCTCTGGAACAAGATCTAATGTACAGATTTAATTTATAATTTAGTTATACATTACTAAGCGGTTAAAGTTCATTTGTGATTCATTTTGGAAATATTTTAATGAGTTTTTCTTGAGTGCCATAGTGGTGAGTGGCCAAGATTATTATTTCACTGATTTATGTAAACATACTGTCTGTTTATTTACTAAATTTTAACTATTTAAGCAATTGTTTGTTATATCAGTACTATATTATTATTCCCCAACAATTCCTGGTCACTTTGATGTAAAATATGGATAAGGATATATTGCACAGCAGCTGAATTCATATAGCATGTTTTAATGTGTTACACTAGCAAAATTTAAAAAAAAAACCGGCATAACCACCCATTGGACCTCTGATGCTAAAACAAACTTTGACCAGAAAACTCAATGAACACTACAGCAGAACTTGTAATCAACCAAGGTCAATATGAAACCAAGAAATTCATAATGGGAGAAAAAATATGGACATATAGGGCTATTTAACAAAATGAAATAAGTAAGAAGGTGTTTAAAAAAAAGGGGGCGGGAGAAATGTAAAAAAGTTTTTAAAAATTATTAAAATTTAATAAAAGTAAATATAGCTGTATTGAATACTGATCCCTCCAATATATAGAACATCAAAACTGTAAATAAAATTATTTTCTAAAAAGTATGGCTGGTTTGAAAATAATGTGCTGCTTAAGTCTTTAAAATTAAGGCTAACCTGGTGTAGATAGAACAAAGAAGAATTGTCAATTTTAGTAAAAAATAATGAGTATAAAAACATACATTGCACATTTTATTGCCTCGCATATTTAACTGTATCTCCTCAGAAGCATTACTACAGAATAACATATAATAAACATAAAACTCGGAGCCGCATTAGTGCAGTCAATAGGAGGTTCACTTTCAAATCCAGCTGCGACTTGCTGCAGCCACGGTCGGTTTTCAAAACTGGGTGGATCCCAGGGTTCACGCAGCCTCTAGGGAATGGGTACCAGAGTGACACTCAGGGGTAAATGGAGGAACCTCACTGTAGCTACAGAGTTACATGCGGATGGCGACACAGGCGGACAGTTTCTTATCAGCTGTCCGTACTGGTGGCAAAGCACTTATGGTTTATAACCATGTGTAATGACGCTGGTTCACATCTCCTGACTTTATCTTTTTTATATAATAAAGCAAAGTAAAAACGTAATTAATTTCACTGAAATAAATAAATCATGTGTCTACTCAATGATGCACAGATCCTGTCTTACAAGTCTGAAATTAACCTGTTAAGTCGCATGACTATCGTGAACTTCCAGCGGTGAACCACCTTGCCTCTCCCCATCGTGGTTGGCTGGATGATATTATTTGTTACTTTTAAAGCTTTTTTTATGGTCGGTTAACTTGTGTGTGTGGCTATATTGTTTAGCAGGATGGGTAGCCATCTTTAAGCATATCCCTACTATAAGTAACCTCTTACAACAGTGAGGTGTGCCAAAAATCAGCGATTCTCAACCCTTTGGGTTCAAACTTTCACATGGGTCACCTAAGATCATCGGAAACACAAACCCACTGAAGCTATTAAGTAGCAATGAAAAAATTGTATGGTTGGGGTCACCATAACATAAGTAACTGTATTAAAGGGTCGAGGCATTAGGAAAGTTTAGAACCACTGCTTAAGATATTGGTATTTAATGAAGTCTTTGAGTACAGTAATCTAAGGGCTCTTTCCGTGCCATTAGCACATGGGGTACATAGTACTAGACACATAGTTTTTAAAAACAAATAGCTGGCTGACATTCCTAGCCACAGAACTACTGTGGCTCTGTACTGCTGTAGGAGACAAATTAACCTGAGACATAATTAACAACATACAGAAGATAATGAACACTTTAAAACAATAACATTAACAACAGCAAAAATTAGATCATACCCTCTCTGGCACATGCAAGCAAGCACACAGCTGCTGTAACAATATCCTGCCCATGATCCTCCTCCAGCCTCTTCAGTATCTCCTGCAACATCTGAGCTGTTGTATGTGGCAGAGATTTCAGCTTATCAGAAATCTGAAAATAAAAATATGCTTTTTGGCCTTTCCCCTCTAGATGACACCAATGATACAGCTATTGACACTGCTTTGATTCAGGATATGATTATGAGAAACTGTACTATGAATAATTAGACAATGTTACTAAACTTGTGTCATTAACATTTTGGATTTATTATTCCCTTAGTGAAATAGTTGTTTATTCTCCTTGAATTTATCTTTAGGAAAAACAAATATGGTATGGGCATTCTTTACCCTTCTACATATGGATGTTAGTTCTAGTAATAGATTGCTTGACCTTGCCACGCAGGTCTCTAGGGCTGCTTATTTAAAACAAGTTTTCAGTCGTCTTAGGTAATTTACAGACATTTACATAATCAATCAATAGTTTTTATTTTTTTTTATTTCCTACACTCTAGCAAATACTGCTCTATAGGTAAGGTTAAAAACAATTTCAGGCTCCTTGATGATGATGTCAATGAAAGGCAACAGATAAAGGTTTTTTTTTTTTTTTAAAATATTTTACTAACACATTAACATTATTTGCTCCCATATTTTATCTGCTGCTAGCCTTCGTGAAAACAATAACACTGCCAAAAATAAATTAGCCAGAAAGTGTACAGTGATTAACATATGTGAACGTAAATGTCAATTTATAACCGGAGCATTCTTCTTTTTCTTTGTTTATCCTTAAAAGGTAGTTGGGGCAAAGCATTGTAATTTACAGCTAGGCTATGATATCTGCACCATTTGGCCTAACATATTCATTTAACCAACTCCTAATTTCTGTCTGAATTACAACATCATCACCAAGTTCCTATCATCTGGCATGGGCAATCATGCTTTTTCACAATCTGTGATTTTACAGTATGTATTGAGTTCATGTGTTGACACCGCTCCAATCCATGAGAAAAGGCTGACAAGAATCCTCTTGTGTTGCCTTTCTCTGTCTTTTTCCACAGGTCTTTCCAATGGTCACAATATGTTTCAACTTCCTTCTTCTTATAACATTACAAAAAATTATGACTGTCCCTTTTTGGTGTCTGTGATAAGTTGTTTTAAAGCCATCACCTCTTTCAAAACACCTAACTATCAGGTAATATGTCCGTCCCTTTGAAGGATGCAATTTTTCGTTATTTGAAGCCCCACCATGGCTTTTGCCGGGGGGCCCTGAATATAGCTGGGCCACTTTTGTGGCCATAACGACTGAAAGGGGTTTCTGGGACCTCTCCACGGGTGATCCTCATCCGCATGGTGGCACTTTGTGTCACTGGGTGTTATCACTTGTGTAATGTCCTGGTGCAGTACAACAAGCAAGCAAAACACCTGGCTGAATTACATACCTTTTCAAAAACACCAAACACTCGCAGCTCTTCACAAGCTAGCTTTAAGAACAAAGGATTGTGAGCATCCTTCTTCATCATCAGCAGCTTCAACTGAAACACAGCATGTGTGTTTTGTTTATCATGTCTTCCTTATATGTTATACCTCTATATTCTAGCAGATCTGACAAACTAGCACCAGAAAAAGAAAAAAAAAAGATTCTAGCACAAAGCAAGTTTTTAAATCAATTAGGTGAGTTAAAAAAAAAATTGTTTACCTACTATAAACTATTTAGGAGCACTAACATCCTATATAATTTGAACATTGAGAGGAATTGGCTCATAAACAACTTCCTGCCCCAAAAGCTGAGGTATTTTGGTTAAGCGTCACGGTGGCCTGCAGAGAATGTGATGGAGTGCGGGTTCCAGAAAATGAGGCAGGAGGTCGACTTTCATGAAAGTGGATCTGTTGATTGATGACAAGCATTTAGAAGCCAATGTTATATAGTGGCTAAACACTTACTTTCTGACCAGAATGTCTTGGGTTCAAATCCACATAAAATTGTTGTGTGTGGAAGAATTCACATTTGCTCTCAGGTTGTTCTCTAGCCACCAGAGAGCTGCAGTTACCGCTACCACCTCCATTCTCATGCTAGATGTGGTTTTGTAGGCTGTTTTGCACTAAAGATTTTCCATTGGCTTTCGCTACAAACCCCCAGGCACTTCTATCCTCTCACCATCAAACCATCTGTATAGACAATCAGATCACCTGGGCGTGAATAGTCATGACTCAACTGTTGGACTTCCACCTCTGCAGCACATACTGGCACTCTCTGCCCAATGTGATCATAACCCTACACAGGTCAGACTTTTCCTCTGGTACTCTTACCCACTTCCTCTCCTCGCCCAATGTTCTCAAGCATGCATACTTGTCTTACTGTGTTTTCTGCTTGAGCCATTCACGATTTTCCCCTTTTCAGCCTTACCCCCTTACCTGCAGCCAAAGCTTCATACAGAGGGTGCTCTTTGTCTGCAGCTACTCTGAGGTATGACTTAGCCTGCAACACCTTTAGCCTATCTGCAATAGTCAGCAATGCAAGGATGTTTTGCATGCACACAATCGGGGTGCCTCTTGTACATACCAGGATCACCCGCATAGCTTCATTCTGTATGCGCTCCAGTTTCTCTAGCTGACTTTTCGAGACAGTGAGTAACCCCAATCCATAATCATTCACTGAGATGATTAAGTGCTGGTAAAGTGTGAACATTCTCTGCTCCATGTCCATGGCTGCCATAATCTTCAGTGCATTACGACCTTTTTGAGCCCTTGTCACAACCCCCTCTATGTGATCCTTAAAAGACAAACTTCTGTCAACGGTGATTCCCAGGTACCGCAGTCTGCTGTCTCTTTTGATGTCCCAGCCATTTTTTTTTTGAGTCTGGGAAAATCAGCTCTAACAATCCTTTTGTTCAAAAGAAAACCACAGGACAATTGCCTTTTCTGGGTTGATTACAACACTCATCTCTGAACAGCAGTCGATCACGTTATTTACTGTTGCCTGTAACTCTTCAGCTATTTGATTCCTATCTTTCCCCTTCCTATATACAAGAACATCATCTGCAAATGTCAATATTGTGCCAACTTCAGGTGTTTCCAGGTAGGCAATCTTGCTCGTAGAAACAATTAACAGTACAGGTGAAATTGAAGATCCATGTGGTAGTCCTGGAGCTATAATACATGGTTCAGAGGTCCATTAACCCATGAATAGTTTATAACTGTATATATATGATAACAAAATGTTGAAAATAAGCGACAAAGCCTATAGCTATAAGAAGAGAAACAGATGTGCAGAGAAAAGCCTCAGACAAACAAATTAAATTACCAAAGACAAAAAAAAAAAAATATTCTGTAGCAGCCTAAAACATTTGCTAAGTGATTAAGAATATAAATGTATACCTGGTTGCCAAATCCAGTCTCAACCAGACTCTTACGGTGTTTGGCCAAAGTCTGGCGCACAATGTCTGCCTTGTCCCACATGTCCAATGCACCAACAGGGATCTGGACTCCTGTCAAGCGCTTGATGGATGTGTGTGCTCTCTCACCTTCAACCACGGTGATCACAAAAACAACATTCTAAAACAATAAAAACATTATTTTATTAAAATCAACCAGTGTAGAAAAACCAACTGTTTAAAATAAATTAGTTATAATAACTATAGAACTTAGACAGCAATGAAACTAATACCAGCATGGACAATATACAGTCTAGGAAAATTTTAAACTATTTTGGAGCTCATAAAAAGAGTTACTACAGGAAGACAGAAAACAGGAATATCAGGTGTGATTTCACACCACTAATAAAAGGACACCAAATAAATAAGATAGCCAAGGAACCTTCCTTTACATAGCAGGCCTTCGAGCAGCTGAAAAAGGATCAAGTTTTGAATTTTTGTTTATCAAATTGGAATTGGAAAAAAAGAGTTACTGCAGTTAAGCTGATATTAAGAAGTATCTCCACACAAAACAAACTATGCTTTAAAAGGTCAACGGTGGGACAAAGAAAAAACATGGACACATACGACATAAGATTAAGATCACAGAATTTATCAATGGACAAAACAAAAGGCTAATTAAACAATCAACAGTGTCAACATGGAACAGAAGACATGTAACAGAAGAAATTATGGACCTCAAGAGCTATTATGGAATGAAAAATCAAAGCAGGATAAAGAAAAAAAGAAAAAAAAAGTATTTTTTTTTTCTAATTAAAATTTTAAAAAGATTGGCTTCATCAGGAAAATATTACTATACATTCAGTGGATATTTGACACAAGACAAATTAAACCCTCACATCAGGAACTGGGTTAGGAATCCACTCTAAGCTGAAAGGTTCATTTGCACTGTCCATTTGGTCAATGCCATCCAAGAATATCATCAGTTTGGATGGACAAATATTCCCAGCTTCCTCCAACAGGTCTTTGAATTTGAGTGTCAGGTTCCTAAAACAACAGATCAATGAAGTAATTAACTGAATAATTAAACTGACACTGCTGTATGTGTGTAAGACAGATGTGGTCAAGGCCCTTTGGAAACAAGCAACAGAATCAGTAGAGATAGAAGATTATTATGGCCTGGAGAGAATGAGGCATCTGGGTGTAACCAGAGGGTCTGGCCTGCTCACTAAACTAAGAGGAAAGGCAAGACCGACATATAACCATTGGTACACAGCGCTGGCTGCTGAAGATGAGGATGGAGCAAGCATGGGAACATCCAGAGTTCTGTGATGTCAATTCTTGACTCAACTCAACTCCGCTGCTGTGTGTATGTGACATCCCCATATATTCTGTCTCCTTTGTAAGTAACCAATGAGAACTACCACACTAATGTTGCCAGTGACAACCAGATGAAAAATCTGGCTATTCCCCCCGCCCCACCAGCCTTTTAATCTGGTTGTTACTGGCAATACTAGTGTGGTAGTTTTCATTGCTTGATTCAGGTTCACCATTTATGTCTGTTTAATGTGACTTATAGATGTAAAGGCTGGTGGTGCCTAGGTTTTTTTTTTTCTTGTTGTACTGCTCCCTGATTAGGACTTTTTTTTCAAACTGTTTTATTGTTTCTGAGCCACTATATCATTTACTTTCACCGTACCATTGGAATTTAAGTTAACATAGAAAAAAACTATCATACACTGGTAATTAATTTACCATTCAGTCGTACATACTACCACTTTATCATACAATTTAGCTAGTTAAAGAGTCAGTTTATCTTTAAATTTAACTAGTTACCACATAGTTTATCATTCAATTCAGTTAGTTAGCATTTAGTCCAGGTAGTTATTATGCACTACCATTTTATCATTCCATTCGGCTAGTTATCACACAGAATCAGTAACTTTATCATTCACTTCAAATAGTTATCATGTACTCTCACTTTACTACTCAATCCAGTTAGTTAATTCATACTGTAATTTTACTATTCATTTCAGTTATAGTCTGTTCCAAAAGTGTTACCCTAAAATTGTAACACATATATCAAAAAACGTATACAAATCGACACATATTTTTGCAAATGGTCTTAGATGTCCCCAATCCTTAAAATTTCATAATTTACATTTGCACAAGTGCTGCTATTTTCTAACAGTGCCAAATTTCTTTGATTTGTATTGCCTAATAATTTGTGTACCCATTTTTCTTTTTTAAAGTAATTGACACAAATTTTTTACTTTTTCTGAGCCAATTGACACATCTTATAGCAGTACATCATATCCACTTCAGTATTCAAAATAAGTGTGCCTTGGTTTTTTGCACAAGTTACCTCTAAAACATGAGCAATATAATTGCTTGCCAAGTACACGTCAATCCATTTACTGTATACATACTAAATGTATGCTCTGAATCTGTGTTTGTTTTTTCACATACCATAAATAACGCAAAATAAAAACCAAATGTTCGTTTACACTACAATTATCTTCCTCTAGGGACATAATTAATAAAAGGCTGCATGCCAAATTTCAACAATTTACACCGAACAGCTGCTGATTTTTGAAGTTAGGCACATCTTTTGAAATGGACTAGTTACCCCAAACCGCCATTTTACCATTCAATATAGCTACTTATCACACACTAAGAATGGGTATGAGAACTTTGTGACAACTGGCAAGATTGATACACACAACAAAAATAGCAAGGGAATATCAAAGAGATGAATACCTGACTGTTTGGCTACAAGACATGATACAATGACCTGATGTATGATTCTAGTGATTGGATGAGATGCCGGAATAGGATCACCTATGCTAATCGCCAGTGTACTGATGATGATGATGATGTCGATGGTGGTCACAAAATTAATGAAAAAATCTTGCTAACACTTACTTGAAATCTTCAGGTAGGGAGTAGCCGAGACCAAATCTTGTGTTGATCTGTTGAGACAGTCTGCGAAGCATTGCTGCTAGGCTGTTGGTTCCTGGTGCTGCGCCTGCTATATTCATGAATACAGAATACCCTCTGGTTTTAGAGGATTCCACCTGTTGTATGACTGATGCCTACAGATTTTAGAAAAGTTTAGGTGAAATTCTGGATGTGATTAAAAATCACTATTATTATAGCCAACGAAGAGTGGTTGGTCAAACAGTCAAGAACACTGGGATCTAACGTGAAGGACCCTTGTTTGAACCCTTGATAAGAATCTGGGTTTTTCTTCTTCTTCTTCTTTAGTCCTGTTCTGCCTACCAGTGCCAGGTTTTGAAGAAGCATCATGTATGAGCATTGGTTTGTGCTGCACAGCTGATGGTATTTACAGCCTTGGATACTATGAGAACATTAGGCGAGGAGAGGAGTGGGTCAAAGTGCCACCTAAAGTGCCTAGACTTGTGTAGGGTCATAATCACACTGAGCCGGGAATGATGAGACTGGCCAGCATGTGCCACAGAGGTGGAAATTCAGAAATTAATTCAAGATAATGCTCGCTCAGAGGATTTGATCATTTACACGGATGGTTCAGTGTCAAGAGGCAAAAGAAGTGCTTGGGGTTTCTTAGCAAAATTTAATGGTCGACTTTTGGTGCAGGAGAGTCTAGCATATGATACCACAACATCCACCTTAAGAATGGAGGTGGAGATGGTCACTGCAGATTTCCGCTGTTCTCTACGACACACACGCACACATCGTGATTGTAACTGACTTAGAAAGCATGCTGGGGAAGATCAGGACAGGCATGTTTCGCGCAGAGTGGCATGCTTCACTGAGGAGGACACAAGTGAGGAGTATTGTCTGGATTTTTTCACCGGGAGATGAAATTGTGTTGGGAAATGAACAGGCGGACAGACTTGCTGGCTCTGCACAACTTGGTGGAATACTGATGCAAGACAAGGCAGACGTGTACAGTTCGGAGGAGCAGATAGAACACCACAGTCTGGTGAGAGTGATGCGGGGGGGGGGGGGGGGGGGGAGAAGTTCTTGCAGATGCTCGAGGCTCAGATGAAAGGCAAGACAGACGTTTAATCAGAATGCTACTGGCACCATTAGTATCGGAACTCTTCGCTGGCTGCTGAAAATGGGGACGGAGCCCTTATGGGATTGTACCGAGTGCTGTGATGTCGATTCTTGAATCAACTCAACTCAACTGAGCCTCGGATATTCCATTTATCCACTACTTGCAATGTAGACCTCTAGTTTGCTTCCATTATGTCTAAGTGACAGAGCTCGTTTCTGTCAGGGGCAAAAATAACAATCTAAACTATTAAACTGCACAAGCGTACAGGACAAATTCCTCAGGCTCAAAGACCTTACCTGTCTGGCCTGCAAAAAGTTGTAAATACAGGTAGTAGTGTTTTTGTTTGTAAATTTTGTTTTTAATTTTTCCCTTTTTTTTTTCTTAGATAATAAAAATCAATTGAATTCAACTGTGGTTTTCTAAGCCAACAAACTAAAAACAATTTAGAAATGTAAGTGAAATGTAAAAAAAAAAAAAAGTTAGTTGCATATCCTTTACAGGATCTAGTAGAAGCAGCACCAGCATTTATTGGCTGTTGTGGTTTTTCTAGGCAAGTTTTACGTTCAGTAGTTTGCCATTGCTTCCTGAATGGTCAGCTCTTGGTACCACTGTCGAAACCAGCGCAAGACAAATCCTCCGCAGCAGGGATCAAAACCGGCACCCCGGCATTACAAAGTGCGTTCACAACGCCTAAGCCACAGACAAGTGAAATGTTACGGAATATACAAGCATATATAGTCAGGTGTGTTTCCTTTACAGGACACCCAAGTGCTTATTATCTTATGCTTTTACCAGGTAAATTTACAATCAGTAGTTTGTCATTGCTTTTTAAATAGTCGACTTTCATCACAATCATTAACGCACTGCGGATTGGTGTTGGTGATCGTGCCATCCACTATTTGCAATCTTCATCAGCATGTATCAATTCCTGCTGACACACCTCCATGCCATGACAAAAGGCTCTCAAAAATGGTCTCACCCTGTCTTCCTCTGTCTCTTTTTCCCCAGATCTTTCAAGTGGTCACAATATGTCCAAGTTTGGAGCTCAAACCATTGTTAGAAACAATGCAAAACTACAGCATATATACACTACTCAAATATATAATCATATTACCATTTTTTTTTAAATATTTTAAGACAAGACAGTCAAAAAATCTTACCATCAGTGTTGTTTTTCCACTTCCTGGTTTGCCAACAAGACCAATAATTCCTGAGTTAGTACTTTTAATGTTTGAAATAATCTCCTCCACAAGAGTTTTACGACCAATGAAGTCACAACTGCAGTTCTTAATGAAAGCCCACTGGAGCTGATTTATGTGCTCATCTTCTGTAAGAACCTCGTCCTGTTAGGAAACCAAAAATGATCAACACATTCAGATGACAGGCCTCACTGTGTGGGTTCCTGGTACCTGTTATAGGGACAACAAGAATAAACCCACTGCCTACCCAAAAGCTTGTCGTGAGAGTCAACTAATTAGGAGCTTCCTTCGAAGTCAGAGTGCTTCTGCCTAAGAGGCAAGGAACCAACAGTTGAACACAAATGAGTCAGATCTGTCAAACAGATGCACACACAACACTCAAGTTCAAAAAAGGACTGCAGTCCAGAATTAGAGGAACAACCAGAACTTTCCGCCGAAGTTTACAGCTAGTGAACACAAAGAAGAAGAAGATAATAGGCAGACAGCATCAAGCAATAAAATTTCGATTCAAGAAAAACATGCATAGAGCAACCAGTCATAATTATCAGAAATATACATATTTGGAGAAACCTAGTGACAAGTTTGACATTAAGAACAGGCAGACAGATTGGATGATGCTGGAAGGTGATGTGCGTGCGTGCAAGAGAGAGAGAGGGGGGGGGAGGGAGGGAAGGAGGGAGAGAGAGAGAGAGAGAGTGAGAGAGAGAGAGTGTTGTCAAATCTTGATCATATTTAATAATTCTCTTTTCCCTCCAAGTCTGCTAGAACTGAGCTTTAAAAAAAGGGGGTGGGGTGGGGTGAGGGGAGGGGATCTACTGAATAGGGTAAGCTACAACTACATTATTCATTCTGGAAGAGTTCAGCTGAACTGTATATCAGAGCACTCAAAACATTTCCATAAATTCTCTGTCCCCAAATGCAGCAGCCAGCACAAAGTGATAATGTCAATGGCATTTGCACCAGTATGACTGTAGGCATGTGTTGGCTTTTTTTTTTTCTTCTTCTGAGTACTGAGTGTGACCAGAAAAAAAATTCTTTATGAAAGAAGCAAGGGCTGACAAGCAAGAAGGGGGCGTAGAATAATAAGTTAGGAGTTTAGATTTGACACCATATCACTCAGGACATTTATATAAGTGCTCTATCCCCATCTTCAACAGCAAGTATAGAAATCTTATTCTAATGGTATCAGAATAATGGAGACACTTTAGGCATTAAAATACATGAGACGATGGAAATTCACTAGTAACCAAGAGTTTCCATTGAGCCGTAAAGGCAGTGATGCTCCACAACGGATCTGCCACACTGTAAGAGACTAACGCAATAAATAAACAGGAATTTTAAAAACAATAAAAGCATACCTTTTCAGGACAGAGCTTTCTGATGGCATTGGCCAGTGTGTTGAGGACACGTGCACCAAATTCGTCTAGCCCTGCTACCATTGGCTTACCATCAACACAGCCTCCCCAGTGACAAGGATACCTAGTTGCATTATTTCAAAAAAAATCAGCCTTTGTGAATGTCACATAATAATGACACATTCATCGACATATTTAGCACCAAGCAGCATGCTTTTATGAGTGGCAACATAGGATTTTATCATTATCATCATTATCACCATTGTTCTGTTGTACTATATGTCATATAGGGCTCACAGTACATACCTCCATTTCAATATGTCCTGTGCAATCCCTTCAATATCACAGGTGGAATCAGTCAAGGCCCTTGGCTTCTCTCATCTACAATGGTTTTAAGGGTCTCTTATGGATATTGTCACTTCCTCAAACCCTTTATTTCCCATTTCAGTGTCTGCTTTGTGATTCTCTGCTTGTTTCTTCTCAAAATATGTCCAGTGTAATGCAAATCTTCTTTGTCCCACTGTTATTACCAGTGGTTGCCTAGAATTTCTCTCCTCCCCCCACCCCCACACTCTGAATACATCCCATTTTATGTTCAACACTTTCTTCAGGTATTTGTTTTCAAATGAGTTTGAACTTTCGTTCCATGTCTTTTCAACACAGGATTCGTTTTACGTGATTTTTTTTTCTTTTCGCGTGGGTACCGAGTGAAGTCCCGGGAAGTAAAGGTGGCCACACATCACCCATCTTGTGCAGATTGGTCTATAAAATGTAGGTCTAGCACTATATGCCCTATACGCCTAAAGGCGGGGGAAAAGGTCTTTTACTTTTTTACATTAATCTACTGTTTCAAAACCTTAACTCATTATATTGGAATTATTATTTTATCTTCTTTAGGCACATTTGCTAATTCAAAGTAATAACTGCTTTGGATAGAATGGGATATAGTAACAACTGTCTGGTATTGAAAGCATTTAATAGCAGGAAAGATTATTATAAATTATTTACAGTTTCTTATGAGAACTGAATTACTGTTTGCAAAACATTACTTGATCAATAATAGCTCTTATATGACAGAAAGTGCATTTTTAAAACTAATCTTTTCAAATGTAGCAATCATCACCATCAAGTGTCTCGTCGACTGGCTATCCACAACCCTGGATCTACGAAAGCATGTATCAGTTCATGTGGTATCAGTTCACGTGGTATCAGTTCACGTGGTATCAGTTCATGTGGTATCAGTTCATGTGGTATCAGTTCACGTGGTATCAGTTCATGTGGTATCAGTTCACATGGTATCAGTTCACGTGGTATCAGTTCATGTGGTATCAGTTCATGTGGTATCAGTTCATGTGGTATCAGTTCATGTGGTATCAGTTCATGTGGTATCAGTTCATGTGGTATCAGTTCATGTGCTGACACCTGTTTGCTATGACAAAAGGCTGTCAAGAATCTTCTCTCATTGTCTTCCTCTACCTTTCTACGAATCTTTCTAATGCTCACAACACGTTCCAGTTTCCCTCTTCTCACAAGATGGCCAAAAAATGATGAATGTCCCCTCCTGATGGTTGTGAAAACTTGTCTTTGGCCTCTTGCCTTTTTCCAAAATATCTGAGCTGCTAACTTCGGCTGTCCAAGGAATTTTAAGCATTCCTCTGTGAGACCATATCTCTGAGGCCTCCAAGTTAACTGTCTGCACGAAACTCCCAGTTAAAACCACATGATAAGTCCACATTTGCTTACCCATCATAGACTTCCAGACCACTGCTTCTTATCTTCTTCTTCAGGGCGTTCATTTTGGTTTTGTGCATCTCAGACTCTGATTTGAAGTCACTTTTAAACACCTCTGGAACATCCCTAAATAAAGCAGTAAGTGAAGTATTTATGTTAATATACATCTATCAAAGTAGTATGTGCTTTTTTTTAAAATAAACAATGCAGCTAATTTTCAGTTTTTACATGGAGATGGGATGGAATCACGAAGAGTGAATGTGCATTAACTAGGTGCATTCTTATGGGCAGGACACACTGGGATAAGAGGGATGAACTGGCTTGCTGGCAGAGCCATTGTTGGTGTTGTCAATCCATCACAGGTGATGAAGACCACTCCTTTCATTCAGTTGTGACTGGATTAGGTTTTGTGAGTGCGCAGATGGCTGATAAGGCCAATTCTAGCACTGAGAGTTCTTGAGTAATGTGGACAGAGTAGAAGCCGCATCTCTCTGATGATTTGCTTTTGTCTCTCCTGGCTTGTCATTTCTGAACTGCTGCTGCAGAATTGAATTGAATTTCTGAAATGGCAGAGCCATAGTAGGCACAGGAAAAGCAAAGGACTAAGCTTATATTTCCAATGCTCTCAAGGAGGCAGGATGAATAGATGATTCAGGAGATGTTGACAAGTCTACAAGAACTTCATGTCAAAAGAGGTGTTTCCAGGCATGAATATTATACAGGTAGCCTAGCCAAAGATCAGTTATCAGTTGCCACATGGTGCAATGAAGATGGCTGGTTGATTAACTAGCATTACCTAACCAGATGATGCAGCACAAACTTCAGTGCTGTGTGGCATTGGTAAGCGTGTCTGTCCACTACCTTTTTTTCTTGGTATTTTCAATAATGTGTGCCATAGATGTTCATCTATGCCATGTTGCCAAAGTATAAAATACCTTCTACAGTTGCCCTCTTTTATCTTGCCCCTTGTTATGACATATTCCAGTTGTCCCCATCTCATTACATGATCAAACAATGTGGATTATTACCCTTCTGGTCTCAGTTATCGCCTAACCACAAATGCTGTTTCAATAAACTATACAGGCATTCTAGAGATAGGATCAATGTCTTCTCTTCCTTTGAAGTCAGAGTACATCAGCCACAAGAGGCAAGGAACAACATACTTCACACAAATAAGCCTGTAAAACGGGTGTGTGAGAGGGTTTAAATGGATGAACAACCAAGACTTCACCTCAAAGTTCACAGATGGTTAACACAAGCAAGCAATAAATTATTTCTATCAAAATTAAACAGTTCAAACTTTTTTTGTACACACAAGTTAACATACTTTTCCAAACTGTTGTCTCTGAGGTAGAAGACGGCTGTATCCTTGGCTTTTTGTGCCTTAGACAGAGCACCCAGGTGCATCTCTAACTCTGTGACAGAGGCTCCAGGTGGATACTGCTGAATCCAGGCATACTCGTCTGTGTCAGGTATTTGGCATGCATCAGGTATCCAGCCATAACGTTCTCCAAGAACACCAATAAACAACTGGCAACGAGAAACTTCTTCTAGACACACTTCCACTGTGCTGAAACAAATCATTTAAAAAACTATAATCGTATCAACCATTCTTTTATGTCTACCATTCAAACATTTTATAGAGATTTTGTGACAGACTTCACACTGTAAAGATAAGTAATTATATATATTTATATTTGTAATTGTATCAGTGTCCTCACCTAAGCTCCGGGATCCTCATTTTGTGGATAAAATTAATACACCCACTGCTCCCCCTAACAAAGTTAGTTGCGTATCCTTTACTGGACATTGCAGAACCAACCCCGGCATGTACTGGCTGTTGTAGCTTTTTTCTAGGCAAATTGTATGTTCAGTAATTTGCCACTGCTTAATGAACGGTCAGTTCTCGTTACCACTGTTGAAACCAGCACAAGACAAATCGTCCACTGCAGGAATTGAACCCGGCACCCCGGCATTACGAAGCACGCTCGCAACGACTAAGCCAAAGACGCCGACCCCTGTAACAAGCATGTCATAAAAAAGGATTAATTAGGGGTTTTTTCTGTTGAAATGCATCTGAGCGAGAGGTGAGAAACCAGCAGTCTGCATACAAATGAGTTACTATATTTAAAATCATCTAATGCAGTGATGGGAAAGTTTGTTTTTTTCTCTTAAACCGATCATACAATTGTCAGCAGCTTGTGAATGGTTAAAGATGGACACTTCTCAGTTTATTCTAAACAGCCAGCACACATCCTTTTAAGCTGTTAACATACCCTATATGCAATGCAGAATGACAATTACCTCCCGTGTGTGTGCGTGCATGTGTGTGTGTGTATAGGACATCAGACGTATTAGGACTGTCATGACAAAACAGTAGGTTAAGGCACTGAATCTAAGAACAAGGAGTGTGAGACAAGGCCGTCAAGACATCTAAGTTAGAGAGGGAAGAGAGAAAGAATATGTGTGTGAGAACTGGTGAGTAGGCATGTCATTTTATACGCAACACATGACAACACACTGTTTGAGCTGTGAACCTGAGCTCCTGGGCATTAACACGGAAAAACCAACATGATATGCAAAAATATTATTTACATGCAAACAAGTGGTTAGAATAAGAGGAAACCTGGATGTAACAGAGAATGCTGTGCGAATTGCACATCGATAATTACCAGTAGAAATCAACAACCTGGTTTCACTAGTAAATACATTGTTGTCGTGCCCTATCAAAGTGAACGCAATTGTACTTGTCATAGGTGACCCTCGTTTCCCGCCAAAATTACATATTAACTTTGAACTCAGCTTGTTTGGCCTCGCCCTCCTTTCTCTCAATTTCGAAATGCGTTTTTCCATCATGTGACCCAACCTTGTAGTACTTGCAAACAGTTTGTTGACAATAATAGTTGAAATTTTATTAGGTTTGGTTTTGGTAATTTTGATGCGCAGTTACCGGTGTCCTAGACATCCATCGCAAATTCTTCAGTCCACAAGACTCAAGAGAGGAGAGACCAGTCACATTGACTCTCAAAGCAGCCTTCTGTCGTAGAGATGTCAGCTTAACTCAAAGAATGCCTTCAGTGGTTAAGACTCAGAGGACGCGCAACTAGTCTCAATGATCCTCAAAGACAGAGCAAACATAAACAAGATATCGAACTACAGAGACGACACACAAGATACCTGGATCCATGGTTAACAGAGACACATTAGGAACACTATTGAGATGTTAGAGTCGATGATCAATCTATTAGTACTAAACAGCTTAGAAGCCAGGTGGCAGTTACAGACACTAGAACCAGTTAAAGTAACTAGAGATGAAGAACACAACGCGAACCTACAAGTATTTAGCCATAGAGAGAACACAGCGCTATTCAGAATATCATTGATGTATTTGTAACATTGCTGAAGTATCACAATAAAGACAGTATAGACAAGAACAGTTGTTTCCAGCCATTTTACTATACAAGCATCAGAGTCACGTGAGAAGCATGCAGCTAGCAAGACATCATCATAACCACTATCGACACAACCATCTTTCTCCTCGTTTATAATCTTCCAATTGACTCCTCCTGTAGCAAACTTAAAGACGAACCTGGGTGTGACATCAACATACGCAACAAAGAAGAGAGCTGTGCTACATGGAGACATTGTAGAAAATAGGTTTACTTTTCATCTAGCGCCAATATTCCACCTTTGTTTGCCAATGCACCCAGCAGGATCAACCTTGTTTCACAAAGTGTGCACCAGATGTTGCTGTCTGAGTGACACGCCCCCTTCTCTTACTATCGATCTAGTTTTATATCTATAATTTTTAAGATTCTCCTCATCACTCCAGCTCCCACTGACTGTGTTACTTCAACTGGAAACATATTCTTCATGAAATTCTGACTCTTTAGAGTCTGAATTAACCAAAGTATTGATCATCTGTTGGACTGTGAAAGCCCAGACCTATTTCACTTTCCTGTTGAAGTGCTTGGTTCATCAGCCGCTTGTTTCACTATGAATTTTCAGAATTTTTACACGTTAAACTACACAAAGTAAATCCAAACACATATGGGCAGCCATTCGCAATGACTAGCCACGAGGTTGGATCATGACTGGTTGGTTATTTTTAGTCTGTGATGTGTTTTATCAGGTAGTAAGCAAAGTACCGAAAATTAGGTACAGCGGTTTAGCGGCAGATTAGGAAATTACTGGAAAAGCAGTGTGCGGTCTGGTAGAGTTAAGGTACAGTTTCAGAGAATTATAAGGATTCACTTCTTTAAACAATTTTTTAAAGATCTGTATAGGGCACTAAGGTTGCAAATATCTAGTAAATATATATTTACCGATTGTCTCTTGTGTCCTCCTCTGTCAACCCCCAGCGGAGATCAACCTCATAAATGTTGATGAAGCGATTGCAAAATAATGACCTCAACTCTGGAAAGACAAATCTGGTCAGTAGATCACGCTCACCATGCATGTCCTTGAATGTTGAGGAGATAAATACTCTGACAGTCATCCAGCTGTGGAAAATATAATATTAACAATTAAGTTTCTAGTTACAAACCATCATGAAAACTGGCAAATAATTCATTTACACACGTGTACATTAAATGCTCCTCTGGAAAGCAAGGCGATTATCACAATATTTAAATTAGACAATGCTAAATGTGAGTACTTAGTAAGCAGGCAGATTATCACAACATTTAAATTAGACAATGCTAAAAGTGTGTATTTAGTAAGCGAGCAGATTATCACAATTTTTAAATTAGACAAAACTAAAAGTGTGTATTTAGTAAGCAGGCAGATTATCACAATATTTAAATTAGACAATGCTAAAAGTGTGTTCTTAGTCAGCAGGCAGATTATCACAATATTTAAATTAGACAATGCTAAATGTGAGTACTTAGTAAGCAGGCAGATTATCACAACATTTAAATTAGACAATGCTAAAAGTGTGTATTTAGTAAGCGAGCAGATTATCACAATTTTTAAATTAGACAAAACTAAAAGTGTGTATTTAGTAAGCAGGCAGATTATCACAATATTTAAATTAGACAATGCTAAATGTGAGTACTTAGTAAGCAGGCAGATTATCACAACATTTAAATTAGACAATGCTAAATGTGAGTACTTAGTAAGCAGGCAGATTATCACAACATTTAAATTAGACAATGCTAAAAGTGTGTATTTAGTAAGCGAGCAGATTATTACAATTTTCAAATTAGACAATGTTAAAAGTTTGTACTTAGTAAGCAGGCAGATTATCACAATATTAAAATTAGACAATGCTAAAAGTGTGTACTCTTTGTAAAATTTAGAAATATGGTTCACTTCTGGCTACTGAATGTTGAACATCAAGGACTTGTCATGCCATTTTGGATTTTCTTTTAATGTGATGCTAGGCTAATATTTTCTTTATCAATTATCAAACAGCACTTGATCAATAACATGATTAGCATCAGACTGACAGAAATCAAACTGACAACTTTATTTTAAAAAACATTTTCTGGTAATAATGCTATAAAGCAAAGCCATATGATTCCTGTAATAATGTCAACTTTGGGGAATTTCAACCCAAGAATATTGAACCATCAGGCAAGTGGTTACTCTAAACAATCACAAACTGCTGGTGATTTTTACATACAATATTACCAATATTTTTTTTAGACATTTTAAATGGGGAGGGGGGAGAAAGTATTGAAAGAAAATTCTAAAAAGAAAGAAAATTCAAAGCTGCTCACAGCTTAAATTAATTTGTTAAATTGCAATTTAACCCCAAAAAATAATACAGGTATGATAAAAATATGGTAGAGAAACAAACAAAAATCTGGCAGAGAAACAAACAATGCAAACTCCTATTCCATACGGTGGCATAGTGGCTTGACACTAGTCTGCTGGCAGAAAGAAGATGTGTTTGGATCCACATCTGGCAGATATTATTTATAATTCACCTTGGTTCCCAAGCAGGCCCAGCCCAAAATGGAAAAGGTGGCCAACATCATTTTGACCATACCTCAGCCTACCTGGAAAAAATTCTCAAGAGTTCTCCTGCCTCACACATTTTCCTGCCCAAGGTGTCTCTTATGACACCTTTGCAGCCCAGAAAACACAGAAATCATTTAAACAATCTGATAAGGTCAAAATGTGATTTATTTATTTCTGACTTTTTTTTTAAAAATTAATCCAGAAACCATGAGTTTGTAAACCCTTTGGCTCAGTACTGTGGATATCGCAACCCTTTGGCCTTGATCCCATGATAGATACCCTAATTCTGGGGAAAATGTGGCTTTTCTGCCTACCGATGAGTGCAAACTCTCACTGCCTTGCTGGGAGTGAGAATATATATATATATATATATATATATATATATATATATATATATATATATATTTTGTGTGTGTGTGTGTTTGTGTGAAAGATCAGTGTTTGGGAGGGCTAAATGTAAGATGTGCCCAATTTGTGAAATTTTTTTTTAAACAGTTTGTTCACTCATGAGTAAACTATTAAGATTCGAAACTTCACCTTGGTTTAGGCGCCATCAACTGCAGATCATTTTCACGAAGCAAATAACGTTTCTTTAGTGGTTTCTTTACACGAGGCAGTGACTGAAGTTGAAAAGCTACATCGATTTTGTCCACATGATTGATTTGAGCTGTGCTACCTCTTTCTGCGATAAACCTGGGAATAAAAAGCAGTTTCAGCAACAATCTTGCAGTGTTAGTAAATCTATGTAAAATGTTGTTGCTTTACTGCAACTATATTCTGTAAAGCTAAACTAAACATTCAAAATAAATGTCTAAGGGAGTCATGCAAATATTTTGGACAGACAAGATCAAAAATGAAAATAAGGAGGAAAACAGGTTCATCACTGGCAAATGTTATCAAATGATGTCACAAAATTGTGTTCACTAAGTCAACTCTTGAGACATTTTATAGAAAGGTGCCGCAAAGAGGCTACAATCACAAAATAGTGAAGTTTTAGAATATTTCTGGTAATTTATCTTGTGACCAAAGTTGCTGAACAGAAATTCACATTTGGGCAATAGTTTTAGGGTATAAAAAGTTTATTTCATTTGCATACCATATCTGTGGGCCACATGATGCTCTTAAAATTTTAAGGAAATCTTACAATACTTGAAGGAAACATTACCAGCATAGACCAGACTCCAGTCTGAATCTGCTTGTTTTACATATGTCACTGATCTCTTAGCCTGTAAAGGGAAATGAGAGCTCTGCAACAGATTCTATGGAGCTGTTACCTTGAAGAGAAGTCTAGTACTCAATGTATGACATTAAAAGTATCTAACAAGCAGTTTTTCCTTTCCTATATCATTTCTGGTACCTATTATCTGGATCTACTGGAGCCAAGGTCAATTTGTAAAATCTGTCTTGCTATTGATTGTAACTAGGTCAGTAGGGCAGGAGACAAGCATGCAAATCACAGCTCCCAAACTATTGGGTTATAAGTTATTGTGATTTTAATTTAATAACCCCACACCCCCTCAAAAAAAGGCAGCTTTTCTTTGCATACATAGAGAAGGATGCAATTTCTTTCTGTACATCATTTCCTGATATTCCTTGACTGAGGGATGGACTAAACTGGTGGTGGAAGCAATTCAGGAACAGATGGTCAATTAGGAAAAATTATACAGAAGCTGCAGAGATGTAATCTTATAGACAAATAATGAGTAAATCATGGACCCAACAGAATGTAAGTGAAGATTTTCAAAAAAATTTAGGGATCAGAAGGAAACTACTTTCTTTGGTCATGTTAGGAGAAGTGGTAAACAAGTACATCAGGAGTTGAGATGATTCAAGAACCGACATCACAGAACTCGGGGTATTCCCATAAGTGCTCCATCCTCCATCTTCAGCAGACAGTGTATAGTTACAATATCAAAGATGCTAATAGCAGTCTGATGATATGTCCGTCTTGCCTTTCCCCTGAGTGTCGAGTATCGGCCAGATCCCTTGTCACTCCACACTGTATCACCTCACCAGAATGTGATGATCTATATGCTTCTCCAAATTGTATATGTGCTCCCATAAGGCCTTAACCATATCTGCCTTATCATGCATCAGTATTCCACCAAGCTTTGCAAAGCCAGCCAAACTATCTGCCTGTTCTTTTACCAACACACTGGCATACCCTGGAGAAAAGATTCAGACAATGCTCTTCACCTGTAACCTCAGAAGTATGTCATAACAACATGAATGCTGGGGGGGTGGGAGGGGGGAGGGGAGAAGGTGCAGACACCGTAGGAAACAAGAGAAAACAAAAGCACCCAGTTAAATATCACGTCATAAAAGTATTAGTAATACAGTACACAAGACAGAAGGTTGTGAACAGACCTGACTACTAACACCATAATACAAACTAAAAGAAGAAGGAGATAACATTTTTAGCAAACATTTCTTAGGGGTTTTCAAATAAAACTTAAATGTTTTATTTTTTCTTAAAGATTGTCTGTTTTTGTCTACATTTACCCCTTTTTAGGATGTTGCAGATGGGAGAGTATTGAGCCTGGGGAATTAGAGCCACATTTCTAGTATACTACAGAGGTGAGGATTTTAATTTTTCAATTTTTTAATATTTTTTCCCTGACTAAAAAAAAATGTTATCATCTTACCAAGGGTTCAAACTTAGGTCTCTCAAGTTCAGCAAGCCGCTTCTCATATTTTAAGCCTGAATAAATAAACCTGAAATAAGCCTGGAAAAAAAAAATAAAATACAGATAGCTGACACACAAAATGAAGCTAACTGACCTGAGAATTGAATCACTGTAACCAGTGATGTAGACATTATTGCCAAATTCCAAATCAATGCTGGCCCCAGAGCTGTGATAAAAACAGAAATATATTTATATAATTTGTTTCGGTAACATAACTCTATTGATTTTGTTATGATCAGTAAAATGTTTAGTTAAAATTAAGTCACAAGACACATGATGTTTTGCATCTATACAGCAAATGTGAGGTAAACTAGAATTCAAAATGTAAATAGATGACTGTAGTCACGCTGATAACAGGAAGAACTAATTGCAACATAAAGTATGACTAGAAAGCTCTATGGAGGGAATGAAAAAGACTCACATAAATACAACCAAACGTTTGGTTGTATTCCCTCCACTGAGTTTTCTAGTCATATTTTACGCATCATTTCGAATTCGAAAAATTTAAATCTATTACTGATTACTCATTAAATAAGTGACACTATAGAATACTTGGCATATTCACAGATGCTTTATCTCGAGCATTAAATGTTCTAAAGTGTAGCACACAAGCGGAACACACGTCCTACTTTTCTTCTTGCTGGATTCTAACTTAATTTCGTATTAATGCAACTGTACACAAGTTGTCTTATATAACACTGGGTCTTCTAGCATTCATTTATGTGTGGTCTTCAGTATTTATACAGTATATTCAAACACAGAAAACAACGCTTTTATTAGCTGTGATATAAAATTGTAGATGAACTGTGTAAAGAAAATTATTTAATCTCTTGTGTTCATTAAATTATATGAGAAATTATGGGGCTTTCTTTGTGCAATAATTATTTGATGCATTATACATAAAACATTACTGCATGAAAAGTTTTTTTAATCAAAAAATTAAAATAAACTCACTGTTTTTCACTTGAAAAGGAAACATTTACAAACAATAAATTGGGGTTGACAATGTGCCTATAACTTCCTAGCCAGTCAAAGAGAATCACCCCCCTCGGGAGACGTGGTTCAAACCCTTCACCGAAAATTAGTAAATTGTCCACCTGTAAAATAGGATATGACAATATAAAATGAAACAAAGTGGTATGTCAAGATCCTGTGTAAAAACATAAAAAAGTATTACATACATATCTTTCCATTCATTTGACTCAAGGTTCTTGTAAAGGTAATACAAATGAGTTTTTCTTTGAGAGATATGCTGTTTCTTTAGCATTCCAAGCCACTGAGGTTCACTGTTGTAGACATAACCCACTTCTATTAACTTTCAGTACCAAGCAACGTAACATTATTATGCTTAATACTCAAACCATACTTGGTTTACATTTTATTTTAAAAGCCGTCCTAATATGGGATGCAATTATTGTTATTTTAAAGCCCCACTCCGGCTGTTGTTGAGGGCCCTAATATAACCTAATAGTTGCAAAGGGTTTCTGGAACTTGTGCCCGAATGGTGGCACTTTGTGTCACTGGATGTTTATTGCTTGTTGTGTGGTCCTAGTGGGGCTTAACTTCATGCATTATTTTTATAGCCATTAATTCACATATTTTTACGTTAACTTATTATGTTTAATAGCTATTATAAAACTCATCAAAACACATTTATTGTTATGCAACAGTTAAAAAACTTTGGGATAGTAAGTGTTTAAGTAGCAAATTTCCCATGTGGGTTCCGGACCATATTTTGGGGTGAGACCTGCTCTAACAAGCATCTCATAAAAGGTTACATTTTAAGGGGTGTTTCATTTGAACTTGGACTGCACCTGCCTGAGGGATGAGGAACCAACAGTCTGCATTCCAGATCTGTCAAATGGATGCGCATGCATAAGTCCAGAAATGGGCGAACAACCAAACTTTCCTCCTGAGTTCACAGCCGGTGAATGCTAAGCAGTTGTAGTACCAAGTGCCTGGTGCTGAAAGAATATCTTGAACAGGCTCTTCTCTTTCAAACTCCAAATGTTTGTAGTTCTGGCCTAATATTATCTGTCCATAATCTTTATGTGGTCCCCTTCAGTTCCTTGGTGCATGAAGTTTTTCTCTCTCTGATCTATCATTTTCTTTATATGCATGAACTACTACAGTCTATTAACTATTTGTGTGTGTGTGTGTGTGTATGGTCTAGTGTGTGGTGTGTTGTGTATGGTTGTGTGTGTATGTGGGTGTGTGTGTGTTTGTGTCGGGTGGGGTGTGTTGTGTGTTCAGGAGCAGTGCAAGGTGGTTAGTGCACTTGTCTGCTAAAATAATGGTCTTGGTTCATTTCCAGTAAAGTAAGTAAAGGTCCCTTTTCCACACCTTTAGGTGTATTGGGAATATAGGGCTAGACCAATGTTTTTATAAACCAATCGGAAACTGGTGGGTGATGTGGTCAGCATCGGAATTCATGACCTTCTGATCCACAGGCAGGCGTCTAGCCACCAACGCCATGGCAAATCCCTCATTTCCAGGAGTAGTTTGAACAAAAAAATTTTAAGCAGCATTGCTCTGGAGTTCACAAAGCCTCATATTAAAGAGTAAATATCTTTCGGAAATTTATTTGTTGGATACATCAGGACAACAAATATTTCCCTAATACCTGGTATTTTTACACTTTTGTATTTATCTGAAATAAAATAATCTGCATTTTAAAATTTTTTGAGACAAAACTTTTTTCTTTTTATTTTCTTTTTCAGCCTTTAATTCCCAATGGGGCATAGTCCCTCCAAGACTCATGTGAAGTCATCCTATCCTTTGATATTCTTCTCACTGCCTTTTAATCCCTAGTGGAGTATAGGTCCTTAACCAACCCCCATCAAGTCATCCTGTCACCTGCTATCGCCTATGTTCTAACATTCTAAAATGTGTCTACATACATGCAAATGAGGAATGCAAGATGAGTCAAATGTTGAATATTGTTGAAAACTGAATTTAAAAAATCACAGCACTGAGGACACTCCCATAAGTGCTCTGTCATCTTCGCAGCAAGTGAAAAGTTCCAAATCTGATGGTACCAGTAACAGTCTGACTGTATATCCTTCTTTGAGTGTTGAGCATTGGCCAGATCATCTGGTAACTTCTCCCAGCACCATTTTCCTCAGACTGTAATGATCTATTTGTGTCTCCGCACTGTTCACTCGCTATCAAAGGGCATCGTGCCTGTCATACATTAATTCACCAACAAGTGGTGCAGAACCAACCAGCCTGTCTAACTGTTCATTTCCCAATACATCGGCATGGCCTGGAGAAAACATTCAAATGGCGCTAACTACCCGGAACCTCTGAAGTGATGCTTGCCACTCTGCAAAAAGCATACCTGTCTGCACTTTTCTCAACCTGCTCTGTGAGTCAGTTTCAGTTACAACATGTATGTACAGCTGCTTCTGAAGCCAGTGGAAGGCAGCAGTGACTGCCTCCACCTCAATTCTCAAACTAGACTTGTGATATCATATGCCAGGCTTTGCTGCACTAAGTGACTTCCATTTTCTTTTGCGATTAACCCCCATGCAAATCTGCCTCTCAAAACAGAGCCATCTGTATAAATAATCACCTGGGCTGGAATTGTCACGAATTATTTGTCGAACCTCTGATTCTGCAGCACCAGCAGATGAGTCATCCGAGTATTTGATGATGATGATTACACCTTATAGATTACATTACCTATAGGTATGATTCCTTAAAAATAGTCAAGCACACATTCGTAATATATTACTATGGCAAATTTTTTTTTGTTTCAATATTCTGAAATGGTAGATACTTCACAATTTCTCCTCTTCACTATGCCCTTTCAAACTCAGAAAATATATAGAAGCAAATAACATGGAATCTCACCTGTATTCTGTCTCTCAGTTTTTCAAACAGTGGTGAGTATGGAAAAGTATTTTTTTGTAAATCAACATATGAAGCCTGCAATAGAAAAGAGAATATTACAAAATAAGCAAATTTAGAGCAACTCCTTATGAGCTAACATTAAAAAGGAATTAACCTCACTGAAAATATGAAAATTAAAATAAGATTTAAATAACTGAGTTCCCATATTGTTGTTTTTTTTAAATCAAGTATTTACTTAGGATGCTAGATGTATATTCACCTGGAGAGCAACAGAAGTAATTAGCATTCACACACTTTCATAAGTGCTGATGGAAATGGAATACTTATGAGTTTGTCACAAGTGCCATGATGTTAACTCTGTTTATCAATAGCCAGTCAAAGAGACGTGTAACTCAAGACCCATGATGTTAACTCTGTTTATCAATAGCCAGTCAAAGAGACGTGTAACTCAAGCCTGGCCATACAAGATTTAGAGCCTATAACCAACTGGGAAATGAAAGACATAAGAAGAATTCTTATGGTCAAACATGAAAGCCAACATTGCACTCGCAAAAGTAAAGAACATTCTGAACATAGTCACCAATCATTTTAGTGCAGTCACCAACATGATGAGAGCACAACAGAATAAAATGTTCTACGTTAAATCCACGGCTCACAGTATCACACCAAACACTCATATCTAGTAGCTAGGTGACAGAACCTTTCGACTCCCTGTTTAGAAACCGGGAATTTGCACAGTAAAACTAGATGAAAGCATAACATGTCAGAGCATCAGCGATAAGCCAGCTATGGGCCATTGTGGCTCCATGGGCAATGGCAGTTACTGTGTGTGAAATGTTAGGCCTTTATATATTCTAGGCCATGACATACAAAGTAGTGAGGCCAGTTACCTCCATTAACACCTTTTATTCCCAGATAATTACAGAAAATTCTGGAATGTGTCTGGTACCAATTTTTATGAGGCTAGGTTGACCCAGTTCCATACTAGTTGATGATTAATGGTATTTTCTTTTTTAAGGCTGTTGCCATCCAGGTGAAACGATCTATACTGTGCACTATGAGCCATAGAATTTAAGTTAAGAGGAACCAAGCATTACTGCCCATGTGGGGATAGATAACATACTTAGAATCATCTACTACCCTTAATGCCTCCCCCAACCCCTTCACCCAATGCTGAAGCAAAGGCCTTTAACCTTCACTTGCCAAGATTTGCTATAATACTTTAATGTCTCTTGTACTGCCCTTCATATCCTCAACTTATTTTTCCTCTTCTTCATAGTTCAGTGATGTTATGCACTGTGCCTGTTTACGGAAGAGCTGTAATATTTTAACGTTTCAGCAGACATATCAAACTTCTTCTGGCATGTATTTTCTAGTGTTAGCCTTCCCAGTCAGTTTTGCAGGACAATGTGGAACATTTTACAGCCTGATTTGTGCAGTGGCTTCGTCTTCCCATGACACTGTCTCTAGAATATCCATTCATGACAGCCTTATATAGACTGGTCATCCCTCAAGTGATATATATGGGCATAATATGGGCAGAATATGGGCATTCCCCCGCCATACAAGGAGGCTTCGATATGAGCAGAGCCAATACAAGGTACTCTGTTAATAAGTTCACCCAAGGAAGAATCATGTCCGGCCCATAACTGCCAAACCTCACATCTGTATGCTTCTCTCTGCCAATGACACCTTTCACATGGATGCCCCAGTAAATTTAGGGTGGCATTTATTAAAAGCATGCATCAGACATGCCCTTCCCATATGGCCATTATACTTTAATGAGTGTAGCCAATGGTAGTAAGTATGTAAACCTTTTATATCATAAAGTAGTGCTGTCACCACGACAGAGCAGATGAGGATATTATTTTAGTCCGGGGTAAAAAAAAATTTAACGACTGCGGATTCGAACCCAGGTCTACCGCACATGAACCCAATGTTCTAACCATTCGACCAAGCAGCCACTTAATCGGAACAACGAAAAGAGACCTCAACTATTAGACATGTGAGTCCCTACTACTGTGTCGCGATGAAAACACAATTCAAAACCGCAGGCAATTGTTTTCTCGTAGACAGATACTCCAGATATATTAATGAAATAGAAATCGCACGTGTCTAACACGGTTAATGAAGTTAATGTCGCAGTCACTGTCTGCGCCGACGTCGAGATAGTCCTTGATGCCCCCCCCCCCTCCCTTCCATCGAAGGTTGTTTGAAAAAAAAAACAGAAAATAGAAATCGTGTTTAATGGTTATTGTGGCAAATATAGAGATAGTCTTGTTTGCTGTACCACGACCTACTCTATGTATTAATATTAGAGAAGGCGTTGGCTGCACGTAACTCGCTGGCGAATGGTAAATACGGCGCATGCGCAATAACTAACATGGCTTTAATTAGAAATCACTAAAGTTATAAATATTAGTTGCGTATATTTTGGCATAAATTGTGGTCACCTATCTCTAACAGTGACAGGTTGAATTTCAAACCACGATGGTTCAAAATCCGGTATCACAACAAACATATCCTGAAAATTTCAGCTAAATCGGTTCAGGAGTTTCCGATTCTATAGAGACCAAACAAACACACAAACATTGATTTTTATATATATATATAAGATATTTAGTCAGTGGACTTCACTGATGTTTTAAATCAGTTTTTGATGGACATTATCACCCATGAAATGGGGTGGGCTAAAGAGAGCCTGAGGATTTCTGGACACTGCATCTCTGGAAGCCACCAACTCTTGAGGTCCCCGCCAGCTCAGGTTAAGGCCAGTACAGGCCATTATAGGTGTTACAACAATGAAGACATGTGGCAGGAGTCTTGTATAATGATCAGTAAAAGCAGTATGCACACTGCTGGTATGTGAGGGGCCATACGGATCATCATCTTAAATATGGCACAAAAGCCTTAATTTTCACTCATGCCTGTGACTAAAATCACCGTGCCACCTCCCTATATTGTTTTTCTGTCTCTTATTATCTTTGTGTGTTTTTAGATATGCTTTACCTTCTTTGTCCAGTGCACTGACATTTTAGTTACATCAGTATCATGTTTTCTCTTTGTGTGTCTTATACAAGGATCATTTACTATTTGGGTTCACAGAAATTTACGAAACTCTCTCTTTAATGGCTCTGCATTAGTGTTTACGTCATACTATTATAGTCGTCCTATCGCGGGATGCAATTTTTTGTTTGAAGCCCCACCCTGGCTTCTGCCGGGGGCTCTGAATATAGCCTGGGCATAGATAAGGCCTAGCCATAGATATGGCCTAATGGCTGAAAGGGGTTTCTGGGACCTCTCCACAGGTGATCCTCATCCGCATGGTGGCACTTAATGTCACCAGGTGTTTATCACTTGTGTGATGTCCTAGTGGGATACGACTACCTACCTACCTACCTACGTCATACTATTTGAGCCCATTCAAACCTCATAAGTACCAGTTAATTAGTAATTGTCTCACTATTTCTCTTTTTTTTTTCTAACTTTGTAAATCAAAACTAATTTCACAGAGTCAAATATTCTCAGCTTGGTTTAATTTCTTTTGATTTCCACAGAAACGTTAGCACTATAAAGGCCTCTCTTACCTTTGCATTGTTTTTCAATTATTTCATAAAAGAGATAAAAATTAAAACTAATTGTCAAATAGTATATATATACTCAACCCAACTGTATGGTGCAGAAACATGGACAATGAACAGGCATCTAGAAAATCAAACTAAGTCTATGGAGATGTGGATATACAGAAGAATAGGTCATATTTCATGGAAAGAAAAACAGTAAAGGGGTTCTGGAAAGATTGTGAATTACAAGAGTATTACTGACAGAAATTTATAAAAGAGACAACTGAAATATTTTGGCCACATTTAATGACGTTTGTTAGCCCTTTCCATCTTTCCAGGAGATAGTGTTGTAATGTACTATGAAGATGCATGGGATTTACAGCCCATGGCCATTCAGAGTGACTAGCAAGACCCCCTGCATTAAGAAAATCTTTGACAATCAGAGCATGAGATTGCAGGACCTTTGTTGCTATCACATGAATTTAGTATGCTTCTTCACAGATGCTCAGCTCTCATCCTTTCTGCAATCAGTTTACCTTCATTTTTATACCCTTCCAGATTTGTCCCCTTCACGCAACAGTCTATGGCATTTTGTTCCCAGAAATCTACCACAATACCTGTATCATTCATGTCCTGCTTGCACACATCTTTATATCATAGTAGAGGCTGGCCTCTACATTATTCATTTGTAATTCACCACAGAGGATGTCCTTAGGGACTAAAACCATTCATTCTACAAGGCTGAGGGCAAGATAGCAAAAGGTAGACAACAATACAAGTGGGAGAACAACATCAAGAGATGGACGACAATAATATGAGAGAGTGAACAATCAAGACAGGAGACAGAGCATAACTGAAGATCCATTGCAACCAACCATTATGGAGATGGTTCATTATAGAGACTGCACTTGAGACTGACTGATTAAAAAGATGACATCTGATCAGTTAATTCCTGACGGTAACATACCAATATTATTTTCAAACTGTCATAATCAGACAAACTTACGTTATCAAACTCTTCGAACTGTAACACCTTTTCCATGTTGTCCAGAATGGTGCCCTTGTCTAAGCTCACGCTGGCAAAACCAGTTTCATTAAACACCAACAGTTCACACTCTTCACATGAGTACTTGCACATCAGGCCCATCAAGATGGAAATCTCCCTGACCTAAGTTAATTATAAGCAATTAGTCAAAAATTGCTACAACGAAATGTTCGGGGAATCAAAGGTGCAAAGTTGATAGGCACTGTGGTTCCATCATCCACCAAGCGCTGATGGGTGTACTAAAATATGTGGCTAACAAAATATAAATAATTCACCACAAGGCATGGAAAAAAGGTTCTTTTCCTTTTATTAGAAAATTATCCATGGTTTACAGAACGGTTCCGCTCGCGTGTGAATCGGGAAGTGGTGGGTTCGCTCCCTGGGGGAGCCAGACTTTTTTCAAAAATGACCTTGACTTAGCCTTGAGTGGGTACCGGGTGCAGTCCAGGGAAGTAAAGGCAGCTGGCATGATGCCAAAAAATATAGGTCTAGCCCTATATGCCCTATACGCCTAAAGGCGTGGAAAAGATTCCTTTACTTTATTTTACAGAATGGTTCATACACTATATATTTGGAGAAGACATAAAATAATATGGAATAGGTCATCATCAAGTGCCTCGTTGACTCATGGGGGAGATCTTGCCTCTCCACAACAATGTATCAGTTCATGTGCTGATACGCCTTTATGTGATGCCATAACAAACTGTTGTCATGAATCTACTCACAACTTTTATCTCTATTTCCACAAATCTCTCCAGTGGTCATGATATGTTTCAGCTTTCCTCTTCTCATAAAATGGCTTCTCATATGACTGCCTCTGTCTGATATGTGTGATAAATTTACTCCGGGTCAGGAATAGGTAAGATCATCTGAATACATGTAAAAGAATTCCTATTCCTTGTATGTTGCTCTTTTTCTTCTTCTTCATCATTCCGAGCCCTTGAGGTTCAATGCTGCAGATGTCACTTCCCTCCACTCATCTCGCTGGTTGGCCTTTTCTTTCCAGTTGGTAACTCCTAGCATTTGCAGGTCTCTCTGGACATTTTCTCCGGACATTTACATCTTCTTGGTCGACGTCATGGTGTACGACTATTCATCTCCCTTGTGGATACAGTTTTTACCTCTCTGCCATCTGGCATTCTCTCAATATGCCCCAGCTATTTCAACCTATTAGCTCTCATGATGCCAAGGATCAATGGTGATTTTAACAGATAATGAATTTCATTGTTGCTTCTCACCCTCCCTTCCCCGCTGTTTACATCTTTGATAGGTTCAAAGATTTGTCGTAATACTCTGTTTTTGAAAACCTGTAATAAGCCTTTATCTTTTTTAGCTGTGCTCCAAGTTTCAGAGCCATATAATATGACTGGTCTTATCAACATTTTATATATTTTCATCCTAGTGTTACGAATGGAGACTTTGACTTTAGCAGATGTTGAAGGGCATAGTATACTTTATTTCCAGATTGTATTCTAAATTGTATTTCTTCTTATGTTGCAGCAGTTGAAGTTTGTACCTAAGTACTTATATGTTTCTGTTCGTTTAATTTTCATTTTATCAACTTGTATGTGGTCAGAGTTTATATCCTTTCCCTGTCTTGTTATCATGTATTCTGTCTTATCTTTATTGATAACTAGTCCCATTTTGTGAGAAAGTCACATGAGAGTCCGGGTTTTTACATTCTCTAGTTCATTTTCTCCAATAATATCAATGTCATCTGCATAACCAAGTATTCTTGGAGTTTTTCCAATATTGCATGTTGCTAAAAGTCTGAAAATAAAATATATCTCAGATTTTGTTCAAACCAGATTCTAACAATAGAAGCCTGATTCTTCCTCTTGCATTACAACTACTGCATAAGGTGTTCTCTTAAATGTTACGTTTGGTCAGAATATACTTAAGAAATATGGCTTTCCATCTGCTCACTGTCACTGTGCATTTCCCCTCCATTATTAAAAGTAAGATATTTGAAATTTTTCATAGTGAAAGAAAATATGTGCCTTTAAAAGACTGAGCTATGAAGAATGTTTTTTTAAATACGTACTGTGCGTGGCTTTCCAATGCCTTTGGCACTAGAACACGGTCTGTCCATACCAGAGCTGATCTCACAGAGTAGCAAGGTCCTTCCTTTAATTGGCTGTACATTATGAACAGTTGCAATCTTCACTGCTGTATCCAAGGCTTTTCTGTAGCGCTGGATGAGATTCTTATCATATGGAACCTCACTGGGGGGGGAAATAAAATGTAGAAAAATTAATTGTATTTGCAGTTTTCTTACAAGATTATGTCTGTTCTAAAGCTGGCGACATTCGAAGGTTTGAAGGTTTGAACAACGGATAAACATCATAGTACACAGGTAGTAACCCTTAGTGCTCCGTTCTTCTTCTAACTCAAGTCTGAGTCTGAAGAAACTCAGCACAGTGTACAGGCTCTGTAGCACCGGCGAGAATCCTGAAATACTTTGGGTAGATTTTTTTATCAAAATTTTGCCCGGGGCAGCGCCGTTAGGCTACTATTTTCGATTTCCAACTGCCAAGATATTTTGTACATGCGCAAATGCACACGGGCATCCAATCTCACTACCCAGGACATGAAAAAATCCCAGCCCTGACCAGGATTGAACTCTGACCCTTTAGCACTCGAGGCAGACACCATGCCTCGAGTTCATTTTATCTTATCACTGAAATTGAATAATAACTTTCCATACGAAAATTATGTTCTTTATTTTGATGCTTAAAAAAAAAAAACATGATAATAAAGCAAGAGAATAAGCAGCATAGGATTGACCATGAAAGCAAGAAGAAGAGTAGGAGTAGAATTAACAATGAGAAGAAGCATAAAATGATTGTGGGTTACAAAAATGTTAAACCACTGAGTTGTACACAGCACACCTATGCATCATAAACATGATCCAAACTTTGAAAAAAAACAAAAAGATTACTCACTTGGTTGTTTCACCATTTTTAGCATCCTTTTTCATCTTCTTTATTATCCACCAAGGAAAGGTTTTCTCTTCAGTGCCAGATCCAGGCTGTCCAGACTTTTTCTTTGCATTTGCTATTAGTTTTGAAATTGATTTTGAATCTCTACCCCCAGCTGGTTTGTTTGCCCCTTTAAATAAAAGAACACACACAATATGAATTATACCATATATCTTTACCACATGTCAGGTAACCTCTTTTTACACCCACCAGCACTGAAAAGTCTAGCCTAATTAAGTTAAGGACTTCCGGTTAAAATGGACGCTAGACAGCGGCGCTGTTCGAAGCAGAGGCAAATTTTTTGCTTCTGCCAGACGGTGGCCGAAGTATTTTTGCTCCTTTTGTAGACTGGATATAGTTTCGTCGCCCAGCTTCTGAGTTGAATGCATGGCGTGACCCTGTGAGCTGCGGATTGCATTTGGAATGTATTTTCGACTATGACCAACGTGGTGGTGTGAATTGTAGATTCAGAAAATGGCGTGATGCCTGTCAGGCAATGTTGGCGGTGCATGTATCTGGTTAAAATTGATCGTGTGGACAACTGCTGAACTGTTGGTGACAAGTTCTGCTATTATCAATGATGAACTGCATTTCTAATGTTGGACTGTTTGTGTTAGCACTTCGGATGCCTACCGTATGCTTTAATGCGAGTGTATGCTAGATATGCTGAGACAGCAGTCTGTCAATCTTTCCACAAGGGACTGTGATAAACATTCTGGGTGTTTTTCGTTGGCACAGGAGCGGAGCAAAGATGGGGCGACCTGCTGCTATGAAGCTGAAACTAAGACTACCAGACTACCAGTTAAGTTTTTTACAATAGAAATCAATATGTCTGTCATTCTGGTAAGGTTTAAATGAATGAATAATCAACCAACCACTCAATCAATCAATCAATCAGTAAGTCAAGGACATTCCCACACATGCTCCGTCTCTTTCCCTGAGTAGCCAAAAAATGAATCAACATGCGAATAGTACTACTTGCAACCAAATTAAAAGTCCGCCCCTCCCCTTTTTTCAGTGCTGAATATCTTCTCTAGAACCTCTACTCTCACAACCCACCAATCCCCCCCCCCCTCCCCAACCCATTAAATTGTCTTTCTATGTATGAATTCTCTGTCTGTTCTATTACACTGTCTACTTGATCTCAGATAGCCCTCACTCCATCCACTTTATCATAAAGTAGCTCACTACCTAGAGCAGCTGAAGCAGACTCAGCCTACCACTATAAGCTTAGGATGCTACTTTTAATTTTTTCCAAAGCATGTTGGGCTGTGCTGCTCCCAGGCCACTTGAAAAGTTGCTGTTGCTGCCTCCACCTCCATTCTCATATTGAAAGGTGTGATGTTATCAGCGAGGCTTTCTGTCTTCAAAATCCATTCACCTTAGCAAAATACATCACCAACTTCTCTTACCATCAATGTATATACTGATGTCACCTGGGAGTGGCTCAGTACATCCTATGGCATTTACAATGTAATTTCTTACTAATGGATCAAATTATGGTCAGTGATATTACAAAACTAGATTGAAAAGGTTTTTTAAAGGTGATAGGATGGACTTAACTGTGCAACAACCCCCAGGGATCTCTAAAATGCCTGCACTAGTAAAACATGGACAGTCTGAAATCAAATATTCAGAGAATGAGGCAAACAACTTATCGAATTCGAGAAAAGACCTGTTGCCTTTGATTCATAAGTGCAGGTAATTTACAGAGAGGTCATCAATAGAGCATTTTGTCTGGCTTTGTGCCGTACTCTCGGCAAGCTAACAGTCACTGTGATGAGAGAGACTAGCCAAATGGGATAAAAGCCAATGTTATGAAGTCGATTCTTTTTTCCTTTAGACACCATTTTTTTCACTGAATAAAACAATTTTTTACAAGAATGATAAAAAATTGTGTTCTTATCAGATTATTAAATGTCACTTTCTTCCAGGCCCTATTTTAGAGAACATTAGAACAGACACACCGCCCCCACTCCTACCCCAACAATCATGCTGTAAAAGGCGACTAATTAGGTCAGTTTCCTTCACAGTCATGCATCTGCCTGTGAGGCCAGGAACCACCAGTTTCATACAAATATGCCAAATATTAAAATGGGTTTGCTCACAAAACTTATGTTCTGGAACAAGACCAAAGTCAAGTAGTGGATGAACAACCAGAACTTTCTGTTGGAGTTTACAGCCAATGAAAGCTAAAAAGAAGAAACATTCCTTTACTGTTCATTTCATACTTCTTTTGTCAGTATCTGCTTTGTGCCACTAGGCATGTCAGTTTTAATGGAAGACAGTAGCTGAACCAGGGTGCTTGGTTGCTTGCTATTCTGTAATACTGTGAGGTCTTAAGCTGCTAGTGACTCCTTAAATCCATTGCCTTCTAGATCTTCCTCTGCCTTTTAATATTTAAATTTTCATGTTGTATGCTTTCACCATGGGTTCACTCTCACTATGTGGCTGAACCATTCCAGTCTTTGTTTCTCAATGAATTTAATAAAGGGTATTGTTCAAATAGTTCCTCTCTAAACTCTTCATTTTTCACATTACCTCTTCTGTTTTTTTAAGTGTATTTTTGTGCCTGAATTTAACATTTGTAAGGGTCGTGTAGGTGGGGATAGAAACAATATTTCCATACATTTATTGAGGATTCAATCCCATGTCTCTTGCATCAGCTTTAACAACAGTGTTTGTTTCTGAATTACAACTGCCAGGTTTTACTTACCATCAGCAGTTGCTGACCCTGCAGCTTGTTCCGCAGCCTCAATGATCTCCCTCTCTGAAAATATAAATTGTCAACTTTCAGGTTAATTTAACCTTAAAAGTAAAATAGGGGTGACTGCAGTAGAACTAGAATATTATGAATGAATGAGAATCAATAAAGAAGTGACATCAGTACAGTCTAGTAATTCCCGTATATGCTCCCTTCTCTTCCTAGCCAACAAAGGAGTTCTAATACAGATGGTGCAAGTTGCAACCTGATGAAAAGTTTGCCCTACAGATAGAAAATTATCCACACCCTATACAAAGTCCCAGCTGAATCTTCTTTGGTTACAGCTGCTCTGTCTGTCTGGTTGCACTATCTACTTGATCCCAGAGAGCTTTCACCACACCCGCTTTATCATGAAGTAGCTCACTGCTCAGAGGGGTTGGAGCAGCTAAAAACTATTTCATCATCATCATCATGTAGCAGGTACTTTGCAGAATGTCACTCCCATCACAGTCTGCCTGAAAGAAACTTGGTCTCTCACCAGCTCTCCCACCTCATGCACTTTCACATTCAAGGAGTCACTTATATCCTGTGCCCATCTTCGTGTTGGTCAGCACCTGCCCCTCTTTCCTGGTATCATGCCTTCTGCTATTAATTTTTTCCAATCCGTCGTGTCGCTTGATATGACCAAAATATTTCAGCTTCCGAGAAAGGATGCTGTTTATTAGCCAGCTAATCTTTCTTGATGTTAAGATCTTTCGAGATGTCAGTATTTCTCCTTTTCTTTGAACAAGATATTCTGAGAATCTTTCTATAGCATATCCACTCAAAATTCTAATTTTGATCTCCTTGCTGGTGCTTAACCATAGACTTTTAAGGCTGTTTAATCTTTGCATTGCTATAGCTATCATCCTTTTTTAATTTCTGTCAAACAGTCTCCGTTGCTATTTGTTACAGAGCCTAGATATTCAAAGTTTGTGACACTTCAAATTTCTTCAACATTTATTGTTATTTATATACATATATTTATATATATACATTTTGCATGTCCATGACATTATTTTTCCCATCAGCACAACCTTACCAATCCAGATAAGTTATGAAAAATTAAAAATTTTCTTATACACATTTTTTTTACATGTTCTGAAAGAGATCAAGCAAAAAGAATTAAACTAGTAATCATGACAGTCAAGGAAACGCAAAGAAGGAACTATGACATGCAGTGAGAAGGCATCTCCAGCTTTAAAAAGCTCAACTAAAATATGGAACTCAAAATTATATAGTTTTAGAACCAAGTTGAGTATATTCAATTCTAATATTTCACTTTTAACTTTTAGTAAACTACAAAACAATTCATCTTGCCTTGAGAAAGTAGTTTATATTTTTTTCAGGAAGACAGTGAAGAAGGCAAATTATCTCACCATACTTTGATCTAGCATATGCAAAGGCTTAAAACTTCATACAATTTCAGCAGATGGTATTACTTTATACTAAGTGCACTGACAGAATCATTTTTAAACCACTACTTTCTTCATAGAGATTCAGTTAATATGGGAATTCGATGCATAGGAGTATTTAAAAAAAAAATTCAATAATAATAATTTCAAATCTCTACAGAAATATTTGCCTAAATCCGGAAATGTCTGCCACAAGAAGTACTAATAATTTCTATACAATGAGTTAACATTAGTTACGTTATTCAACTACCAAGAATTACTTTCCCTAATCAACTCTATTTTCTGTCTAATCATTAAACTCTCTTTCCTGACCCATCCTAAATTTGTCTACCTCATCACCATCATCATCCTTTATTAATACTATCAAATAATTTCAACAACAACTGCTGGAAATACTCTAATCCTTGACCAATCTGATGGCTTTAGCATTTCAAACCTTGTGTTGCTAATGTTTTAAATGTCAATTTCGCAGTCTCTGCCTCATTTTCCAGAAATTATACCTAGATTACCATACTTATGAAACCACCACGCAAAACCCATGTGAACAAAAATGTCAATCAAACCCTAAAGAAGGGTGGAAATCTCTCTCTCTCTCTCTCTCACACACATACATCCTGGTTGTACACGTTCAGACTAATGTTCATCCATCTCAGCAGACGAACAGGGCAGAACCCGGTTACCCCAGTCAGCCTTAAAAGAAGCTATAATTAGAGCACCCACAGCAGCTACATCAGCTTGGGGTAACTTGTGGTCCTGTGCAAGTAAGGACATACTGGTCTGCTACATAAAAGAAGAACTGTTGCTGCAGTAAATGTCCTCAGTGATTTAACAAACTGCACCTTATATTCTTCTTCTTCTGCCTTTCTATCCCCCAATGGAGCATAGGCCCTCAACCAACTCACGCCAAGTCGTTCTATCCTTCGCCATTACCTGGAGCTCTCCCCATGTCCTCCCAATCTTTCTAACCTCATTCTCCAGCTCTCTTCTCCATGTGTTTTTTGGCCTTCCTTTATTCCTATGCCCCTGTGGGTTCCAATGCAAAGACATTCTAGTTATGCTGTTCTCCTGTTTTCTCAGTGTGTGCCCTATCCAACACCAGCGTCTTTTCCTCACCTCCTGATCCACTGAAGCTTGTTTAGTTCTCTCCCAAAGTTCTACATTAGTTATTCTATCATACCATTTTATTCCCTCTATTCTGCGCAGGCACCAGTTAATGAATGTCTGTAATTTATTAGTAATTGCATTCGTTGTTCTCCATGTTTCCGCCCCATACAATAGTACTGATTTGACATTAGAATTAAAAATTTTTAGTTTAGTATATCTTTTAATTTCTTTTGACCTCCACAAATTCCCTAGTGCTATGAAAGCCCCTCTTGCCTTTTGTATTCTTATTTTAATATCTCTATCAGTTCCTCCATCTTTATCTACATTACTGCCCAAATAGGTGTACGACTCCACGTCTTGGAGTGGGGTGCCATTAAGAGAAACCACATTACTATTTGCCTGATTTATTCTCATTATCTTTGTCTTTCCTTTATGGATTTTCAGACCAAGCTGCTGTGATCTCGCATTAAGTATGTTTAATTTATCTTGTATCTGATTCCGTGAATGGGACAGAAGGGCAATATCATCAGCGAAGTCCAGATCATCAAGCTGTTTTGTAGGGGTCCACTGAATTCCATTCTTGGTGTTAGCAGTTACTGTTTTCATAGTCCAGTCTATAGCCAGTAAAAATAGAAGAGGCGACAAAAGACATCCCTGTCGCACACCTGTTTTTATTTCAAATGCATCTGTTAGCTTTCCCCCATGAAGAACTCGACATTTCATGTATTTATATGTTGCCTTTACTAAGTTGATAATTTTCTGTGGGATTCCATAGTGCCCCATCAATTTCCAGAGAGATTCCCTATCAATGCTGTCAAATGCTTTTTCATAGTCTATAAATCCAATGTAAAGTGGTGAGTTCAGTTCAATGCTTTGCTCTATTATAATACGTAATGTGGCTATCTGATCAGTACAGGATCCGTTTGACCGAAAACCAGCCTGCTCATCTCTTAGCATTTTATCAATAGCATCTTTTAATCTTTCCAAATTAATTCTACTTAATATTTTTCCAGGAACTGACAGCAACATAATTCCTTTATAGTTTTCACACTCCTGGAGATCACCTTTTTTTGGGCAGTTTCACAAGATATCCTTCTCTCCAGTCTGCTGGTATTTCTTCGGTCTCCCAGACTTTACTGAATAATCTATGTAGCAATTCTGTTGATGTGTTTATGTTGGTCCTGATGGCTTCAGCTGGGATACCATCTGGGCCTGACGCCTTTCCTTCCTTAAGAAGATTTATAGCTTTTCTAATTTCCTCTTTGGATGGTATCTCACAGTTGATATCCAGTTCCATTTCTAAAGGCTGGATATCTGGGGGAACCTCTGGACCTGGTCTATTTAGAAGCATTTCAAAATATTCAACCCATCTGTCCATTTGATCTTTAGTGTTAGTAAGTACCTTTTCTTGACTATTTTTGATTGATCCAGTTGGCTGACTATATTTACCTACTAATTTTCTTGTGTTACTGTAAAGTTCTCTGAGGTTTCCTTTTGCTGCTGCTGTCTCCGCTTCTTGTGCTAGATCATTTAGATATTTCACTTTATCTGCCCTTATATGCCTCCTAACTTCCTTGTTGGCTTCTGTGTAATTCTCCTGAGCTCTAGCTTTAGCAGCTCTAGTTTTGCTATTGTTTAACTCTGCCTTTTTACTTTTCCTATCTTCAATCAGTTTAATGGTTTCTGGTGTTATCCATGCTTTATGTTTCCTTTCTTTCTTGCCAAGAACTTCTACGCAAGATTCATTCCAGATTCCTTTGATCTGATCCCAGCAGACTTCTGTGCTAACTGCTGCAACACCTGGTACTTATTAGAGACCGTAACTGAGAACTGTTCCTTAATTTCTTTATCTCTGAGAAAGCCTACATTATATTGGTTTCTATGATTATAAGATGTTATATATCTTTTTAGTTTCAACTTGATTTTACTTACCACCAGGAAATGGTCAGTAAATACATCGGCACCTCTGAAAGCCCTAACATCGTAAAGGGATGATCTAAACTTTTTGTTAATACATATGTGGTCAATTTGATTAGTTGTCTTATGGTCTGGTGATTCCCATGTTGCCTTGTGTATTCTTTTATGGCACCTTATATTATAACACTCAAATTTTTTATGAACCAAAGCTGGAGTAAAAAAAATAAGTTCAATAAAAATGTACAGTCGAAAGCATGTAACTTACGATTTGTTTCATAAGCTTCCTCAAGTTCATTCAAAACTACATATGCTGAGAAAAACCTGAATGGAAACTGTTTGCTGTTCACTACTGATCTCTGAAATGATAATCGAAAATATTTTTGAACAATATACACGCGCCGCGGATCGGAAGGTTATTGGTTTGCTCCCTGGCAGAGCCGGACTTTTTTTCAAAAATGACCTTGGCTCCCAGGTTGACCCAGCCTTGAGTGGGTACTGGGTGCAGTCCCGGGAAGTAGAGGCGGCCGGCGTGATACTGACCAAATCATCCCTCTTGTGCCGTAGGTCTATAAAATATAGGTCTAGCCCTATATGCCCGATATGCCTAAAGGCGTGGAACAGGGTCCTTTACTTTTACTTTACTTATTTTTGAACAATTATAAGTCAAATAAAACAGAAAACTTTCACCTAAAATGACAGACAGCTGGCTGACCACTGAAGCTCTGAAAGGTTATTTTTTTTCCAGCTAGGGTTTCCTGATCCAAATTCTCCATTTCTGGACTAGGAGTCCAAATGCTCAGTTGCTCAGCTACAGAGTTGAGTGCTGGTATGTAAATAATGATTTGTTTCATAAGCTTTTACAAGTTCATTTAAAACTATATATCCCAGAGTGCCAGCTATGTAACTACCCCTACGAAACTGTTGAACACCATCTCTTTGAGTGCCCAAAACTCAGTGAGACAAGAAGAACGCTACTCCCTCCGAGACCAGACAAGTGGAACACCTTGTACGGAGGAAAAGAACAGCTTGTGAAAACATGCAAATTCCACTACATGGCATTGGGCCAAAGGGCGAAAGCTCATGCGCCGCTGGATCGATAACAACAACAACAAAACTATATATGCTGAGAAAAATCTGAATGGAAACTGCTTGCTGTTATTTGGTGGAAAAAAATACAACAGCCATAAAATAATATTATTAATAAATCTAGTTTTGCTGTCAGTGTCTATGGCATAGGCAACGCGAACATCCTTCAAAATTCCATTTTACTATAAGAAATGTTGTACTACTGACAAAAAGCACATGGTGAGGAATGGATCAGAATGTGGCCCAGCAAAACAGTCTTGCATAGAGTGATAAGACTCAGATCAGGAGCAAATTGTGGATTTTCTGTCCGGTATTTGCAGGTGTGCGATGTAACTAGCAGACATAGGTTAGCTGCTGCCACTCTTCTGGGTGATGAGTACTTTATGATAAAGCAGACATGGTGAAAGCTTCCTGGAATCAAATGGACAGTGCAACAGAACAGACACAGAATCCATACATTGAAAGACTAATTCAAGAAGTGATTAGAAGTTCTGGAAGGTATTTAACACTGAGGAGGAAGCAAAGGTGGACTTTTAATTTGGTTGCAGCTGATACTATCAACATGTTGACTCTTCATTGGCTACTGAAGAAGGGGACAGAGCATGTGTGGGAATATCCCAAGTCCATTGATGTCAATTCTTCATTCCTTTATTCATTAATTTTGGAGAATTAAGTACTGTCCCACTACCTCCCTAACAAGAATTGTGTAGGATGTAACTAATTAGTGGTATATCCTTTACAGTCCATTTGCATCTGCCTGAGGGACAAGGAACCAAAATTGTGCTTACAAATAAATAAGCCAGATCTGTAAACTGGATGTGCATGCAAAACTCAAGTTCTCAATCAAGAGAAAGTCCAGGAGTGGAAAAAACAACCAGAACTTTCTGCCCGAGTTTGCAGTTGGTGAACTCTATTTTGAGGTTTTGAACAACGGATCAACATCATGACACACAAGTGTAACCTATAAATGCTTCGTTCTTTTTTCTAAGTCAAGTCTGAGTTCGAAGAAGCTCAGCACAGCGCACAGGTTCTGTAGCATCGGCGAGGATCCTGAAATACTTTGGGTAGATTTTAAACTCCAAATTTTGCCAGGGCAGTGCTGTTATGCTATTCTTTTCAATTTTCCAACTGCCAAAGGATTTTTTATGTGCGCAACAATACACAGGGGCGTCCAATCTCACTACCCAGAGACCAGGGGGAATTACTAGAAGTTCAAGTCCATGTAAAAAAAATCCCAGCTCTTACGAGGGATTTAACCCGGAACTCTAAAAAGAAGAAACTCTTTCTAACCCACAGATGTAAGTAATTAGACTCATTAAGACTTAAAGTCTATTTCTCTAAGAATACAGACTGAGGGACAGGCAGTACTGAAGAAATGAGCACATCAACCAAAGCGGTAAAAGTTCTTTCCACTGATTTGCAAACAGTGCATAACTAATTAAAATAAAAAACATTCACTCTAACTACCTGGTCAGTTAAACGCCTAAGAACATTGTTATGATGTTTTGGTGAGATTCCAGCTTTGATCATATTTCGAAGATTCCGTAACATTGCCATGAATGGAAGCTTTTTATGATCTGCAAACAAAAGTAAAAATATTTAACTTATTTATATATAATTTGTTAGTATATAATTAATTAATCCACCATTGCTGGTCCCACACACAGAAGAAAAGGCTTGCCCTGAATGGAAGCTTTTTATGATCTAAAAAAAATTATTGATTTATTTATATATAATTCATTAGTATATAATTAATTAATCCCCCATTGCTGGTTACAAGCATGGATGAAAAAGCTTGCCACAAATGGAAGCTTTTTTTTTTATCTGCAAATAAAAAAATTTTTTAAAAGAAATAAAATTTAAATTTATATATAATTCATTAGTATATAATTATTCCGCCATTGCCGGTCCAAAACCCGGATGAAAAAGGAATACACTTTGCACGTGAGGTCAACTATCTCATCACAAAATGTTACTCATAGCTACGAAACTCAAAGAAAAGCACGCCATTCCAGGCAACAATATAACCAAGCAGTGTGCTGTGTGCACTCAGTGCATCAACGACAGTTACTGATGCAAGCCACTCTATGGAAGTCAGTAACTCGAATCGCACATTGCTTGGTTCTAAAACAAGCATTAAAATTGTTCTGCCACAGCAGAAACATCAAAATCAGTCCAGTCAGTAGAAGAAATGAAACGATACCATCTAGATATATTGGGCTTGAGTGAAGAGAGATGGCCTGGAATAGATAAGAAGATGGTCAGTGTCTAATCATTCATTTATTCAGGTACAGAAGATGGAAAACAGGGACAGGGTAGGTATAATTATGTCAACTCGAGTTACAAAGTGTACAATAGAGTAGGAATCTTTTTCAAGTCAGATGATCAGAGCCCGATTCAATACTAGACATGTCAAAATGACAATACTGCAGTGCAATGCACCAACCAATGATGCTGAGGCAGAGAATAATAACCTGTTTACGAACAAATTCAGAATGAAATTTACAAGATTTCACAACACGGTCTATTAATAGTAACATGTTTCATCCATAAGACCGATGCACTATTACAGAGATGGCTTCTAATGTACTGGTGTTAACACTGTGGTTCTAGTGACTGTAGTACGTTGTCAACTGGAGAACTTCTGTATATGAATAAACAACAAATCTCCTAGACCCTTGGCAAGCGTGTGATGCCCTCGGACAGATCACATTAATGCCTAGCAACTGGAGGTACAATTTTTGCACACAAGAAAATTAATAAATTAACTTGGCATTCACCAGATGGGGTGACCAAGAACCAGACTGAATACCTTTGTGATAACATAAAATTCAGAACTTCTTTATTGGATGTCCATGCATACAGGGGAGGAGATTTTGAAAATGATCACAACCTATGCATAGGACAATTAAAAGTGAAACTCAAAGCAGCCGTCAAAATACAGACACAGCCGAGAATAGATAGTCAAAGACTTTGTAACGAAAAATTCAACAAATGTTTCAGTCTGAACTCAAAAATATGTTCAATGTGCTAAGGAGAAGAAGCAGTGCTGTATAGAAAAACAAAACAATATAAAGCCCACTATCTTGAAGACGGCAATTATTAGTGTAGGATTGAAGAAGAGCAATTGAAAACCACGAATAAGTGATGACACCTGGCAGTGCATTCTAAATAAATGGGCAGCAAAACCTGTGATATGTAATGCTAAGGCAAGACAAGATCAAATAAGAGCCAAAGAAGATTATAGGAAAAGAGACAAGCAAGTAAAAAAAAGTGCTGCACAGAAAGATAAAAGCGCATATGTTGATATGCTAGCTGAAGAAGGAGAACAGGCATCCTTGGTTGGAAAAAGCAAAATAATCTGCAATGCATTAAAACAATCAACTGGAACATTTAAATCATGAGGTGGTCCATTCAAAAGCAAGGATGGCACAATACTCACATCTGAAGACATGCAAAGATAAACATGATGATTTCTCATCTACAACATCTAAAAGAGGACTATGAAAAGTTATGAGAGAACAAATAAGATATCAACAACAGAACATGTAGATGTCATGCTAGAGAACAAATTAATAAAAGTAACGGACCATGTCACCTATCTAGGTAGTAATTTTGACTGTCATGAAGACACAATGCAGGAAACTATTATACGCATTGGCAAAGCAACAACAGTCTTTAAAAACCTAACAAAATATCGGAACTCCAAGTTATACAACTTTAAACCAAACTATGAATCTTTGGTTTTTAACATTTCTATTCTAACATATGCCAATGGAAGTTCGAAAACCACCAAAGATATGGAATGAAAGTTAAATGCATTTGAAAATAAATTTGAATAGTGCGGACACAAACAATACATTGAACAATTTATTGCCAGGCATCTCTGTGTCTGAGAAAAACCATGAACATAAAATGGGATTAATTTTTTTAAATGAGGAGATAAGATAAATTTCTGAAAACAAAAACATATATCTACTGCAGTAAGACAAGGAAGGTGAAGACATACTGGACACACTCTGAGATGAAATAAACAAAGAATTATAAAACAAGCACTATGAAGGGGAATAAACGGTCTGAGAAAAAGAGAATGTCCAAGGGAAACTATCAGAAGAACACTGTTGAGAGAAACTAAAAATGCTGGGCTGAACTCCATGATAGGAATTGAGAAAGTGGCATGCAAAAGAGCAGAGGGGAGGAATCAAATGCCAGCCCTATGTGACATCTAATGGCACAAGAAGGATGATAATTATACAATTATTAGATTTAACAATGACAGGTTGACCCAGCCTAAAATGGATACTAGGATGGCCGTCCTGGGGAAGTAAAGATGGCTGGCGTAAGGCTGACCACATTATCCACCTAGTGCCCTTTGGTATGTAAAAATATGAGATGCTCTTCTCATATGCCGATGCACCTAAGGCGGGGGAAAGGATCTTTCCTTTTTTTTTTAGATATAACAAGTTATAACATTTTATAATGTCAACAAAAGAAACATAATATAAAAATGCAGACATATTTCAAATTTGCCAATACTCCAAGAATTCACCAGCATTTCTCTCAACACAGTTGGATGCTGGGTATGATCATTACACAGACCTGTAGGTGATTTTTTTTTTTTAATAACTCTAGAGATGAAGAGAACTGGAGATAAACATGATACACTGAGAATGGATAGGACATACACTGAGAATGGATAGGACATACATTGAGAATGAATAGGACATACATTGATAAAACCTGACAGCAACATAACAATAGTGTTCAAACACTGGGACCCACATGGTGAAAGATATAAAGGCGTAAGAAAAAATGCAGATTAAAAAAAGAAATTTAGACAATGAGGTGAAAAAGAAGGGGATGACGTGGGGGAGGAAAAAATCTGATGGATTGGCAGGAGTTGGTTGAGGGGTGTATGCTCGACTAGAAATAGAGTACATGTTAAATGAGTTAAGAATTGACATCATAAAACTCAGGACACTCCCAGAAGCATCTTCAGCAGCAAGTGAAGAGTTCCAATTCCAAATGCAGGGCAGAAAAGGAAAAAAAATGTAGATACAAATACAGATATTTGAAATTCTGCAATGCTCACCAATCAGATCTTCCCATGTCTGTGCTTTGTTGCCTTTTAGCGACACTTGTGTCTCCCAGGTTTCAGGTACTGGCAACTTCATTCTTTTACCTGCCTTTTCTTCTTCCCAAACCCCAGGCAAACGAGACTTATAGAATTCTTCTGGTGTCTTTGGATATCTGACCAAATATTACAAACATTATTACTGAAAAATAATTTTAAAATATATATTGTGTAGCTATGTTTACATAATCTATATTTGCAAATTGAAACAAGAAAGAGAATTCTTTTAAAAAATAAAAATCCTATCTTGTTATAAGGAAGTGAATCACAGACAGTGGATTAGTGTAGTGGCAAATTATTCTGAAGGTGCAGAGATGGTGTTTTATAGACAAATGAGAATATTCTGGACAGAAAAAAGAGTAATGAGGATGTCTTTAAAAAAACATGACTCATAAAGAGAACTGATTACCTACATCGGAAAGAAACAAATCTACTTTCTTTGGTCATGTGATGAGAAGAAAACTGGAGTACATCGTGACAGCAGGAAAGTTGGATGGGAGAAGAGGCAGAGGGAGACCGAGAGAAAAGAGGCCGGATAGCCTGACATCATGGCATGAAGGATTATCTGTGTCAGAGTTGATTGAAAGTATATGAGACAGAAAGTTTTGGATAGACATGACTACCATTGCCACATTGCAAGGACCTTAAGAAGAGAAAAGTAAAGATCCCTTCTCCTGTCTTTTAGGCACATCAGGCATATGGGAAGAGACCCATATTTTTTCAGACCGATCAGCACTAGGTGGGTAATGTGGTTAGTATTACACCGGCCATCTTTACTTCCCAAGGACATACATCCTGGTACCCACTTTAGGCTACGCCGACCTGCGACCTCCTTTACCATGATACAAATCCATGCAGCCAGCAGTGGGTTTCGATGGCAGTACGTTGGAATTACGATTTGCAACGCCTAAGCCATGGACACCATTTTAAGAAGAAAAACTCTGTTAACATATTCAAATTAATAGTAAATTTCAAATCAGCAGTATGATTCATAATCATCATCCTGTAACACTGTGTGTCATTAGACCACCAGTTGATGATGCTGATCAGCTACCTCCAAATTTGATAGTCAGATGCGATGGACTTCATGGTGGCATGCACAAGGCCTGTCCAGTCAGTCAAGTTCTGTATCCATAACTTTCTTGTTCTGCCTCTTCTCCTCTTCCCCTCTACTGAGCCCTGCAGTAATGTTTTTGAGAGGCCATTAGATCTTATTGCATGTTCGTTCCATTGTATTTTCCATCTTTTCACTGTAGTTAAAGGAGTTACATAGTTGTCAATCAATCTGCTGGGTAATTATATGGCAAACCATGTCATTTCTGATGTAGTCTCTATATGATATGCCAAGAATTTTTTTTGAAAGATTGCATTTCAAATGATTTTATCTTTTTTCGAGTTCAGCTGTTGAAGTACACATTTCAAGCTGTTTGTAAACATGTACTTATAGCTAGTGTTCTTAGCAGTGGATGCTTAATTTTAAATTAAATGTTTTTTTGGATCTCCACAATATTTTCTGTCTGGCAAGGACTGATGTTATCTGTGCAATTTTAGACATGATTTCTCTTCTGGATCCAAGGTCACTTGCAGGACCATTGTATTTGTTTGCAAAAAGATTTTGTTAGTTCAATGAAAGTCTCCCAATTTACTCTTACTTTTGATTGGTCGACCTTGAGCCATGCGAACTTGGCACAAGGTGTCGGGGGTGTTCTCCAATGCTGCTGATATCGTGTGTTCTATATTTCAGCATGCCAGCACTTTTAACACTAAAAAAAATATTGACAAACTGGGTCTAACACAAAACCCCTTTAGAGAGTGATGAAACCTATGTCACAGACATTCTCTTTCTCGGAATAATAGCGTAAATGCAAGATATCCCAGAAAGCAAACAGAGCGGAACACCCACAACCTCCAGCAAAGGTGGACCAGTCCTACAAAGTTATCAATGGAATGTGACTTACATTCTCAGGAGAGACTAACGTCGAACTAAATCAAGATTCATATGCAAATGAAAATATCATTGAAATAGAATATTTTTATAAACACCTACTTCTTGCCAATTATACACATGATAGGCTCTACTGGTTCTTTGATATGAAGTTTCCGTATCAGATGCTTGATTGTGAATCTCTGTTTCCGAAGAGCCTCCTCACTCTCATCTTCATCATAAATGACTCCACTCACCTGCAGACAAAACAAAACAGTCAAAAGTCTGTTACTACATTTAGATTACAAGCAGAATTTAGAAGCCAAGATCGGCAAAACATATGTTTGAAACATAGCACTAAGATCTAGAACATTACTGCAAACTAGAAAAGTACCGCCTGCTATGTCTGTGTCTGCCTATCAAATCCCCACACCACCCCTCTTGATTTTAAATACTTGATAATTGTAATGTAGTTGAATAGTAGCTAAGAAAAAGAGTATAGTTACTTCACTTAAAAGACAATTACATAGTTACGTTATAATTAATTATAATAATAGACAGACTATAAAATCCACCTACCGGTCTCAAAGCTTTAGCCTCCTCATTTTCACTCTCACTGGTATCACTTTCTAAGGGCTGCTCTCTATGTGCCGTATCTTCCATTTGTTCATCAGTTGTTTTCTTGGTTTTTCTTTTCCTTTTTCTGCCAGATTTGTCCTTGTTATATTTTGCTAAATGTGACAACAATGCAAAATAAAAATATTTTTAAAGCTCTAAAGAGAAGAAACATTGATTTTAGAAATGAATAATAAAGGCATAAACTATGTCACTGCAAAAAGTAAATCACTGTTGATAAAATACAAATGTAATAAATATTTCTCTCACTGAAGTGCAATTTTTCTACCCTTTCCCTATAAAGCTCTTAAACGTGGAGTACAACCAAAAGAGATGAAGCTTATTAGAAGCTTTTGAGAACAGACTCTAGTTATGGATTTTTGGACCCATCAAAGATGCAAAAACAGGACAATGTGAGCTGCAAAAATTAAATTTATAATCTTTTTAAATCACCACTGATTACAGGCATCATGAGGGCAAATGTACTGTGATGGTTGGGGCATATAGAGAGGGCAGCAGATAACAGGGGGTCATGCTCAAAATGTGGAAACACAATGAGCTGAATGGGAGTAAGCCATAAGGCATACCAAGACGACGGTGAAGAGATGTATACCTCAAATGTGGTAATCCTTAAGTAGAAATGCATCACTCTTACCCAGCTGGTACTTGTCAAACTCAGGAAACTTGGCGATCATGGACTTTCTTAGTGCTGCAGACAAGGATCCAAGCTTGAGATTATTGTCCTCCAACGTCTGTAAAATCATGAAGCAAGATACATTAACTCCATGGAAAACACTGACTTAATTGTTAAGAACTGACTTGTTAAGACTCAGAACACTCCCATTAGCACTCCTGGTCACTCCCAACTGTGCCATCCTCTTCAGACTGTGATGATATATTTGTGTCTGTCCTGTTCACTTGCTCTCAAAAGGCACTGATAACATCTAGATTGGCATGCTTCAATTTACCAGGCTGTGGTGCAGAAACAGTCAGTCTTTCTGTCTGTTCATTTACCATACCAACCTGCATACTCTGAAAAAATACTGCTCTCAAAAGGCACTAATAACATCTAGATTGGCATGCTTCAATTTACCAGGCTGTGATACAGAAACCAGACCAACCTGCATACTCTGAAGAAAATATCCAGATGATGCTAACAAGCCTTAGCTTGCTTTGTTCATAGCAAAAGTGAATGGACAAAACCCTTAGTGCAAACAAAAATCCTAGCATATTATACACATAATGCAGCTTGAGATTAGAGTTGGGAGCAGTTACTGTTGTTTGAAAAACCAGCTGCATACAGAGGAATTTATTGTCTACATGTTGTGCAACTCAGTGAGAACCAGTCATCCCAAGAAGGCCTACATTCCAACTGTTATAGGACTGTGGGGCGGGGGCACAAAAGCTAGCAAGCTTGTTCGTCTGCCTGGCGGTCATAGATTTCAACAGCCTGGTTGTTTTTTCTTTAAACCTGACCAAGACTCCAAATGTCATCTACTCCTCATCCTCTCCCTCTTTTTCTTAGGGTAGAGTTTCAGAGAACTAAAATGATGCATTTCTTTTTAAATACATTTTGAAAAAAGTCAAGACATTTTATATTTTTTTATGGAGTAAAAGGGTTAAAGGTTTCTGCCTAAAACATATGATTATCAAAAAATGATAACCATCTCTTTCTATTTGTAAAAGGCTATTTTGAGACTTCATATCTTTCCAAACATCTGGATTATTGATTGGCTATCCAAGGAATTTATGCATTCTTCTGTAAAATCACATCTGTGAAATGTTTCTGGCTGGTTTTTCTAATAGTCCACAATTCACTGTTCATAAAAGTATGTCCTTAAATGACAAATATGTAAACAAAAGAATTTGTTGCTTATTTTTTTCTAGGACCAAATGCCACATTACCTGGAAAATTTCTGCAACTTCAATCCAGTCAGATGGTAGAGCAATGGCGGCAGAAAAATATTTCTTGAGAAAGATTCTGCAAGAATAATCCCAAGCTGCCAATGCCAGCAAAAAGTTGGAAGTTGTGCGGATGTTAAGTTCTTTTCGTGCATACAGCGCCACCTGTAAACAATGTCAATCATTGAAATCACAACTGCTAGTAGTAGTAGTTTCTGGTAATTTCTAAATTAGTTTCCTCTGCCTCTCATTCATCTTCCTTTAACTCTCAAAGATGCATAGATCTCAACTCTCCAAATTATTTGTAAAATTGTGTGCTACCTCCACAACGAAGGTTGGTGGCTGGGTACCAACTGCTGTCTTTAGGAATATTGTGTGGTGTACAATCATTTAAAGAAGACACAAGAATGTTATTTTTATTTTTGTTTGTTTTATAAATTACCCCAGTGGAAATTAAACTCCAGTACTGAAGGATCTTGACATTCTTAAAACTAATTCATTACTTTTTAACCCAAAAAGCCATATCAGCCATCTATTTTCATTCACTAAGAACAATTTCCTCATTACACAATAAGCGTTAGCAACTGATCCTTTATTTTAAGACCCCAGACTTTGTTAAACTATCTAAAACTCTTTGTGTGCCCAGTGACCTATCATACATTTCTTGGTAACTCTAAAGATAATATCCTGTTCTTGCCTTCTTTGAAACAGATAAATGCCATAATAACTCATTGTATCAAAATTCAGTTCAATCCTTCTATCCTATATTGCATCACTGTTAAGTCCTCAGATTTCAATACAAGTATTATATTTTGCTTTCAAGAGGCTGCAGAGGTGCATCAGAACCAGAGCTGATGCTGATCAAGGCCTGTCTACACTTGTGTGGTTATCCTAGAGAGATGTTCCCTGCTGGGTCCTGGCCAATGTCGATTAGTTAAATATTCCTTGGAGGTTTTGAACACATCTGCCTGAGAGGTGAAGAATCAACAGTCAGCATGGAATTTATGGGATCTGTAAAATGGATATACATGCAACACTCAAGTCCTAGAATAGAGCAAAACCAAGACAGACGACCAACAAGGACCTTCCCTTAGTGTTCACAGATGTGAACATAAGACAGAGAAGATTCTTTAAAGCACAAGAAACAAAAGTAGCAAATTTTGTTCAGCATAGAAAAAGTGTATGCACATTTTATTTGTTTGTCAAATATCTATGACAGTGAGTGACTCATCGATCTGTTTTATACTATGTGCACCCACACACACAAAAATCACTTGAATACCATCAATAACACAAAATTTTGTTCCTTTTTTTTACTTTAATTCTTACTATACTGAAGAATTCACTATGTGTTGGTTAGTAATACCTTATATGGTTTTCCTACTTTATTGCATTTTATTCATATGTTACTCAAACACATTTGTAAATGTACTTAATATATTCATAGGATTACAGTTCTTCTTCTACTACTATTACTACCTTTTATCTTATACTACTTCTTTTTCATATTCACCCACTGTAAACTCCAGCAGAAAGTTTGGGCTGTTCATACATTTCTGGACTTCAGTCTTGTTTTAGAACTTCAGTTTTGCATGCACATACATTTTACAGATCTGGCTTAATTGAATGCAAACTGTTGGTTCCTGTTGTGATGTTAACCAGACCACCCACCCAGTACCAACTAGTCTAAAATAAAAAAAAAATCAGTCTAGCCTCATATGCCCAATGTCCCACGGGTGCGTAAAGGAATCATTACTTTACTTGTTCCTGCTGGTTCCTCGCCTCTCAAGCAGATGCACTCTGACTTTGAAGGAAAGTCCCTAATTAGCCATTTTTACGGCAAGCCTGAGGGAAGCAGCAGGTCTATTTTTTTCCAATGAAATGGGTCTCAGAATCTAAACTGGGAGGATTACTATTCAACCACCATTTGTTGTAAGCTTTATCAGTGTAAAAGTGATAAATGTTTTGGACAAAGAGTTTAACTGGGACTGAAATAGTTCAAAGGAAGATAAAGCACGAATGGATTGGACCGATGTGCTTGGATGTCAATACATATTAAAAGAGTTTTAAAAGTTGGCAGGTTTAAAAACTAGGACACAATATCAGCACATTTTGATCCAACTTAATTACTTTTAGCAATTCAGTAAGTCACCTTTTTTACATGTTTCTTAAGAGAAAGTGTGAGTTTAACTACTCCCCCCCCCCCCCAAAAAAAAACACAGAGCCCAGGTCACAGAAATTTGTTAATAATACTAATCCCATGGCAAGTATATTCAAGCCTAATGACGTGGATAAGATACCTATCCCCCCCCCCTCCTTCTATCTTTGTTTGCCAGGTAACGTTCTGAAAACTGAAAACATTATCCACCCTCCAATGTACTGGGGCAGCTAGAATCCAGAGCCATACTAGTTAGAAAATAAAACATATATCTATCATCAGAGACTAAACTTGTACAACTATGTTGGTAAGCAAGTTCAATACCAACTGCTACGATTTCACAATACAATAAAAGTAAAGGACCCTTTTCCTCACCTTCAGATGTATAGAAAAATACGGCTGGACATATATTTTACATACCAAGTGGCACTTGGTAAGTGATGTGGTCAGCATCACATCAGCCGCCTTTACTTTCCAGGACTGCACCTGGTACCCACTTATAGGCTGGGTCAACCTGGGAGCTGAGGTCATTTTTTAAGAAGAAAAAAAAATGTGGGCTCCATAAGGACACCAACCCATGACCTTCTGATCCGCAGGCGAGAGTCTAGCTGCTAAACCAGGGCAACTCCCACCACCATATGATACATTTTAAAAAAAACATACAAATACAACTGAACCCAGAGTTATCTTTAAAATCCACAATATGTAAAATGTCACCTTCAAAATGAACTCTGGATCTTCGTTGATAACCGAAAGAGCATGGTATTTGATTGCTTTTCTCGTCTCATCACGTCTGTCAGTGAACTTTGGTTGTGCAAGAAGGGACGCACTGATGCAATTCAGCAAGGCTTGCTAGAATATAGTAAACATGGAATCAGACATGGTATAAATTTTCTACTACAGATTCACTGACTGTAAACTCTGAAAGAAAGTTCTGGTTTTCGTCCAAGACTTCAGTCTTGTTCAAGAACTTGAGCGTTGCATGCATATTTGTTGTGGTATATCTGTATGCAGACCGTTGGTTTTTTTGCCTCTCAGGCAGATACATTCCAACTCCAAAGGAAACCCCTAATTAGTTGAATCTTATGACATGCTTGTGAGGGAGGCAGTGGGTCTATTCTTGTTTTCTCCATTATGGGGAATCCACACATGCATGGTATAAATCTAAGAGTGTGCCTGTGCAAGCATGTGACAGCATAATGATCAGTGCTTTGTTAAATTGTTAGTTTATACCAGTAGTAGTATGGTTATATTTCTCTACATTTGGAGTCAGTCCAACTTTAATAAAAGCTAATAGTGATCTGATTAAGTCAGCCAATGAAATTGAGGTCGGAAGAATAGATTTGGAAAAAGAAAGAAGATGCCAACGAGCCAGGGCACTCATATACCAGCTGACACCTTTATTAAGTCATCCAAACATAAGTATGAGCGCTAAGAAACAGATAATAAACAGCATATTCATATTAAAACTGTGCTACCAGTGCCAGACTTAGATATTTCAAAGGCTAACCTACATAAAATTACCACCTGTGAAATGAGATGCCCGAGAAAATCTGCCAACTTGACCTCCGAAGTAAAATTAGAAAGGATATTGTCTGACAGACTGCAGGAACAATAACACCATCCAGCAGATTCATTAGGAAACAAAAGATCAAATGGTTTGGTCATTTAGTAAGAATGCAGCAAGAACAACTAACAATGCAGGTGCTACACACGAAAAGAACTTAAGTAAAAGCAAGAGGCTGCCCTAGGAGAAAATGGATTGATGACAAAGAGCTTCTACATTGACACAGAATAACAATAGCCATTGCTGCCCATCACACAATGGATCCCAATCTGTTCCTCCCCCACAATGCTTAATGGCAGAAGTGAACAAATGATGACGATGAATGAAATACTGAGCTGATTTTTCTACACATGCAGTCAAATCCTAAATATCGGCCTAAGAACATGGTTGCTAGAGTGTCATTATGGCATGTCAATTCTTTAATGGCCGTTAAGCCACTACTGGAGTTAGCATTTATGGCTTTTAATGGTTATTATCCATGTTTAAATGTTACTGTGACTTAGTTGCATATATTTTACAGGATGTTGCAGAACCAACCCCACCATTTATTGGCTGATTTAGCTTCACAAGGTAAATTATACATGCAGTAGTTTGCCACTGCTTTCTGAACAATCAACTCTCAATGCCTCTGTCATTATCTATGTGAAGCACCAAATCACCCGCAGCTGAAACCAAGCAGGGAAGCTCAGAATTTCAAAGCGCGTTCACAATGCCTAAATTTCAGATGACTGCTGGGCCTCATAGGGAAACTAGTTACACCACAACCTTCCATGCATGCCCAATCGCAAAGAAGCTGGCCATGAGACTGGATACCTCATCCCAGAAAAAACTTGAGCCATATAATATCCAATCAATAATGAATGAGTCGAATAAGTCTAAAAAAAGGTTTGACATGAGCTGAAGGATCTAAGCTCCATTTCGAGAGAAAAGACAGATGAAGAATCAACAGGGTTGTAAGGTAGATGCAAATCTTTGAAATGCCACACTCTAAAAGTGCCTCTTCTTTTCGAGACAAACAAACATTAAAAAACAAAACCTGTCAATAAATGTATACTCAAAGCAGAACTATCAACACGTCACATTTGCAGCTGTCTTTAATGACAACTATCACCTCAGCTTCTAGAAGCGGCCATGCAGTATATCAAAAATTAAATTTATGCTGTCAGATCAAACGTTCAAATTGTATTTTGATCTTGCTGCTTACACCAAGACATTACGGTGCCACATGATGTGGCCGCATCTCTGTATCATAGCAGGGCACAGCCCTTAGAATCAAAAACCAATAATCACAACTTGTAACCTCCAATGACCTACAAGAACAATATTTCATTTTTTCCGTGGGTTATGGTTACACTTTATTAGTGTTTTTTCGTTATGATGCAGTACACCAGTCTAATTTAGGGAAAAGTGGAAATTAACAATATACTTAATCAGTTTCAAATAACCCACCATATGTTCAAATTTAAAAGTTAACACTTGAAGCTGAGAGGATTAAATTTGTTGCACCAGGTTTGATTTTCTGTGGCTGGGTCTCTTTCCAAAGAGTGGCAAGCTGCCTGCTGAGAGCATTGAACGAAGCACAAACCCTATATCCCGAGCATCAATTGCCAGGAATCTCTGTAAAAACTGCACTCATGAACTGAACAACCGTTGATGAATCAACCCATGAGTTTCAGAAGGCGAGTGACACAGCTTGATCACTCCACCATGGAGAATCCCTTCACTATGTTTTTTTGGGTTCCAATTACATTATACATATCTATCAACTGCTCATACCATATTTACTTGTTATTCAAACCCATCCAGCCGCAAATGTTACTTTTAACTTTACATTCCTGTTATTTAAAGTTCTTACCTAATAATTTATTATTTTAAGTAACAATTTTGTAAGAGCAGATGAGCTATAATATCTGCCTAGTAATGGGTTAGCTACATATGAAGTTTCTACTGTACTCATATTTATTCACTTACCAACACCTAGACATGTTTTAGGTTTTCACTGGCATCTATGACATATACAAAATAAAGTAAATTACCTGTGGAAACAAATACACAAGGCCAGCCGGGTGGTTAGAATATTGGGCTCTCATGCCAGATGTCTGGGATCAAATCATTGGTAAGGCAATGGAAGTTTTTCGGGCCAAGACAATGCAATAATTTCTAACCAGCAGAGTTGATACAACTACACTAGCCATGCAACCCTAAATCTTCAACTCAAACTGCTCCCCCCCCCCCCCACCAGACATCCCAACCTACACATGCAGTAACTCTTCAGGTGCAGACTAAATTAACAACTGAACACAATGAATGAAAGAAATTAATCCCAACTGAAATATAAAGAGACAAACAAAGAATCACTAAACAGGTACAGAAATGAGAAATAGAAGGACTGATGAATGAAATGAGGACATCCAAGATATGAAGGCTGATGAGAGATGCCAAAGAAGCTGGACTGAATTTCATCCATCATATTGAAGTGATTTCACAGGATAGAAAGAAACTGAGAAATAAACCGTGAGCCATATGTAACACATTATGGTACAACAGGACAATGAATTAACTGAAATATAAAATCACCTACATTGAAAAAATAACTGCTTGTTTTACCACAGCAAAGAGTTTAACAGCCATGCAATCTTCTCCGTATGGGTTCCGGGGCCCTATTATAGGGAAAACAAGAACAGACCCACTGTCTATCCAAAAGCATGTCGTAAGAGTCGACTAATTGGGAGATTACTTCGAGTCGGAGTGCATCTGCCTAAGAGGCAAGGAACCAGAAGCCTGCATACAAATGAGTCTGATCTGTAAAACGGATGCACGTGCAACACTCGGGTTCTGGAACAGGACTGAGGTCCAAAAGTGGATGAACAACCAGAACTTTCTGCCAGAGTTTACAGCTGGTGAACACAAAGAAAGAAGACAGCCATGCAATAAATAATGAAATCTATTGTTTGTGTCCTATTTGTTCAAATTTACAATGGGAAAACATTGCTCTGACTTACCTTTAAACCAGTAACATTAGTGAGACCTTTTCCAACATCCCCAGACAGTCTTGCATCTTTTGAAGGTGGGATGAATTTTGGCAAATCCACATCCATAAATCTATCCTCATTCTCACATTTAATAGCATACTGCGGTGGCTCAACGGCATAGGCTTTAATCACCTCTGAGGTGATCTCACCTGAAGCATTCTGGACTTTACTTTTCTTGACTGTTTTAAGTGAATTTTCAGTATGTCGTTTTCTAGGGCTCTCTTTCAATGCATGAAGACTAGGTTTACTGTCATCAAATCCAGCTACCTTTCCCGTGTCCTGAGATAAGGATAACCTTGTCAGACTAGTTTCAATCAATGGAGTTGTGTGTGGCTTTAGGTTTGTCAATCCTGCTCTCTGAATTTGTGAGGATTCTCCTGGTTTTACACTTGTCTTAACACTGGCATGTCTAGTTGAAGATGCAAAGGATGACAACTTTAGTGGACTTAAAGACAAAGAGGACTCTGTAGTTTGTGTCAGTCCAGAGCGAAGACTTAAACTATCTAATAAGGGATTACTTAGGTTTGTTGACAACAGCCCACTTCCCAATGAAGCATGTCCACTCAACAGACCTGCAAAAGAAAGTTGGCAAAAATATAACCCCTAATAACTTTAAATATTAAAAAGTAAAACATCATATCAAGTCAGTAATACTAAACCTTCAGGGTATATATAAAATAAGACGCCTACTCAACACTCCTGCAAGGCTGATAAAAATAAAACTTCTTTATCTAAAAACAAACAACTGGTGAAATTTTTAAAAATCATGACAAGATAAACCAAATGAAAAAAAAGGTCAGATTCACATTATCATAATCACAAATGACAAGCAAAATTGTGGCCAGAAAGCCTTCATCAGCACATGAAAATCTTCTTCACATAAGTTCACATGCAATAAATTATATCTGCAATGTTGCCTCTAGTATGAACTTCAGTCTTCTGTAATTCACGTAGCAGCCCAACAAGTTTGACTTCCACTAGTGTCTCTCTTGCACATAATATTTTGCCTGAAAATGTTGTAGTTGGGACAGTCTTAGAGGATGTGATCTGTTGTCTCAGGTTCTAGTCCACATGTGCACATTACTGATTCACCATTCATAAATTGTGTGTACATGTGGTGAACATAAAAATAAAACTCCTGTATTTAAACCTTGTCATTGAGAGTTGGAAAAAGAATTCATGCTTGCTAAATACATCCAGTTTTAACATGGCCGGACAATCAGCAGGCAGGCCAAACAATTTCTTGAAGCCTCAGAGATGTGGTCTTACAGAAGAATGCTTAGAATACCTTGGAAAGCCAAAAAGAGCAACCAAGAGGTTCTGAAAGAGGCGGGAGCCCGAAGATAACTTATCACAGACAACAGAAGGAGAGATAATTTTTCGGCCATGTTATGAAAAGAGGGAAAATAGAACATGTGACCACTGGAAAGATCTGTGGAAGGAGGGATAGAGGAAGACAACAAGAGAAGATTCTTGACAGTCTTGTTGCATGGCATGGAGGTGTTACGGCACACGAACTGATGCATGCTGCCGTAGATCGCAGATTGTGGAGAGGCATGATCGCCCACACCAGTCGGCAAGGCACCTGATGATGATATTTAAACCTATGATAGTATTATATAATTAAAAATAGAATAATACCATCGCATTTGAGTCAATAATTCTCAACCAGCTGGAGTTTGAAATAAAGAGAGAGGGTGACTGAGTGAAAGTGGAAACTGGAGGAAACAATAAAAAGCTATACATAAGAATTATATGGCAGGTGGGGCGTGAAGAAAAGGGAGAGCCACAAAAATAATAATTCCATGAAAGACAGAGAAACGCCAACTTTGTGCCAATGAAAACCATATCGAACGTCGATCACTGTCCTGTGAAAAACTTGACAAAGAGTGCAGTCTCAGGAAATCCAGTAGCATACAAACATTAAATGCTCCAAGCAGCCATCAGAAATGCCAACACAAACATTCCAGTGGAAGCATTAGTTACAACATAACAGTAGTTGCACACATGCTTAATCACATAAGGCAACAGACCACTCGCCATTTTTTCCTAATCTACAGTTCAGAACACTAACCACAACGCACAGTGCTGCACCATACACTCAACTCAGTAGATAAGCAATGAAACTATATCTTTTCAGTTTACATACAGAGGAAAATGCAATGGTCAACTACTGTCAGAAGCAAAAACTTGCCCTGACTAAATCAGCAAAACAAGCCTATCCTCCATACTGACTGGAAACTAATCTGTAAACTAACGCACAAATCACAATAAGTTATGCTTACTTGAAGTCAGTGGGTTGGATCCTTTGTGGCTCAATTTTTCAAGCAGGGTATTCCTAACCGACAATATGTTTTTATCGGTCATTTTTAATCAGTCTCTGGCTGCAAATGAGAATACAGATGTTAGAATAATATATTCTGATAATATATAATAACTTCAATTTAGGTTAATACTGAAAGAGAAGAAGAAAAATATGAGACAATTTAACTGTGATGGAAAAAAAGGAAATTTCAAAATTGTTTAAAAAAACAAAATGAAAAATTTATTAAATCATAAAGTTTATAAAAATTGCAAAAACAATCTTCCATATGTAATCTTACTAGTTACATTAGCATCAAGTTGCAAGTACTTTGCATATCACTTATTACTTATCACAGCCTTCTGGAAAATACTGAGTACGCTATTTTCCCACCTCATTCCCTTTCATGCCAAGTTGGTCTTAGTCGAGGTTTCAGCTTTCCTGCAATCAGGAAGCCCCATGTTCCCTCAGTTCCTATGCCAGTAAAAATCAAATTAAATGTCCTTCACTGTCCAGTTTGAAAAATTGGTGAACAATCAGTCCCGTTACAATCCAGAAATATGTGCACGCAGTAAATATATAAGGCATTTTCTACAGGTGCCAACACTCTTAAAAATCAGAAAAGATATCAAACCAAATAAAAAATAAAAAAGCCAGATTCACATTATCACAATCACAAATAACAAGTGAAACTGCCACCAGAAATGCAGTTTGTCATTGACGTAAATAATCCGTCTTGACAAGTTGGCTGTAAACACGTAAAATTATTACAATTGGTATTTCACCAGCTGACATGTAAACCCGATGATGGCCATACTGAATTCCATGACTCTACCGATGCACAAATGAAAGGCATTCCACATGAAAAACGCTCACATTGCTGCATCAAGATTAACTGATTACCACCACATTGATTGGTCTTCATCTTTTCTTCCAGGAACCACATTTTTGAGTACTGTTCATTTTAAGCAGTAGTAGGTCTCTCAACTCTTTGAGTCTCAGGGGGTTAAGCATCACAGGATCAGGGGGTAGTAAAGAGAGTCATAAAATCGGTGCATCGTGTGTTCTTTGGGCTTTTAGGTAGGAACTTTTGAACGTATGATGCATTAATTGGGACTCAAAGAGTTAAAACCTGCGGGACTACAGAGTTGTGTCATGGAGCAGGCACCTGGCAGCACCATAAGTGACAATATAGTCTGATGCAAGAGTGAGAATACAGCAGTCCTGATGAGTTAAACCCAACAGGACCCATTTCACTTGCAAAAGATGTTAAAGTCACTCACATTTGCAACCTAAGAACTATTTCAAATGGTACCATACTATGACTATACTGCATTGAATACACTGCAGCTATAGTCTGTTTATAACTGCACAAAGTGAATCTTCTGTGCTTAACTCTGAGTCCCAAGGAACGCGTCGTACGTTAATAGATTCCTACATAGAAGCAAAATGAACGCAAGATGTGCCAATTTTATGTCTTTCTTGACTACCCCTTGGACCTGTGATGCTAAACCCCCTGGGACTCAAAGAGGTAATGGTCCATTTTCTGAGTGATAAACTAACCCAAAAACTTATAACTTTTAAATTTGTTTGAAAATGTAATTACGGACTGGAGAAGGCCCGAATCAGAAAACACAGTGAGGTAGACCCTGGGCTGCGACTCAAATTAGCGACCGCGTTCAATTACCGCTTCTTGCGACGCATTACGGAGTGGACTAGAGGGAATGACACAAGTGACATAATTACTGTGTGTTGGCGATAGACAGTGTGCAGTGCCCTACTGTCATCATACAGTTAGGGTTTGGGTTACGGTTAGGGTTGCTACTATGAGTTTGTGCGAAGACGAAATGCGGAGACACTAACCATAACCCTAACCCACACCCTACCCCTAACCGTATGATTATAGCAGGGCAGTGCACGCTGTCTATCGCCAACACATAGTAATTATGTCATTTGTTTCGTTCCCTCCTTTCTACTCCGTAATTGCACTGCAGCAAGGAACAGAACTCCAACTAACCGGCCGTCTACTGTTGTCTACCGGCTGTAGTTGAAAGGAGAGCCGAAAAATATTACATTCTCAACTGATTTTTTTTTTTAATGTAAAGGGAAATTAATGCAAGCCAAGTCTGTCAAAATTCATGGGCCTAAAAGAGTTGAGCCATTTATTTTATTTATAATCGTTCTTTTAAATATTATACTTTTCTCACCTTCTGGGTTATGATTCGGATGGATAATATATAACTATTTCATTTTGCTGTGTTATTTTTTTTTGGGGGGGGGGGGGGGTATTACTGTGCTACCTTCAGGTTTAAAACAGTTAATTCCTCTTTCAGTTATTATATTTGTCTTTCGTATAGGTAATGTGCCGCTTATCCCTTAAAACTTCCACTTCATTCAAATATCATATAGTATTTTTTAGTGTTATTAAATTTAGTAAAACGTTGCCTGTTATCCAAACAATGGTTACCATGGCATGATCTGAAATCACATTACCATAATGTTGCATAAAAATATTCAGTGTCAGTGACGTCCGTTATTATTTCAAACAAACCACTAACTAAATAACTGGGTATCTGCAGAATCTCCGTTCTGCAAATATAGTATGATTAGATATTTCAAAGTACTTCCTCTTGCGTGAATTTCACTATACAAGTCTAAAGAAGCAGTTACTCTGAGTTGAGTTACTTGAGTGTTCTGAGTGGACTAACGGTGAACACGCATGATCGATTGCTGGTCGCAGTTGGGTGTGTTTACAAAAAATAGTATTTGTACTTCTTTTCACAAAACATCGTAAAATGCGTGCTGGTTGTTTCTCTTACCTTGCATCACTGACCGATGTGTTACTAAGATACTGTTAATGAGGTTAACCTCCCGGTGCTAATCGCCAATGCCCGGTCTCCTACCTGCCTAGTACCCGGGCTAACAAGACGCCCATGTGGTTATAAATAGTACCTGAATCACAACGTCCTTGGCTATTTTGAGACACTGACTGGCTGGTTAATCTGCTTGTAATGCGGGGGTCTACGGGAAGAAGTGGTCAAGCCGTTTGCCTCGCTGTCTGAAGGTCAAGGCGACGCCGTTTAGTTAACGAGTGCAATTTGTATGGAGATCCCTGAGGATCGTCGCGGAGCTACGGAGGTCATGCTCTATGCGACAGCTGTTCTGCAGAGAGACTGAGCCATATGGAACAAAACCCTGTGCAATGAAGTCGATCCTCACCTTTACCTTCACTTTTTCATTGTCACTGTTTATTTTTTTTAACAACATGGCCTGCTGGCCATGGTTAACAGCTAACACCAGGGCGTCGACCCAAAGAAAACATCGGAGCCCCTCCCCCCCCCCCCCCCCCCACCATTCCACTTTACATAATTTCTAGCTCCCACCCCCCTCCCCACTCGAATAAAATAGAGGGGCATAAGCCTAGTTTAATAAAACGATAGTAATATAGTAAAATCTCGACAACACAAACTCGCTTAAGAAGAACACTTTGCTAACACAAAAAATTTTTTGTCCCAGTGGGAATGTATTATTGTTCCTTCAGAGGCCGCTACCCACCCCCGCCCGCCCTCCCAAACCCTGTTTGACAAATGTTAGCCAAAAAGGGGGTGGTGTGTTCAAGCGTGCTTAATCCTAGTTTAAAGCCATTATTCAGTCAACCTTTTTAACACGAACTCGCTTGGTCAGTGGGCACAATTTCGGTCCCCGCAGAAAGTATTAATGTTACTATTTCCTTGTTAGCAAGACTTTTTTTAACACAAATTTTCGGTCCCTTGGAATTCGTGTTAACAAGATTTACTGTAAAATAATAACAATACTAATAATAATAATAATAAGTCGGGGTTTTGCGGCACGCTACGGTCAGCAATACCAACATCTTCTATCCTTTTTATAGCCATCATTTCTCCCAGATTTACGGTATTATCAATCATGGAATCAGGGCGAAGGATTACGAAATCCATATTACCGGGCCTAAGGGTTAACAACTCATGGTTTATAGTTTATAGATATTTTGTAACAAAAAGCCATCATTTTTTAAAGCCACGGTATTGCGGTCCAATATTTTATAATCGTTGTTGTTTGTAATTCGACCGATGTTTGGTTAATATAAAATTCTATAATCTATGGTAATATTTCAATGGTTTAAAACGAATTTTGCCCGCATTTCGTTTTCAATTTGGAATCGCAAATAATTCATCACAGTCTTGTGAGAGTTCTGCAGCGAGGAGTATCTCTGGCCGGTACTCAACGCTCGAAGGAAAGACAAGACGAACATGCTACGGAGACCATTGGTATCGAAACTCTGCGTTGGCTGCTGAGGATGGGAACGGGGTGTTTATGGGAATGCCGCGAGTGCTGTGATGTTGCTTCTTAAATCAAATCAACTTTTTTTTTTTTGGGGGGGGGGGGTGCGCCTAGTTGGTCATTATCTTAGTACACAATATTTCCATAGCGAGGCGCGCACGCCACTTCGAGTTGACAGGTTTGATTCCCTGCACGGTAACTAAAGCTGTCTAGTGGGTCCTTCTATATTTCTACATTTTTTATGGGTCCCAACCAACACACCGTGTGTTTATTACATATAATTTAATAGACACCGTGTGGAGTACAGGAACATTTTAAGACACTTTGTGGTGAGTACCGGCACCTTTTTCCTAGAAAATGACTCTGATTATAATAATGATTATATAACGTAAAGGACCCTTTTCCCCGCCTTCGGGCATATTGGGCATATAGAGCTAGACCTATATTTTTATAGACCACTCGACACGGCATGGGTGATGGGGTCAGCATCTCGCCGACCGCCTTTACTTCCCAGTACTTTACCTTGTAGCCATTTAAGACTGCGTCTACCTGGGAGCCAAGATAATTTTTGAAAGTAGGTCATCTCTTTTCGGATTTAAACCCATCACCTTTCGGTGCGCGGGTGAGCGTTTAGTCGCTAGACCACGGAACTTCTAATTAAAATTACATAATATGGCAAATTAATGTAATAATATACCTGAAATGCTGTGAAACGTACAAAAAGCTTTAAAGAAACAAATTTTAACGACAGTTCAGGATGTAA